GCCCCTCCCTCCCCCCCCCCCCCCCACCCAATCTCGGGCTTTAGGCGAGACACTGACAATGTACAGAATGCAGTCTCACTTGTCATGCCGGCTGCGTACACTTGGTTCCTGACTTTTGTGGCATGTCAATGTCGGTTGCTAATGTAATTCTTGACGGTATCCGAAATCAAAAGCGTCGCCAGACAGCTCAGACACCGATGACGGGACGTACCTTACGTCAAGGCAGTAATAAGCCCGTCGCAGGAGTAGAACCAACAACCCCATCTGATCCTCGGAACTCTTATGGCCAGCAAGACTCGTCTCACCACCCTCGCACCCAATCCTATGGAGGCCAATCTTCATCGTCCTCCATTGAAGCGACTGAAGCTGCCAAGGCAATGTACGCTCAAGGGCCAACCTCTCCCGTAGCACAACGACCGCCAGGACCGGACCGAACCTCATCTTCCTCTGCCGCGGCGGCTGCTATCGCAGCGATGGCGGGACCAAAGAGCCCTACACAGCAGAGAGATCCTTACCAGCGATCTTCTGCAGACTATGCAGGCCGCCAGAGTGGCTCTAGTTCTCAAGGCTACGCTAATCGTCTCGACTCGCATCCCGAGGATGGAGGTTATGGATCCACGCCGAAGCCACAAGCTGCGCACCCAAGTTACAACCCCGCCGCGTATGCCGGTTATGCAGCCCCACAGGCCTCGCAACAGCAAATGCAATCCCTTCAGTCACCAACTGCTACGATGTATAGTCACCAAGCTCAAGCACCTGCTCCAGAGCCAGTACCGCCTGCGACAGCTGTTATTCCCAGAAAATCAGCTCCTCCCGCAAGCGAATCCGGAACTGGCCGCCGTATCGGTCTGGATCACTTCAACTTCTTGGCAGTGCTTGGTAAGGGTAACTTCGGTAAGGTCATGCTTGCGGAGACCAAGGCTTCGAAGCAGCTGTACGCTATCAAAGTGCTAAAAAAGGAGTTTATCATTGAGAATGATGAAGTCGAGAGCACTAGGTCGGAGAAGAGAGTTTTCCTGATCGCTAACAAAGAGCGCCATCCTTTCCTGCTTACTCTCCACGCATGCTTTCAGACCGAGACAAGAGTCTATTTCGTCATGGAGTACATCAGTGGTGGTGATCTCATGTTGCACATTCAGCGTGGCCAGTTTGGAACGAAGCGGGCCCAGTAAGTTACTCCTCGGGTTCCTCTCGGCTCTATACTAATCCATATAGATTTTACGCTGCTGAGGTTTGCTTGGCACTGAAGTACTTCCACGAGAACGGTGTCATCTATCGTGATCTGAAGTTGGACAATATCATGTTGACACTGGATGGTCATATCAAGATTGCCGATTATGGTCTGTGCAAGGAAGACATGTGGTATGGATCAACGACTAGCACGTTCTGTGGTACTCCTGAATTCATGGCTCCTGAGGTATGCCTCTTCTCCCTCGCTCTTTCTTTCCCTTTCTAACCAGTTTAGATCTTGTTAGATAAGAAATACGGCCGCGCTGTCGACTGGTGGGCATTTGGCGTGCTCATATACCAAATGCTGCTTCAACAATCACCGTTCCGTGGAGAAGACGAAGACGAAATCTACGACGCCATTCTAGCCGACGAGCCCTTATACCCCATCCACATGCCTCGTGACTCTGTCTCGATTCTCCAAAAGCTGCTCACCCGCGAACCCGATCAGCGCCTTGGAAGTGGACCAACCGATGCCCAGGAAATCATGAGTCAGCCCTTCTTCCGCAATATCAACTGGGATGATGTGTATCACAAGCGTATCCAGCCACCTTTCCAACCGCAGATTACTAGCGCAACGGATACGAGCAATTTTGACTCGGAGTTCACCAGTGTTACCCCTGTTCTGACGCCTGTGCAATCTGGTCAGTCCCAAATCTTGCCGGTACTTAAGGTCGAGATTGCTAATAGTGGGTGTAGTTCTTTCACAAGCTATGCAAGAGGAGTTCCGTGGCTTCTCGTACTCTGCCGATTTTATTTGAGCGGCTCGCATCTGCACACCAATTGATAAATGATTTAGCGTACCGAATTCCACTCTTTGGCCGTCCTGTTGTTTGTTTTTTCTCCGCTTGGTTGGAGAGTCAAAACGCACGCATATGCCTGTCGCATAGGAGGGGCCTGGAGTTTTGTCGGTTTCTCACGTCGCGACTTGTAGAATACCTATCAAGATGTTAAGATGGGATCAGCGATAAGTGATGAGGCGGGTATGGGAGGGGAAATGAGAGGTGGTTATAAAGGGGAAGGGGAATTGAAATGAATGAATGGCGCGTTGGGGGCACACACACACGCTCACACACACTTTATGGCCTTGACAACAGCCAGAGGTCATGGATTTTTTGCTCATTCGCCTGTCATAGACGGACAGACGGGCACTTCACTCTCCATGGCAGGGAGGAACGGATGGGTGGATGGATGGGAGATAGCGATATCAAGGCGATGGCGATGGCGATGGGGAATTGGCGATGGGATTAGGGGCGGGGTGGTCGTTTGTTTGGTCAATTGTTTTGCACTAGCTAGTTAGCTAGCTGCGTGCGACCTCTTAATTACCTAGTCACTTGATACTCTATCACTCAGGTTGTGCTCTAATGTTGTTGATTTCTCGCTTAGGCGTAACCCTTAGTGCGCGATGTGAGTGAGTACGGTAGGGGTCTTTTCCTAGGTGAGACGTAAACTCGGGTGAATCTTATCTGTCTCCAATCCGCATCTCCATCTGCACTCAAACTCAAGTCTCAGCAACTTCAACCGGGGGTCTCCAGTACTCCGAAGCAAGGAAAGAAAGCAGATCGCCTTTCGTGAGTAGGTAGGTTCTTGTCATGGTCATCATCAGGCTGATCAGCTACGCCTTTCTTCGTTACATCCCTTCAGAACACATCCCTCATTGCGTCCACCAGGCAAGCCTCTGTCTGCAACTCCGTTTATCAAATTCAGCCTCCTCAACGCACACAAAGCATATAACAGCACCTAGTAACTCCGGCCGAACATACACCACTTCTCGGCGAAAGCCTCGCATTCGGGGTTCAGGCACTTCGTCTCGCCCTTGACGATGCCCTCGGGCTGCTCGAAGGGAATACACAGGCTCTTCATGCCCATGCTGGGGACCTTCAACTCCTGGGGACCATCGGCCTCCTCGGGCTTGCCGGTCGTCAACTCCTTCACCTTGTCCTCGCACTTCTCGGCCAGGCAGTGCGGGATCAGAACTACGTTCTTGGCGTCCAAGGCTGGGACGACCTCCTCCCACTTGCTGATCACTAGGCGGTGCTCACGGAACGAGGCTTCGGCTTTGGAGTACATCTCCTTCTGGATGGTCTCGAGGAGGGCGGGGATCTCGGTCGCGAGGTTGGCGATGGAGATGGTGCCTTTCTCGCTGGTGTCGCGACGGGCAAAGGTTACTACTGATTTGGCGGCGTCCTTGGGGCCGTACTCGAGGCGCAAGGGTACACCCTTGAGCTCCCAGTCGTTGAATTTCCAGGCCGGGGTATAGGAGTCGCGGACATCGTAATCAGAGCGCACGCCGGCCTTCTTGAGGGTATCTTTGAGCTCCTGCAGCTGGTCGTAGTGCTTGGCTTTGTCTTCGGGGGTGGTCGACTTATTGATACCGACGGGAATAATGATCACTTGGAGCCTGGCGATGCGAGGCGGGAGCACGAGACCTTTGTCGTCGCCGTGGATCATGACCATGACTCCGATGACACGCGTGGAGAGACCCCAGGAGTTTTGCCAGACATGGATATGTTTAGGCTTGGCGTCACCGACCTTGGGAGCGGGGTCCTCGACGGTGATGTCGAACATCTTTGAGAAGTTTTGGCCGAGGCAGTGGGAGGTTCCACCTTGGATACCACGGCCGTTGGATGGGATGTAGCCTTCGACGGTGGTGGTATAGTATCCTCCTGCGAACTTCTCCTTCTCTGTCTTGCGGCCTCGTACAACAGGGACAGCCAGCAATTCCTCGTAGACTCCGGCATACAACTCCAAAATCTGTAGGACTTCCTCGCCGGCCAACTCCTCAGTCAGGTGTGCGGTGTGACCCTCTTGCCATAAGAACTCTCTGGCGCGCAAGAAAGGGGTTGTTTGCTTGGCCTCCCATCTAACGACACTGTTCCATTGGTTGAGACGGAGGGGCAGATCGCGGTGACTACGAATCCACTTTGAGTAGTAGGGATACATAACAGCTTCGGAGGTAGGACGGACGGCTACAGGGACCTCGAGGTCTTTGTCTCCACTATCGACTGTCAGTACAAAATCGCGATAGTGGAGGAGTAGACGTACGCCTTGGTGACCCAAGCAAGCTCGGGCGCGAAGCCCTCGACATGATCCTTCTCCTTGTCGAGCGACGTCTTGGACAGGAACATGGGGAAACTGGCCTCCTCGACATCCATGGCCTCGATGCGCTCCTGGAACCACTTGCGGATGACGTTCCAGATGAACATGGACGCGGGCCGCAGGATGAAGAAACCCGAGATCTCCGAGTAGTACTCGATCATTTCAGCTTTGAGAACAACCTCTGTGTACCAAGCCGAAAAATTGTCAACCTTGCGCACTGTGAGGCCGTCCGCGTTTTCGTTGCCCTTTTTTCCCCCTACGACTGGGAGAGCCGCCTTCGCGGCCTTCGCGGCTTTCTCGGCGGCCATCTTTGCCTGCTTTTCGGCCTTCTTGATTGAGCTCTTACTCGGCTCTTCCGGAATTGCGGAGTCAGCCATTGTTGGAGAGTTCGTGGGATTGGTGTTGTTGTTGTTGCTTTGCGGCGTTGGAGGGGTTGAGTTGAGTCAAGTCGGGACTTTTTGGACCCCTCCTCACCCGCCTTGGATTGTGGGGAAGGACTAGCTACAAGCGAACCACCGTCCACCGTAGTCAATCTTGCCTGAGGCCTAAGGCACGGGGCTAACTTTTCGAATCAATCAAGCTCGGGCCTTGGCAAATTGTGACAGACGCGAGATTTTCTAAAGAACCCAGTCGAGACGCGGCGCGGGATTGTAATTGCTGTACCAGATCACCACACCACACCACAGCACCATACAACACAACACAAAATGGGGTCCCTCTTCGAACAGCCTCGTAATGCTGGAACTCTGTTTCTGGGTGGAAGCAAGATCAGCGGATCGGATATCAGAGACCAGAATGGTACGGCTCCTTCAGACTTGGGCCAGAAGGCAAGCTAATACTCGCAGTTCTTGCTACCCAGGCTATCGCAAATGTTGTCAAGAGCTCCTTTGGCCCCAGCGGTCTCGACAAGATGATGGTGGACGATATCGGTGTGAGCTGAGCTTGTCTTCAAAGCCAAGTCAACAAGCTAACAGCATCTCAGGATGTTACAGTTACAAACGATGGAGCTACCATTCTCAGCTTACTGGACGTCGAGCACCCCGCGGGAAAGATTCTAGTCGATTTGGCACAACAGCAAGATAAGGAGGTTGGCGACGGAACGACGTCTGTGGTCATAATCGCCGCAGAGCTACTCCGCAGAGCCAACGAACTCATGAAGAACCGCATACACCCTACCACGATTATCACAGGCTACCGCTTAGCCCTTCGCGAAGCTGTGAAATATATGCACGAGAACATCAGCGTCAAGGTCGACCAACTGGGCCGCGAATCGTTGATCAGCATTGCCAAAACCTCCATGTCCAGCAAGATCATTGGATCAGATTCCGATTTCTTTGCCAACATGGTTGTGGATGCTATGCAAGCAGTTAAATCGACCAACAATAGACAAGAGGTTAAATACCCAGTAAAGGCAGTCAATATTCTTAAGGCACACGGAAAGGGTGCTTTAGAGTCTATGCTGGTCAAGGGATATGCCATCAACTGCACTGTTGCTTCGCAAGCAATGAAGACAAGAATCACCGATGCCAAGATTGCAGTTCTTGATATGAACCTGCAGAAGGAGCGAATGAAGTTGGGAGTTCACATCACAATCGACGATCCTCAACAACTGGAGGAGATCCGAAAGCGCGAGGCAGGAATCGTCATGGACCGCGTGGAAATGATCTTAAAGTCGGGAGCTAATGTTATTTTCACAACCAAGGGTATCGACGACTTGTGCCTGAAGCTGTTCATCGAGAAAGGCGCTATGGGTGTACGAAGATGCAAGAAGGAGGACTTACGGAGAATAGCCAAGGCCACTGGTGCCACACTCATCAGTTCCTTGTCAGATCTCAACGGCGATGAGAAATTTGAAGCTTCGTCTCTGGGTCACGCCGAGGAGGTTACTCAAGTACGGATCTCGGATGATGAGTGCATTCTCGTCAAGGGCACCAAAGTCCACACCTCCGCATCCATCATTCTCCGAGGATCGAACGACTACCAACTTGACGAGATGGAGAGATCTGTCCACGACTCCCTGTGCGCCGTCAAGCGAACCCTCGAAAGTGGTAGCATTGTTCCCGGCGGTGGAGCCGTCGAGACCGCCTTGCACATCTACCTCGAGGAATTCGCCGGCACCGTCGGATCCAGAGAACAACTCGCCATTGGCGAATTCGCACAAGCCCTCCTCGTAATTCCAAAAACCCTTGCCGTAAATGCCGCCAAGGACTCCTCCGAACTTGTTGCCCAACTCCGCTCCCGCCACGCCCTGTCCCAGCGAATCCAAGAGGGAGACGCAAACGAGGACGAGAAGACCATCGCCAAAAAGAAGAACTACAAGAACTACGGCTTGGACCTGACGAAGGGGAAGGTCGTGGATGAGATCAAGGCGGGTGTATTGGAGCCGAGCATGAGCAAGATCCGGCAGCTGAAGAGTGCGGTGGAAGCGTGCATCTCGATCATGCGTATTGATACTTTGATCAAGCTAGATAGACCAGAAGCTGGAGGTGATGATGATGGACATGGTCACTGATGAACACTTCAGCAAGATGAGCGGGTGCTGTAATATAATGAGACTATATTTTGTCGAGGCTTGACGAAAGATGCCTTGACAAACCACCTTCAAGTCTCCGAGCCACCCCTTTTTTTGGGCATGTCTGCTATGATGATGATCTGGACCAGGAGTAGTTGAATGAATGAAAACGCTATAAGCAACTCTAGACGGTATGTGCACGATCGAGTGTTTCTCGGTTGTGTTCATACGGTCTAAACTAGATTCGCTTACTAGCTGGTAGATAGGTAGGTAGGTTAGAAACGTAGGAGCAGAACTTGGATCAGCAGCCAATCGATTATAAATTATCGAGGATAGATAAGATGTAACATGCAACACCAAAGGACCAAATACCAGATGCCTAGGTGGATTTTCAAAGTAGGGATGCCGGATATATCAGTTTCAGTATTGCGACCTGTGATGTGTGATCTGGACTTGGATTCGGATTCGGATCGATCGCTGGCCTCCTTCCTTGCCGTACAAAAATGATGAGCAACTTTTCTTTCTTCGGTTCCTCTCCGAGAGAAGGTAGCTAGGTGGCTGGTGTGTATGTAGATGGTTCTCTTTCCGATACGAGATGTGATGCGACGAGTGATGTGGACTTCGACGATTTGGAATTGGAATTTCGGTTTGGAGTATCCAGTGGTTCTGGGGAAGAAAAAAAAAAGGCCTTCGACAGGAAGCTTTCTGTCGCCCCCTTGATCTTCTCTTTCTTTTAGCTGCTGTATGTACGGGCCTGGAATGTAATTCGTTTTTCTGCTAGGTATGGATGTGACATTGAGCCTTGGACAGATAACAAATCCTGCCCATGCTTGTACACCGCGAACGCAAAGGCAATGCCTCTCTAAGTAGATAGGATGGTATCCTCGCAAGCCCCTGGTGTCAGTCAACAGCAAGCAGCGCCGTCAGTGAATTCAGTACGACTTGGCGCTTTGCTTGCTTGGTTTGTAGAGTAGCCGAGCTAGATAATTCATTTATCCTCACTCATCACTACTCAGCAAGCGAGCCGCTTTCTGCTTTCTGAAGACTCTTATTTAGTTACGGTATGCATACTACCTAGAAGTAGCCTATCCTTCACAGATTTTTTTTTTCCTGTTCTTTCGGTGCTTCGCTTCGGCCATGTATACCTATCTAATGACGCGGAATCAGATCATAAATCAGAAAGAACCCCACAGTAAGAAAACCGCGACATACCTAGGTACCTGCGAGGTAGGTACGAAAATGCCTCTGAAGAAGAATCTCTGTCATACCGGAGCCAGGAGCTAGTGCCGTGTTGTATTGTGCCAGACTGCCGTAGCAAAGCCTCTAGCTTTCTTTTCGGTGCAGCTGAGGAGAAACCGAAGTTGAATCTGGACACATTTAGCGCCAATCTTCACCATCTCCTGCAGAAGACGGTTAAGGTACTTACAATAGCCTTCGAAACACTATACTGATGACGATAAGAGTAGTTGAGTCTGTGGTCTACGTAGAAGGGCGAGGGCCGGCTACCACTGGAAATTGTCGACTTTTGGCTTCTCTCATGGCTTCCCGCGGGTGGATAGAGCCTGATTGTTGCTCTAATTTCTGCTCCTTCTCTTTTTATGCGGGTGTGAAGTATGTCGCTAAAAAATAGGACTTCTGAATCTCGTCTGATGACGGAAAGTAACAGCGCACGAAAAGCTGGAGCTGAAAGGTTGAGACTACTTGATAGCTGCTGTTAATAAAAGCTTCCTGGAGCATTGTAAATACTTTGCGCTGTACCTCCCGTCCTTGGGCACTGGCTTGTAATGCAGGCGTCCAAGGTAACAGCAACTCCAGAAGTGCTTCACTCACGAGCATTCGAGTACTCAATGTACGAATATTTTAAACTTTTCTTCAGTGATCTTTTGTACAACGGAATCGTCCCCTCTACTGAGCCGCGAGTTCCACCACCAGCCCCATCGTCTACCTCCCCGTCTAGCATACCAGAACTCCATTATACAGACCTCTTAACCAATAACGAGCGACGTTTCTTCGGCAAAGTCGTACTCTGGGATCTCAAGATTGAGAGGCGCCGGCCCTCTGCGAATACGTCCGGAAATATCGTAGTGGGATCCGTGGCAAGGGCAGAACCATCCTCCGTAATCACCGGCCTCGCCGATGGGTACACATCCCAAGTGTGTGCAGACACCTTCCATTCCTGTTAGCCTGGCTCGTCCAAACTTTGAATGGAGATCTGCGGGCGGTGATACATACCAACCATAACCAACCATTCGGGCTTCTTAACGCGGTCTTCGTCCTTCTGGGGATCCCGCAACGACTCTACCTTGACGTTCTCAGCATCTTTGATCTCATCTGCAGTTCTGTGGCGAATGAAAACGGGCTTTCCACGCCATTTAACAATAACCTGTTCTCATCAGCGCCCATACCCTCATGATCTGAGTCATGAAACCTACGTTCTTGCCTTCAGGAATGGCAGCAAGGTCGACCTCGACCTTGGCCATAGCCAAAACATCCGCAGAAGCAGACATGTTGACCAGAAAATCTGCACCACACCAGCCATCAGCCTCGTATTCCACTCAACCCACTTCCTACAAATAATATCCGTCCGAGTCCTTTCTAAGTATACCAGCCGAGTCTGCCTCCGGACAAAACGTACCTTGCACGGTAGCCTTCGCGCCAGCCGCCGTCAGGGCCCCCATGGTGCCGACCATGAAGTACTGGATCAGCAGGTTTGGATTCGAGCCCGATTTACTCCTGTAGTTGCTGAAGTCGGGGATCTTGCTGCTAGCATTGCCTCCCTGACCCTTGAACGGCGAGTCGAAGCTGCTTGTTCCTTGGGCCTTTGCGGCAGAGATGGACAGGGCGCGGGTGGCGAGGGGGGTGCTACGTGGGAGGGAACGCATCAGCGTACGCGAAGTATGGGCGAGAGAGGCCATCGTGTTGTGTGCGTGGCGGTGGAGGGATGAGGTAGCGGGATAGGATGGTTGACGGATTGAGGTTTTGGGAATGGGATTGACGGATCGCGGCTAGAGCTTTGATTATGATTATGATGGGGAGGGATGTGATTGGCCGAGTGAGAAAGCTTGAGCCCGGAATAACTTAAACCTCTTCGGCAAAGACAACACGACAAGGCTTTTTCGAGCTCATGATGCACTCTAACGTGCGATACTGTTTATCTTGTCTGTAAGAATGTGCATTTGCTCTCAAAGTTCAATGTTGATATTCGCTGTATTCAAAGTCCTCCTCTCCTCTTCTCTCCTCTCCTCTCTATAAGCCCAACACCCCAACTGGAAAGCTTTGGGCACAGCCGGAACGAGAAAGTGTATTTATTAAATGTCATATGTGACTTTTTGTTTTCTTTCTTTTTTTCTTTTTTTTCTTTATCTATCTATGATCATTCGATTGCACCTGTCCCTCCGCGATTTGTCTTTAGATGATCATTTCCGTCATTATAATTGAGCTTTCCATAAATTAGGATTAGGAATGCTACTGTCACCAGCGGCAAAATGATTCCTTATCTCCTATTGTCCTTGCGATATACATCGATAGGTTTCATAGCCATGAGTTTGCATGACATTGGCTTCAGTCTACCTATGTGGTCAGGACCTTCTTCCATAATGCAATAGTGCACAATGTACTGTGATGTATTCTGAGACTAGACAGGCCATGATTGCTTTCTTTACAAAGCACATGAGCTCTCCCAAGAGCAGGAAAAGTCTTCGTACTCTGAAGAATTCGGGCAGTAATTCACCCCCGTAGCTCCCCCTACCGGTATATGACACCTTACGATACTAGCACTATCCGTACCGAGCCGGTTTCTCTGTGAGTCCGTCGAGTACCTCCGTTGGCAATGCATCCTGATGTATAAACCAGCGAATCACAGATCATAGTCACGAATCCCAATGCATTGCTGCGTGGATCACAGCAATTTGTGACATCGATTGTATGGATCCGAAGTATGGAGCATGGCTTCATCTAGGTAGTAGTCCGGTACTGACAGTCTGACGGGACGATAGTTCCAAAAAAAGACGATATCAATAGGACCACAACAAATTCCAACGATCCCTCGAAGACAAGTTGGAGGATTTTTTTTTAGAAAAACCCGTTTACATACTCTTGCACAATGCCATGCCAGCAAGTCGAAAGAGGGTGGGTAACAGTTGCTTGGTGTCTCACAGCAGTAGAGAGGAAGTGGTTGCGCATCATCACTCTGATGTAGAGTGTTGACTTTGGAGCCCAGGAGAACCAAGATGACTTAGCGAGAACTCTGAAATGGCCACTCCAAGGTACCACTACAACTTGTACCGGACTTGAGAATCGGGGTTTTACTGCAAATGAATAGGTATTACTGGAGCTCCTGAACCCAAACCTGGATTTTCAAAAAGATCGGGGTCAAGGGGTGACATCAATGAGGCCCGATTACTCATGACGTATGCGGCCTGGCCCCCGCCAACGGTAGCGTCAACACACGACCTTAGGTACTGTTGCCAACTCCAGAAAAGATCCCCTTCATTTCTCTTTGCAACAACCACAATTTCCAACACATTCAATCACTTCGAAGAGCCATCTGAAAATGAGCGGAATATCCAACGTCGGTCAAGCTTCGGTCTACGAGGACGGAGACCAGAAGAACGTCCCCAAGTCCCAGATCGAGCAGGAGAAAAAGGACAACAGATTCCACGAAGGAAAGGAGAATAGCCACAAGGCCCTCGACTCCAGTGAGTTATCTACAGCGAGGCCCAATAGTTGGACCAGAGGCTAATTTGGTGTTACCAGAGGACGAGAGATCTATTGCCAATAAGCTCGCCCGCGAGGAGAAGGTTGGTCAGCCCAGCCCCAGAGATCGATGGCACCGGAAAAAGCAAGTGGACGGAGATGCTAACGACATGCAGCGCCAGGCTGAAGAGGAAGAGGAGTCTGAGGAGACCAAGGCATTGAAGAAGGACCCCACACTGCCCGTAAGTGTCTCTACGCATCTCGTCCTTGCCTTAGATCTTCACGGGCATATCTTCTAGTCGGGATCAGCTCCAGTCTAGACTATATGCTTGCGTCCTGAGCACTACTTATCACAGGATACTTAAAACTGATCTTGATATAGGCCAAGATGCACGGCAACGAGCCTAGCAAAGGTGCAAAGATCGACGCACAAATCCAAAAGGAAGAGGAAGAGGAGCTGAAGAGAAAGGGCAAGGCTTAAAGAGGGCAGAGTAGGAGCTAGCCACATGTACTTGGGGCAGTGATGAACTAGGAAGTGCTAGAAAAACATCCATCTTGCCGCAATTGCCAGGGTGTATCAGGCTTGATCGCTTTATTGACAGACAAAAGGAAATCTCATCCTGTGTTTCGAAGTAATATATTAGTTTAAAGCAATAGCAGGTTACCAGGCAGCGCACTTACTATCAAAGCTTGATGTACTCTGCTGGTAATCCAATTCTGTAAAGGTAAACAGGATAGGCGTGACCTACGGAATACCCACGAGCGCAATCCTGGTCACCGTAGCAGGGCCGGGGGACGAGGCTCCGAAGTACGACATCGGAATCCCATTATTTCTCGTTGACAATCATCAACACCAGAATGCTAGAAATCTTCTCCACCAGATTCACCTGTTACTAGTGATATTCCTGGCTAGTCCTGCAGCTTGAGGAGAAACCACAATGGCTTAAGCTGTCCCTCTCCACCCTCCATGACTTCGCCCAGATGATCCCCGAAGCTTCGCAACCATGGGACAAGGCTTCTCACTCACGACGCTCAACGCGGGTTCTGCGGGCATCGATGTCCCAGAGCTTTCAGATCTCACATACGAAAAGTCTATGGGAAATGCGCGGTTTATGAAGAGCATACGGGCCCGGCACCAAGATGGAGTCGTTTTGGTCAAGGCAGTAGTCAAACCATATGCCATGCCGCTGGAGAAATATAAGCGCAGTATCATCCGTCAGTATAGTGAATCCAAAACTAAACCAAGGTGTACTAATATTGCTCTACAGAGGAAAGAAAAGCTCTGGCAGATGTGCCTAATGCGCTCGCCTACCAGCGAATCGTGGAGACTGAGACGAACGGATTTCTCGTTCGGCAATATCTGTACAGCTCCTTATACGATCGCATGAGCACTCGACCTTTCCTGGAGGATATTGAGAAGAAGTGGCTTGCTTTTCAGCTGTTATGCGGGGTACGAGACTGCCATGCTCGAGATATATTCCATGGAGACATCAAGACGGAGAATATATTGGTCACCTCTTGGAACTGGCTATACTTGTCAGACTTCTCGTCTTCTTTCAAGCCTACAACTCTGCCAGAGGATAACCCGGCCGACTTTTCATACTTCTTCGATAACGCTGGAAGACGGACTTGTTACCTGGCTCCCGAAAGGTTTCTAGCAGCTGGAGAGAATCCAGATCCAAAATCACAGATTTCGTGGGCGATGGATGTGTTCAGTGCTGGATGTGTAATCGCTGAGTTATTCCTGGAAGTTCCGATATTCAACCTGAGCCAGCTGTACAAATACAAGAGAGGGGAATACAATCCAGTCTCAACCAACCTCGATCGGATAGCAGACAAGGATGTACGAGAAATGATTGCCCATATGATACAGCTTGATCCAAAATCCAGATATTCAGCGGAACGTTATCTTGATTTTTGGAGGAAGAAGGTCTTTCCGGATTACTTCTACAGCTTCCTGCACCAATATATGGGGTTGATAACGGACCCTTCCTCGGGGAGAACGCCAATATCAGGAGCTTCGGCCAACCTTGGAGAGGCGGATGACCGGATAGACCGTATTTATTATGACTTTGACAAGATCTCATACTTCCTGGGATACGAAAATGAAAAAAGAGTGGTCGAGAAACCATCATACACCGCTAGTCGGCTGAAACTTTTGCCGGTACATTTGAACATTCCGAACAATGAGCACCAATCGTCCATTGTTCATGTGAGGCCAACAGATGACGGTACCTTGATATTCCTGGCTTTAGTCGTATCATCGCTTCGAAACACTGCTCGAGCTACAGCCAAGATTAGGGCCTGCGATATTCTGTTAGCATTCTCCGAGCGCTTAACCGACGAAGCGAAGCTCGACAGAGTGTTACCTTACCTAGTCGCTTTGCTCAATGACAAAGTTGATATCGTCAAAGTCTCAGCGATACGAACTCTCACTCAACTTATGGCCCTGGTTACGGTGGTGTCTCCCGTCAACGCGCATGTATTTCCGGAATACATCCTGCCGCGAATGCAGGCCTTTCTTCCTGGCTCGCCTTCGGATCCTGGGCCCTTGGTTCGACAAACGTATGCAGCATGTCTAGGCAGCCTTGCAACATCTGCTTCACGGTTTCTTGATATGGTTGCGACACTAAGAGCCGATGGTGCTCTTCCCACAGCGGACTCGGAGACAGAAGACAGCAATACCGCCAAGGCACAAATTCAAGGATTGTTTGACAATTCTCGAGCAGAGCTTATTTTGATATTCGAGACTCACACTAAGGCCTTGATCACAGATGGCGATTCTGCTGTGAGGCGCGCCTTCCTTGGGTCTGTCCCCGAATTGTGCATGTTCTTTGGAACAGCGGACTCAAACGATATCATTTTGAGTCATTTGAACACCTACCTCAATGACCGAAATTGGGTGCTCAAATGTGCCTTCTTCGAAACCGTCGTTGGAGTTGCAACTTTTTTGGGTGGTACTAGTCTGGAGGAGTTCATTCTACCGTTGATGGTCCAGGCACTGACAGACCCTGAAGAGTTTGTTATTGCGAGCGTTCTTCGCTCGCTTGCCAGCATGGCCGAACTAGGTCTCTTCCAACGATTTAAAACATGGGAACTTGTCGATATCGTGGGAAGATTCACAATGCATCCCAACATCTGGATACGCGAGGCCGCCGCATTGTTCCTGTCATCCGCTACCATTTTTCTATCGGTTGCGGATACTCAGTGCATCATGTATCCTCTTATCAGACCGTTCTTGAAATCTTTCATAAACGACTTTGCAGAACTGAATCTTCTTGACAACCTCAAAAAGCCCTTGTCCCGTCCGATCCTGGATCTCTCAATTACCTGGGCGATGAAAGTTGATCGAGGGATCTTCTGGAAACCTGTGCATCAACTAAGAACATTCTCTTTCGACTCGAATAGCTTTGGCCTGACGACAGCCCTGGGCAAGGACTTCGGACACCAGGCTTTGCTGAAGGTGCCGATGAATGAAGAAGATGAGCAATGGCTAGCGAAATTGAGAAACATGGGTCTTGGTCACGACGATGATGCCAAATTACTATACTTAAGGGAGTATATCTGGCGCCTAGCACTTTCCAGGGCACGAGAAATAACACCGCACCCGGCATATCTTAACGATGTTATCAATCTTCGCAACATTGGGATCACGCCTCAGACGGTCATGTTTGAAGAGTCGCCGCATCTGGACGAGTCTTTGAGACGACTAAATAGCGGTGCTGAGGGGAGTGACCGAGTGCCACATACTATTGCCGATGCATTACTTGACGCTTCGATGACGATTGGTAATGACGACGCCATTTCCCGGCGACGACGTTCTGCGTACAACAACCATAAAGCTCGTCTCAACAGTCAGGTTGGTACGGTGTCTGCAAATGGGCGTGGTGCTCGCTCTCCTGTTTCTCCATCCACTACACCCACGTCTCCCAAAGACATAGAGCCGATATCTTTAGATGCGACTCGCCATCGGAAATCTCTTCAAGGACAAAGTGCTCGAGGAAGCGACGATGAGAGTTTGGTGCCTGAGACAGGTTCAAGTGTCAATTCTAGAGAAACTAACCTTGCAATTCGTCACAAGTCTAGTGCCATTACTTTGTTGAATCGCAAGGATACTACGAAGTCATTTGCTGAAACGGGTACGACATCCACGAATGCTTTCGGGAAAGTTGAAGGGTTTTCTCACCATCGTAGCGAGTCATCCGCCCTTGCGCTGGCTAAAGAGAGAGTTAAGCTTGACCCGGACCGACATCGTTTCAGAGGATCCCATACGTATGCAGGAAATGATCCAAGTATACTCAAAATGCTAGATGCGATATATATTGATAACTACCCGAATGATATCGCGGAATTTGGACCAATGATTGCCACCTCGAGCAGAAGAAAGAACATTAACAAGAGCTCCACTCAAGCAAACGATAGACCTTGGAAGCCGGAAGGAAACTTGGTAGCCACATTTGCGGAACACACAGGTCCGATACATCACATCGCCGTCGCTCCTGATCACTTATTCTTCCTCACTGGTGGTGATGATGGCTGTGTGAAAGTCTGGGACACTGGAAGACTGGAACGCAATATCACACATCGGTCCAGGCAAACACACAAGCATGCTGATGACGCTCAGATTACAGCCCTGTGCTTCGTCGAGAATACGCACTCTTTCGTTAGCTGCGGTAGTGATGGTAGCATAAATGTGGCAAGAGTCGAGTGCGTTCAGGCCAGTGGGACAGTGAGATATAGCAAGCTTCGAGTGCTGCGTGACTATCAATTGCCTAAAGGCGAATTGGCAGTCTGGGCCGATCATTTCAAGATAGAAACACACTCCACCCTGATAGTTGCCACCAATCGTTCGCGGGTAATTGCTATTGATCTCCGTAACATGGAGGTTCTGTACACGTTGGACAATCCGGTTCATCACGGTACACCTACTTGCTTCGTAGTCGACAAACGACGGCAGTGGTTGCTCTTGGGTACATCCCACGGAGTTCTTGATCTCTGGGATCTCCGATTCAAGGTGCGACTAAGAGCGTGGGGTATACCTGGAGCCACCTCTATCTATCGCATGTCTATGCATCCTACGAAAGGCCGTGGCAGGTGGGTCTGCGTTGCAGGTGGCAGTGGAAATGGCGAGATGACCGTGTGGGATGTCGAGAAAGTGCAATGTAGAGAAGTTTATCGTGCAGGTGGTGGCAGAGATAGCCCTGAAGGATATGAGCCATGGCCTGTCGACGAAGATCGTCCGGAGGGCATGCTCGGTCGATTCGCAACTGCGCTCGAGCCGAGCGGATCCAGCAATTCTGATCGAGGCATGCGAGCGATGGTGGTCGGGACTGACTCCTTTGATGACAATCGGGAGGTCAAGTACGGATTCGTCATCACCGGAGGGTCTGATAAGAAGATTCGTTTCTGGGATGTGTCTCGTGTGGAGAATTCCATGGTTGTCAGTGGGCTTGACGCCGAAGAGCTAAAACCATCGTTCACCTCGACGCATCCGACTGCTTCTCTGACGCTCAACACGGAAAGGATTCCGAGACCTGGGCCAACGGCACCAAACGCTGGAGCAGGCGGGCGGAACTCGAGCTCGACCAAGATCGTCAGCGGGCGACCGCCTCGGTCAACGGTAATATCACTTCAGCAACAACAGCTGCTGAAATCTCACTTGGACTCGATTCTCAACATTGCATTGTTAGAGTTGCCTTATGGCATGGTGGTTTCGGTGGATCGGTCCGGCGTTGTATTTGTCTTCCAATGAGACAAGCACTTGGGAGGCGTTTAGGGCAGGAGCATTTGGCAGGCGTTTGTTAGATCCGCATAGCCATATGACCCACTATACACTATGCTAATGTCTTTATACATATTAAGGCAATTAATGATTAATATTTGATGCCCTGCTCTTACTAGGCTTACCGTGAACAAATGTAAACAAATTCCCAAGCTAATTGAGGCTAGCGCGGTTTCCATCTCGCTAAGTAAATTTTGACCTTTGGACGGGAGAGCCTCTCAGCCTTGTCCTAACCCACGGCCACAACACCATTCCTCCAGCACAACTCTCCCAAGCTGGACTGTTTGTTACCTGTTCTCGATCCACGAATTTTACGAATTAGCAGGTAAATCGCGAAAATGCGTCTAACAGCAGACCTGATCCACAACTCCCTCTCCTACCTCAACCCACTCAAGGAGCGCGAGCTTGATCTCCGAGGTGCGTACCCTGAAAAGAACACGATACTACACTTTGATTAGAGGCGAGCTGAGTTGATATCGAACCTTTTGTACTTCTGCAGGCCATAAAATTCCCGCCATTGAGAATCTGGGTGTCGCTGGCGTAAGTTTCCGCCAACCTGTCTCCTCTCCTCCTACTGCATTGTCAAGCCGTCCTCTCACGCCCAGAGCATTGCGGTTGCTATTGGATGCTGACTACAGAGCAAATTTATAGCCTCACGATGCCATCGACTTCACCGACAACGACATCCAGGTCCTAGGCAACTTCCCCCTCTCGGCGCGACTCCACACCCTGTTGCTGGCGCGCAACAGGATTGCAGCCATACAGCCCACGCTCGCGAACTCGTTGCCGAATCTCACGACCCTGGTGCTGACGGCGAACAACTTTACTGAGCTGGCGGATTTGGATATGCTCGCTACGTTTAGGCAGTTGGCGCACTTGGTGCTGTTGGAGAATCCAGTTACGAGGAAGGAGGTGCGCTCTTTCTTCCTTTACTCTGGATCTGGTTCTGGGGTTGAGAGATTGATGGGATTGAAAGAGAAGAGGCTGATTGGACTGAGAGTAGCATTATCGGTACTGGGTTATCTGGAGGTGTCCGAGTGTCCGGTTCTTGGACTATAAGAAGGTCAAGGATATAGAGCGCGAGAAGGCGAAGGAGCTATTTGGTTCTTCTTCCGCGCCGTCCGCGCTAGCTTCTAAGGTGCGCATCACTCCCCTTTTCCGGCATACACGGGGAGATTGCTAATAAATGGCAGATCATGACCGTCAAATCCAAGGTCTTCGACATTCCCTCAGCAAACGGCACGGCCGCACCCTCGTCAACCAAAAACTACCGCGTCAAGTTGACAGATAAGGAGCGCAAGAAGGTCGAGGAGCTGATTCGGAACGCGAAGAGTCTGCAGGATATTATTCGCTTGGAGCAGGAGCTGAATGAGGGACGGGTACCGGCTGCTGCGCAAGCGGCCGATGAGATGGAGGAGTGAAGACAGAGGGCACGGAGTGGGAGGCAAAAATCAATCAGCGGCGAGATCGGTGATACGACATATAAGAGGCGTTTAGGCGATGTTGAGATAGGCACAAAAAAACTACCTCGAAAGGCGTTTTCTGGTTACCGAGCTTTTGTTGATAGAGAGAGAAAAGCAAGTAACAATCTCACCGAGATTGGGTAATTTACATTTAGTTCTAGGTCATTCGCTTTTGGTGTTGCGGTGGTTAGTGATGCTAACGTACAAACCTAACGCCTAGTAGTAATCTGGCAGATGGATTACCCATCTGAAAAATACATACACGAAAACAAGCAACCCATTCTTTCCTTTCCTATCTGGAGGGGGTTTTTTTTTGTTTTTTTTTTTTTTTGGAAAACAGAAGCCATGAAAAGTATTTACAAACACCGAGACTAAAAATCAGCCCTTCCCCGTCAGGTTTGATACGGTAAAAGGAGGCAAGCAGACGCATGACCCCATTGTAGGTAAAACTTTCCGCAGAAAATAAGCAAAGTATGAGTAGGTTGTACAAAAGCCGAAGAAAAAGAAAAGAAAAAGAATCAGCTCATCTCGACATCCTCGCTGCCTTCTTTGCCGTTGACATAGGTCGCAGGATTCGAGATCGTAGAACCGGAGCTCAAACGCGGGCCCAGACTCTCCTTCTTCAGCTGCTCGTTTGGATTAGCGTCTTCTTCTCTCTCATCCTCGTCTTCTTCTCTCTCCTCACCCAGCTTAGCAGCATGGGTGCCGAAGCCGTTGGTTCCGTTTGTGGCCGCGGCAGACTTCATGCCGTCAAGGGTGGTTTGTCCGGCCTCGACTGCGCTCTCGCCATTGGTCTTGGTCTTGTTGGCTCCGGCCTTGGCGGCGGCGCGCTTCAGATACTCACCGTAGGTCATGGTCTTGGGGACGGTGTCGCCGAGGAACTGGAGGTTTTCGTGGTTGGCGACAGCGGTGGCTGAGGGTTTTGTTAGCTTGGGCTCGGGGGATATAGATTGAGAGGAAAGGTAGAAGTACCAATGTCACGGTATTGAAGATTCCGACGGGGCTTCTTCTCAGACTTGGCGACCTCATGGGCCTTTTCGGCGAGCATTTGGGTGAAGAGCTCCTGTGGCATCGTTAGGAATCGCTCTCGCTAGGGTTGGAGAGGTACTGACTGTAGCCCTCGTGAGAACGAAAGCGGCGGCGTTGGAGAAGGCTTGAATATCGGGGTCGGCTTGGACTATCTTTTTGACACGGGACACTAGGAGCGTTAGTATATGCTGTTTGGGATCGTTCTGGAGTTCAGGTCGAATCATCCTGAGATTAGACGGCGACTTACGAGGAAGCTGGGTGGTACCAGTAGGCTCCTTGCGAGGAGGGATTGCGGTGGTGTTGTAAGGCATACCGACGTCTTGATCGGAGATGGAGTCGTCGAGAGATTGATCTGCGGGTTGTTGGTGTTCGGTGGTGAGAAGTTTTGACGGGTTTGGCTTTGACGCGCTTGGCTTTGGCACGCTTTTTGGCGGATTTGGAGATCGGATGCAGGGGAACTAGGACCTCAAGATGCTCTTCGTCGATGTGCTCACCTTTGATGGGCTTCGGGGCAAGGGGTGAGTACCAGTCAAGGTTGAGGCTGAGGTTGGATTTGAGGTCGAGCAGCTTTATTGAGTCTTCCACCAGCGTTCATGGGTTGCTTTGGTCGAAGCCATTGTTAGCTCATGGGTTTCGTTGAGGACGTGAGATGTCAAAAAGAAAATTCGGGGAGAACGGAGAAGTTCGACAGCTCACTAGCGAATGGGAGGAAAACACGGCTAACCGAGATTCTGAAGCAATACAGGACAAATGTAAGAGTGAATTCTGCTACCTATTCGGCTGACTATTGATCTTAGGGGTTGGTTTGGAGCTTGTATCTCTCCCTGGCTCCCTGGGTTTACAGAACTTGAAACTCTTGGTCAAGAAGACAGTCGTTGAGGGCTGGCTCACTCGTGTATATTTTTGCTGGGTTTTTTTTAGCCCCGTTCCTTACTTCATTAAGGGGGTTTTTACTCACACGTTTGATTGACACGTACCAATGTTTTGACTTCCGCTGGCTCTCGAAAATCTGGTCCAAGGGGGCGCGATGCGGTCGTGAGAGACGCGATAAGTTCGCTAAAAAGCTATCCACTATGCGAGTCACATGTGTAGAGTGTGACTCTAGGCAGTCACAGGTATCCATTCGCGTAAGGCTAGCCGGCCGTACCTATACGATTTTATACGATTACCAGACACAGCTCTTGTGACCATCCAGCCTCGTCTTCCACAAATAAAGCGTGCTCGCTTTCGAAGAATCACCTCGTAATAAATAATTGGCTGTATTGCCGTACTTTCTCAACATGAGCCGGCCGTTCAACGGGGATCTTAGTGACTTGATCGCGCGGGGATGGAAGGTACGTCAACATCCGTATTGCCCATCTTCGACTCACCCCCATCACAGAGTTACAAAGTGCTGTCACAAGCGCCCGAGCAACTTAGGCCTCTATGCGAAGCCGTGGCCTTCTTCGTCGATATCCTACGCATGGCACATGATGCTATTCAAGAAAACGTAAACCAACTGTCAGCTTCCGATCGATGGTTGATCAACAGCCAAAAGGAAGCTATCAGTATGGCGTTTGATCAGTTGGAAACTGCGTTTGCAGGTTTGAGATCGGGTCAATCGGGTATCGCGACAATTGCTACTATGGAGGGCAAGTTCATGGCCCAGTCAAATCAGCTTTCGTCATTCTTGGAACTCCTGCAAGGGTAGGTATTTTAATCTATTATTTGGTCCAGGCTTGGTCATGCAGTTTTCATTTGTGCTTTGTATTCCTTCCAAGTGCTGCTCGGAGGGTGCGATTGTATTTGGAAGACGCGGCCAGTAGGAACTTTACTATCGAGCTTTTGCTGACTTAAGTCTCAGTTATTCAAGAGAAAAGATCTCGACCGCCCTAGCCAGTATTCCAGGCATTGAGTCAGTTGCGTCAGATTGGGACGCTTTGCAGGTAGAGCTTGAGAGGGTCGGTATTTCCAAAGAATTGGCTCGAGGAAACTTTTTCCTCATCGATCAATATCTGAAGGAGAATGTATCGAGCGTCAATCGAGTGGTCGAAGTTCATGAGCTTGGGGTCGAGATAGGCGGAGTCGTCGCACCAGTTCACATAGATGAAGACGACCCACCACCCGACTACACGCCGGGATCGAAACAGGGGACTAATGAAGAGAAGGGTCAGTCTCTGGAGCGAACCAATATGGTCGTGAATCACAGTGATCCAGAAGCAGCCATGGCAACATCGTCCAAGTCTCCACCTGCATACGAATTCGAGGAAGGTCAAGACGAGACTCTGGATCAAGATTACGCAAAGTACGTCAAGGAAGCCATCGAAAACGAGGCCGGTGGATTTGCAGGAAGCAGTAGGAGTCCGAGTCACCGCTCTGGGACATTGGCGGGCCCGTTGATTGCCGCTGAATCTTCGAATTCGCAGGGCGGATCGGTATCGTCCAACCAAATATGACAATCCCGTTAAATGGTGGAAGTTGCTGGCCTTATTTGTGGACAGGAAATTTGACGTTGTATAGCGATATCAGATCTTAGCACCACCACCAATGGTCGGTTGACATTTGAACTTCGCCTGCCAGAGGACACAGACAGTGAAACCTACCGTTCATTATCCAGACACAATGTGGTAACCTGGTAGCTCGTTGCTTGAATACTAATTGTCACGGCATCGACATGGAGCTGCCCCAATTATGACCCCGACCGCTCGAGTTCAGCTAACTTTCAACACGCACGAAGGTAAGATCCGAACGGTGCACGAACGCACGACTTGTTGTTTGTGGTATCTCAGATTTCGTACAAAATATCTACAAAACGCTCAAGGCATCTCCAGCCCTTCGCCCAAAAACTCCCCGGCCATGCTACCAGGCCCCAAACCCCCTCGGTACCCCAATATTTTTCCAAATACCCTGCCTAGCAAGTCCAGATGCCCACGATGCCGTCCTTCCGGCCCTCCGTCAAGTAGCCATCCTTGATCCTAACCTTTTCTACAATAGAGGGCGTCTTGCCTTCTTCCTCGGCGTTTACGCCTGCGCCGCAATCCCAATGGCGTCCGTCTGTTTTATCGTACACTTTCACCACGTCTTCGCCTGCTGCTGATGCAATTCGACGGTTGTCGAACATCATGCTCGTGATGGGAGCGTCATAAGCGTAGGCATCGAAAATCGCTCCTGTCCTGAGATCCCAAATCTGTATCATATTAGCCACAAATCAAAACCATGAACGCGGGTGGACCTACTCTGATACTCCTATCCAAACTTCCCGTGATCAAATGCATGTCGTCGAACTGAAGACAAGTCACGGGTCCTGTGTGCCCAACGAGACTTCGGTGGACCTGCCCACTTCTCAAATCCCATAATCGTACCATTCCGTCAGCAGTACCACAGGCCAGTGCGGCATCGAAAACTTGAATTGCTCCAACGAAGTCCGCGGAAGCATCAGGGGCCTTGCCAGTTTGACGCCAAGCGCCTTCGCTAGAACCCATGGTTGCTGAGGCTTGAGCCGCTGCCCACATCACATCCAAAGTTTGAACGCAACGACCCTTTTCGAGATCCCATTGTCGTAAGGTTTTGTCAGCTGAGCCGGAAATCAGAGTGTCTCCCTTGAAATGAAGAGCGGTAACTTCATCGACGTGAGCTTCCAGTGTGAATAGTGGGCAGTCTCGCATAGTTCCCGGCGGTGGTTCAGGCTCCTCGTCTTCGGGGTTTCCAAAAGCCAGCGGATCATCTTCTTCGTCGCCATCCTTATCGATACGGTTATCCTGAGGGTCATAGTATGCCTTGCTAAGATCCCACAATCGGATAGTCGCATCCATAGACCCAGTTGCCACAATGTTGTCTTCGACTTGAAGCGCTCTTACCGATGCGGTGTGTCCTTCCAGAAGTCCTATACAACGCCCTGCATTCAAATCCCACACCCGGACAGTATCATCTAGCGCCGCAGTAACCATGGTGCCAAACGGAACATCGAAGTCTAGGGCTGTAATAGAGTCATTGTGAGCTCGGAGCTCCCGAATTTTAGACCCGGGATCGAAGTGCTCGTGCAAGATTGGCATTGATTTCCGCCTTATGGTCTTGTGCCTCCTGGCTTTTGTGGGTGTGCTATTCGCGGAAGGCAGTTTCTCGTACATCGATTCGGACATAAACGAAGCATCAATAGCTGGATCGTCTGGGTCGATCTCATCCTCGGTTTTGGCTTGCGCGAAAGCCGCCTCATCGTCCAATAGCTCCTGGGCATCTTCCAACCGATTCTCAACGTCCAGTACTGTTTAAAAGGTCAGACATCTTTTTCTGCGATCAGATGGTAAAACTAACTGTCATGCTCCAGCATAGCCTCCTCTTTCTCTAGCCCTGCTAGTCTGTCCAGAACTATCTTTCTCATGTAGTTCAAGTTTGATATCTTGCTGTCTATTTCCCTGATCTCGCTACTGGCCATATTCTTCCGAATACCCATCATCTCGAGGCGATGATTCAGAGAATTTTGCTCCCTCCGTAGCTTCGCCATTGATGGCGGATCATCTGAACCCACGGACTTGTCGTCCTCTAGCAATTTCCTCCCCCTTGATACCTTCCTTTTATGCTTCTTCCCATCAGGACTGCCCTCTGGCATCGTAGCTTGGAAGCCTTGGAATAAGGAGTATACATTTTCATCTTCGGGTATGTTGGCAAGGAGTTCATCGGGTAAATAGGTTAAGGCCCGATATTGAATCTCCGATGTAGAAAGCTTCGATCGGACAAGGTCGGTAGGCGTAGTTTTGGCAAATGAAAAGACGCTTCTCTGCAGATTGGGTCGTCTTAATTGCTTGTGTAGATCACTCATGGCAGTTTGGTAATGTGTGCTTGATGTTGGGTCGAGAGGGCCAATTAGATGACCGGCTGTTGTGGTAACCTTCCTCCCGAATGCCTCCAGGCCTCGAGTCTGCCATGCGTTAGGATATAATACTGTATTTTAGATTCCAGGGCGAGAGGCATACAGAGATTATGGCTGAGTCCTCATTCTCGGGCGAACCATTGTGGCTGCTCGAGCCAGCCATTGCTCGTCTACGGTCTCCAGCACATGTGAGTTGTGATGCTGTGATGCTGTGGTATCGTGGTGTTTTGGTATCGTGTAGTGCTACGGGAATGCTGTTCGGGTATTTGGTCGCAGGACAGGAGCGAGAATAGGAGCTGGTCTCTTCTTGCTTGTAGATGTAGGTACCTAGACGATGATGCCCTTGAATCAAGAATGCCCGGCCGCTGCTCTAGTGGACCTCAACGTCTTGGCATCCTATGCTCCGTACAGTAAAGCGGCGACAAGGCTGAGTGAGGATTCAAAGCAGTGCCGAAAGAGGAGCGTCAAACTCTCGCTTTAAAATTGTGACTCATTCACTCTGTTCATGTTCATTACGGAGTACACCCATCTTACTCGGCTGAGAAGAAATATTCCGTGTACACAGCAACCGAGCAAACGAGCCCTCCCGCGCTTTAACTCCTGCCGCCTCCGACTATTCTCAAGTAGTACAAAGCGCATTACACAAGTACGAGTACAGTAGCACCATGGATAGCGTCATAGACCTTTCCGATGCCTCCAAGGCTCTGGACCTCAATAATATCCGGTACCAGCTCATGTGAGTACGCCTCCATCCCGTGATCCAGCATATAACTCAGAAGACTCCTCTTTCTAGTCGGTTGGAGGATACTATTGTCTACCTCCTTATCGAGAGGACCCAATTCCCTGTAAATGCCACCATTTACAAGCCGGGTGCGGTCCAAATTCCCAACACCCGGCTCAGCTTCCTAGACTGGCTGCTTGGTGAGCGAGAGAAAATTGATTCTCTGATCCGCCGCTTCGAGTCCCCAGACGAGTACCCCTTCTTCCCAGAAGTCGTTCAGAAGCCTATCCTTCAACCGCTCAACTACCCCAAGATCCTGCACAAGAACAACGTCAACGTCAACCAGAAAATCAAGGACTGCTATATCAACCACTTTCTCCCAGCAGCATGTGCAGATTTCGGCCGTCAGGATCGGGGCGAGACGGAGGAGAACTATGGATCGTCGGCAACGGCCGACATTGCCTGCTTACAAGCTCTCTCAAGAAGAATTCATTTTGGCAAGTTCGTTGCCGAGTCAAAGTTCCAGTCCGACCCAGAGAAGTTCACAAGGTTGATCAAGGCGGGAGATCGTGAGGGGATCGATGCTGCTATTACGAACGCGGCCGTGGAGAAAAAGGTGCTGGAACGTTTAGGGTTGAAGGCCAGGACGTATGGTACGGATCCCAGTATTGGTGCTGATGGGCAGGGAAAGATCAATGCTGAGGCCGTGGTGGCTATGTACAAGGATTTCGTTATTCCGCTCACCAAGGAGGTGGAGGTCGAGTACTTGATGCAGCGATTGGAAAAGGAAACGTGAAGAAGAAAAGAAGCTACATGGCTGAAGGCATTCTATTTTGGGCTCAGGTACTCGCAGATAGCCTTCACTGCCCCTTCGAACTTGCTAGCCTCTATCAAAATCATAGATCCCTGTGATTTAATGCCCATCTCCGAGAACGCTCTCTTGCTATCCGCCATCCCCTCGCCCTCGTCCTTGGTGTACCCAAACGAACCAGACGCCAGAGCATGCTTTTGCAAAACCTCATCCTCAGGGTGGAAGAAGAAGACCTCTCGGCTGGTCCCTGCTGCTTTGCTTTTCTTCGTTTTTGGTGCGTCCTCTTGATCCAAGTTTGACGAAATCTCGTTGTAGGTTTTCGAGAGAATAAGGTAGTGAGTGAACTCATATGGCTCCTTGTCTTCGACAGCAGCCTCGATTTCGTCGATGAGCATAGTATACATCGGAGGCGAGATCTCAGCCGGGACATTGATCAGGCGTTCTGAGAGGACAAGACCAACTTGAGAGGAAGAGGTGAGCAGAGATCCGAGTGGTTCAAGTGCCGGGCTCGACTTTGACTTTTCGATGAGATATCGTGTCAAGTCCTGAATAATCTTCTTCTCACGGTGCTCGTGAAGGTTGAGAACCGTAAGGAAAGCATAGGCATCTGTCTCATCCCCGTCGACTTTGACGGTGGAGCCAACTGTAGGTTGTGACAGAATGAGGTCGGCGAAAGCTGAAAGGTCAAACAGTTGTGAGTCCACGTCAAGTAGCTGCCTCAGAAGACTCTTGAGTCCATGAAAATCGACTTCTGGCTTGAAATTGAACCATTCGAATTCGACAGAGATTTCCTATCGAGGGATCAGCGCGTGATCTGATTGTAAGGAATTCGGAAAAGCATACGTCCTCACTACCGCTGTCGTTGTCTTCTCCTTGTGAAGGAGCCTCTGGGAGAACCTCCGGATCACGGTTCCTTTTCTTTACCATTTTGGTTCTGTGTGCTGTGGATGCAAAGCATCGACGCGTAAGTAGTGACCGGGAGGTTGACTCAGAAAAATCCTTATCGCACTTTATCTTAGCGCCGAATCTTCCGCACATAAAAATCCGACAGGAAGAGGGCTGGGTGTAAGGAGGCCCACCTAAGCGAGCCCACGATTATCCCCGAGCCACTTGTACGGAGGTAGAACAGACGCTTGAGAACCCAATTTTTGCGCAATTAAGACTGCCGCACTCGCAATGATTTCTTTACTTCTGAATCTAATAAATAGACTAATAAATAGATATTTACCCATCCTAGGGAAGGGCCCCTAAAGTTGCGGCAGCAAGCCCTACTATTAACGGAAACCAGATTACGTACATAATTCGTTCGTATGCAGACAGAGGTCATGTCCGATGAATTCGAGACCTCTACCGAAAAGTCTACATCCATATGAATTAGCTACAGTGCTTGGTAAGATGGTATAATAAAGTAAGTATATCACATTTATGCCAGTGTGTGATTGTGCGGAGTCCTGTTGACATCCAATATTCGTGCGGACAGACATGCTGGCCCCACGAGTATCGTTTCTAGGGTTACGACACGAAGATGACGGAGGAATTTGAGCGCCTAGCTACGACAGCCGAGGCTTATACATGACGCGGTCGCGGAGTTGTTGACTTTCTTCCGTATCAAGCGTCTTTGATATATCGCCGGGAGGCCTTCAACATACTACTACTTTGCTTTAACGTCTTGGGATACTTTATACCTGCAGGCATATGATTCTGCACGCACTAGTCGAGGATACAGTTGTTTACCTGTTGATATCTTGATCTCGTAAGGGCTTCTCAGACTCTGAATGGCAATTGAAAGGCAAGGGGATAATATTTTTGGTGTTATGCACGTTATTGGTTCTGTTGTCTACTCTACAAAGCGATCGAGCGAGCTCGCCGAGATAAGCGGAGGCGAATGAGGATCTTGTTGCATTTCGCTACCGAGCCATCGACGCGTAATGGCATGTGTACATATATGCGTGATACTTTGGCGTGTTTGAATGCCTCTGCGGTTGGTCCTGACGCCTCCTTCAAACTTCTCTTGCCTATCAGTATCGGAGGCCGGGGGGAAGAGGTGTGTCTGTCTGCACAAGGGACTCCTAGTAAAGCACTCACCGTTGTCACTAGACGACTGTGCGAATACGTAGGCTGGAATCGAGTGTTACAACTCAACTTACACGAAACTTTGAGCTTTATATCGTGGAAAGCGATTTGAATATCCCTGGGGGTAACAAAATTATCTGTTTCGCCTGGTGAGGGAAAGCATATATCAACACGCGTATGTGGCGATTTGTTTTGTTCAGTTTGATGTTTTTATACGCGGATTTCTTACTCCCCCACCCCCAACTGTGTTGACGGTTGTCATAAGCCTTCCCCTACCGTACTAGGTAACTGCCAATGCATAAACCCACTTTTCGCACCAAAAGTAAGTGTCAACATCTCGAAAAAAATCAATAGTAGCCGGGGTTTACAAATTCTATCTTCGGGGAAGTACTACAGTACTAGTTAATCAGAACCGTTAAGCTTAAATCTGCTTGTTTGATAGACCTAGATACAAGAGGAAAAGCTGAAGTCGCTGCTTTTTTTTTCATTTAAGACTTCTTCTAAAGCTAAGCGAAAGCCAGCCTTCTACAACTACCTATATCTCTGCTTCAATTAACTCCATTAAATCATAAGTATAAAATAATAATCGTCTTACGGAGGTACAGCGGTTAAGCATTCCGACCCACTTTGGATGCTAGCTTAATTGAGCAATAGTCTTGCGTTCAGAGACACGAAGCGAGGGCCCAGGGACCTAAAGGTATTGCTCGATTAAGCTACTTTTCAAAGTGGGTAGAAATACATAACGGCTGTACCTCCGTATAGTTATAAGCCATTTCTTGTTGTTAAAAGGGTTATAATTTTTATTTACCTTTCAAAGCCCATGGCTGTAGAAAGTTTTTAAGTTGTCAAATGTAAAGAGTTCTGGTTCAAAATAGAGCAGTTAGAGGTGACTGTACCACACCCCCTTTTGGAGTCAAGTGCCCCCATACTCCCATACTGTTTTCACACGAGGATTACTATTTTCATAGAAGAATTGAGGAGAGGCTCGTCATCTAGGAGTGTCTCGTCTGACAAAAATCGGATCAAACATCTGCAACTGCAACCTCCCGCACCGAGATCGAATTACTCCTGGTCAAGCACGCCGATGACCGAGACATTGGTTCGACGATGGCACGCCGCGATTAATTTGCAGGGCCCTCCGTATTCCAGAGAAAATGAAGCAATCATGTTACATCAATTGAATGAGTCAATCTTTAATAAACGTAGCAGGGCGTACTAGTTGTGCACATAGCGCAGCTGTGTAAACATCGCGAAGTGACGACCTTACCTTCTGGTGTGAAGTAACCGATTTTATCAAACTTCAAATGGAGTAGTGCATCTTCAAATGGTGCATACCCCCTAAATGGCAATAACACCGAAAAACGAAAATGAGACAGTGGCTCGTAGCTCGCCTTGCAGAATCAAGGTGAAAGTGGATAATTTTAGATTTCAGCAGGATAAGAAGTTCCAGCCAGCCCTTACTTAATATTGGGTTCATCTGTGTCGACAGCTCAGATCTCAAACCTGGAGCGTGACCCATCACTTATTTTTCGAAGTAGATAGACTATCGGGTAGACGACGGCAACCGAATATCGTAATGCTAGAAGCGGTCAAACAGATCGGGTTTTCACCAGCCGGGTATGAGGTCGGGTCAGGAGTACCCAACACTCCCACGCGACGTATGTGGTTTGAGTGTGTTGTGCTGAGGCGACCTTGTCGGTTTCGGTACCAGTAGCTGTAGTCGGGCCCTGCTTTCCTCAAACCAGAGGTCTTGTTGTGGTTGGTACCTAGAGAGGAGTTGCTTCAACTCTGGTAGCATTCGCGCAAGTAAAGAGATGACCCTGTGTATTTTTACAGTAGCCATAGCTCCTACTATGAGCTACGGTAGCTGATAATGAAGGCTAAACCCCTGGGGATTTGAAGAAGCACCTCGAGGGGTTGAGGGGAAGTGTACAAGCTACAGTACCGGTATTGGATAAACTTACCTTATCTCGCCTGCCGTTTCTTGATATCCAAATGAAACAAGTCATTAATTTCAAGAGGGAAAAGGGTCCAGAAGTGCAAGAATTGCTACAGCCCTGAGGGTGGCTCAGAAGTTTAAAATCTCCACTTTAAACCCCCTGGTTACCCTAGCCTCGGGTCTGACGTTGAGGTTAGGTGCCAGAGGAATTTGACGTTGTCCTTGCCTTGTAGTTTAGTACGTACTGTAGTACCGGTATCGATTGTAATCATGAGAATAATAAGTAAGACCTGCAGACAATTGTCCCGATCTACGGAATCTGTCCGAGCTTGGCCAAGGAAGGGTGAAAGGTGAAGGAAGGATGAAGGTTGAAAAGCTCGCTGCTTTGATAGGAGAAGCGCGTAAAGAGAGCCCTGTCGTTCTTGGCCACTACAGACAGTATGGTCATCCTTCGCTTTTTTAGGTCGATGGTTTCTAATGCCTCGAAGAAAGTGCCACCCAAAATGCAAATCTCTATTTGCGTACCGTACCGGTACGGTATCTCTACCTCCTTCGTACGTACTCTGTAAGTCCGAATTCCGTCAATAAGAGGTGAAGCTATTCCTGTAGCTAATTTGTTAGCGGAATAGAAATACACGTAGATGCAAGGAATGGTTTGCAAATGAGGTTAGAGCATAATTCATTTAATACCACTAAGCTTGCCTCCTTTTAGCAGGACATTGGTTGTTATTTTTAGTGGTAGTAGTATTATTGCCAATCTAGCCAGCCACGTTGAAGTTTCTAAGTATATCGTCGGCGATTGCAAGCTGCGCGTCCAATCGAGCGTTGCTTATCAAGGCCGAGGCCATTTTGCAAGTATTGAGAATAACAAATACGTCGTAAGTCAAGTCAAGGGGTTGAGGCATGCTAGACGAAGTTCCACTATGTTCGAGGCATTCGAAACGATCCTTCGCGTTTTTACTCTCGACTCTTGCTAAAGCAGCGGCGGTACCCCTACTTAGCTACACAGCGAACCGGGCCCCCCTGGGCCTCCTTCTTGATCTCGTGACCTTGACTAGGTACCGGTAGGTATCTACCCAACTTTCGCTCCATCGCGACACCTCTGTGCACCATCTACCCAACACGCTCCTTCATCCGCCCCCGAGTCATTCGTTTGAACTTCAATTCGTCACCCACAGTCTCACGCCTTTGTCGTGAAATTGGGAATTCTTCTTTGGTGATAGAGGCAGAGAGAGAGCAGGAGAAGGAGAAGGAGAAGGAGAAGGAGAAGCAGAAGGAGGGAGAGAGGCCGAAGAGTTACTGTTGATGCCGTTGCCGTGGCTCCATCACCAACCTGCCCAGTCTTGCCCAGTCCAGCTAGCCCACCCAACGCAGCTCCGAGGGGGGGAAACAACTCGTGGATGCGGTGACCAACGATCCGTCACTACCCAGGACCGAAAAACATGAAGGAGGATATCTTGGAGCAGGGCCATGACACCACCATCCCACTCTGCCAGCCACATAATGGAGCCTTCGATATGAAAAAGGTGCCACAAAGAGATTCGCGAGGGCCGCCAATACCAGCGAAGAGAGGAGCTCGGAGATCGGGATCCAGCTCAAGCCCACGCCCACGCCCACGCCCACGCAAACAACGGCACACCGGTGTCAAAACCACGTCCGTCCTACTATCTGCTCTCGCAACTGTCCCTGTCGCAATGGCCCAGAGTTGTATATCGTTGGCCGGCTCGACCCAGTGTCCGGCCTTCACCTCTGCCTCTATCTCGACCGATAGCTCCTTAGTCGGCCTTTTGTGCGTATCTATCAGTCGTGTCACTGTTTCTCCCAGCCATCCGATTACAGCTACTAATCGCCTGTCTCTACAGCCCGTTCCTGCAATTCGTCTCTAGCACATCAAACTTCGATGAGCAACTGAGCGCCTACGTATCCACGAGCTATGTCCAGCAGAAGCACGTTCCCATCCCCGTATCACTACTTCTGTTCACGTCCTAATGCAATATGCAGGTACCAGACGCTTCTCGGCTGCAGCAACATCAATCTTACCAACACCACCAATCTCTACGCCCGATTCACGACCTCAGTAATATGTAATGCGATAATTCAAAACTCCATAACAGCGTGTGGACTCTCTCCATCGGCTGCACGGCCGCTCTGTGCCAACACCTGCGTACGTTTTCCAAGCCAACTGACCTCGGCATACTTGCTTACACTGTGCAGGCCGAACATGCAGAGAGCGAGGCAATCACCGCTGCCAATAGCGACGTCTGTTCTAACCCTGGCGTCAATGTTGATACTCAAATCCGAGCTGACTTCACCAATTGTGCCTTGCCGGCTGAGTCGTTAAGCGGATCCTGCATCGACGGCGCTGCTAACGAAGCAGAGAATTGCGGGTTCGGTAACAGCACCATTGGTTTATGTCAGTACTGTGGTACTGGAGGACAGAACAGCACGGACACATGCTGTTATAACTCTCAAGCGGAATCGAGATGTGCTAATGTTGTGCTTCCTACCATCACCAGCTACATTAGCTTTTCAACGAGTGCCCCAACAGTCGGAGCCACTGCATCATCTACCTCTACCACCCCAGCCACCACAACATCAACACCTGGTGGATCCAACTCAGACAATGGACTGTCTGGAGGGGCCATTGCTGGAATTGTAATTGGGTCAATCGCTGGCCTCATACTCCTTATTGGACTGATCTTTGCCCTCATATTCTTCCTCCGCCGTAGACGAGGTAGCCAGGCTGGTAGTGCGTTTAACCAACCCAATCCTGCCCGGGGCGGCAAATCGCAGGGGATGGCCTACAATCCAGTTACAAGTAGCAAAGATGCTCCAGACGGGTATGAAGTGCTTCCCGGGGGACGCATTGCACGAATGTCGGCTTTGGAAGGCCATTCAGGAGATTCGCCTCCACGTGGAGGAGATATACGAGCCGTCGGAGCCGGAGGTACTGGAGCCGGAGCCGCGATTGCGTATGCAGCTGCTCGAAAGAGACAGGACCTGTCATCTTCGGATGAGTATAGTCTAGCATCACACTCGAATGGCGGAGGAGTTCTGAGGCCACCCCCCACCGGACGGCGAGGTGGATCACTATCCAGCAGTTCAGTCCTAGGATTGGACGATCCCCAATCACCCATATCTGCCAGCGGCGGAGAGCTGTCCTCGCCTCCAGGTGTTGCCAGTCAACAATCCGAGCAACTGCCATTTTTCAAAGACTACTACTCACAAGACGAGATCCATCCAGGAAGCACGGTTGCAACACTCTGGGCTTACCAGCCAAGGGCCAGTGACGAGTTCGCGCTGGAGAGAGGAGATATGCTCAAGGTGGTGGGTATTTGGGATGATGGCTGGGCGACAGGTGTAATGATCGATGACCGGGCAGATGATTGGGATGCCAAACGCAAAGCTCAGCGTGACAGCGGTGTATCGAACACTTCCGGTCGGAAGGACGCTTCACCAGTCGTAAGCGGTGAGATTAAGGCTTTCCCGCTGGTGTGCGTATGTCTACCGGACCACTGGAGGAAAACCATAGAAGGCGATGCATCCACCGAGAATTCGAGTGCGCCGGCCGGCCTCAGCCGATGAGTGGAAACACGCTACACTTTCTGATATTTCCATGGATTCACGGTATCACACCATTCCAGGGATTGGCGTTCATGCTCATGGACCTCTATATAATCGTCTCTGTGAACAAATTAAGCCTCAGCAAACAGCCTACCACGCACAATAATGGCTTACTTCAACGGCCTACGTCGCACCATTCTTTTTCTCATGCCTGTCACGTACGGCTTTTAGAGTTACATTCTTGCATAGCATTTATTGCTTTCGTGCTTGGCATCAACGCCTGCCTTCTGGACCCCATACGTGCTCAGGCTTGTCAGTCACAGAGCTACAGAGATACAGTCTAAAGACGACGCATACACGACGACCATTGAGGTCCGACCTATGCTTGTTTCTACCTAAACATCTATCCGTTATTCTCTTTTTTTTGTTATATACCCACATTCTTGTACTGATGTTAAGCCTGTTGGATTGGGCTTTTTTTGGGGTGGAGATGGGGGTTTTTGTATACATGGTATTGGTCTATGTTTATATGGGATAGTTTAACTGCAGCAGGATAAGACTGTATCTTAGCAGAGATGCATAATTGGCGGGAAATGAAAGAGGGAGGAGAGGAGGTGTAAGGTGTGAAGATGATATGGTAGCTTGTGCTCCCCCCGTTGGCACGTCTATAGATGGATAGGGTTGAGGGGACGTTAGAATGGGAGACGAATCCCAGAAATTGGAAGAATTGCTCGCTGTAGTGCTTGTTAATCTTCATCATCGTTGTCAGAGAAGTGAGATATGCTGGCTGATATGAGTGAACGAGGGGTGGTCAGCAGGTTTTGACTGTCGCCTAGCCTTTGTTTATTTCTCGGCTGGCGAGGAAAGGGGTCGTCGCTACGAGGCCTCCCCCTCGCTTAACGACGACATGTCCTTCCAAGGATAGAGACGTGATGCATATAGGTCGGTAGAATTGCTGGCAAGACTGTAAGATCATCTCCGCAACCAATTTTCATCTCCTCGTCTTTTCATTTGTCACCACTCCCTCCCTCGTATTTCACATCTCGGATACCCGCGTCGAAAAAGTAGTCGATGACTGGGATTTATATATGAACCCAGGTTCTTCCATGTATCCAGATCCAGTCTATACACAACGGTCTATTCTAAGCTATCTATAATTGCTCTATGCACACAAAATTCCTTCCCTTGACATCCTCAAACCCGAAGATGCAGAGGGAGATACGTCTATTTCACAACCGTGTTGACCTGGCTGCCGCCCCTCTTGAAGGCTTCCACGCCCTCGGCGGAGACCTGCTGCACGGTCGTCTCGCCAGAGACGATGCGTTTCACGTCTGCGAGGATGTTGGACCAGTCTTCGAATTCGGTGAAGGGGATGGACTCGCGGACGCAGTAGTGGACGAGGTCTTTTTTCCCTAGTCAGCTCCGCAGCGTTTGATAGAGAGACTTGGGGAGGGAGGCATACCGTGGTGCTTCTTAGCGAACAGCAAGTCCGTCTCCTTCGCAGCCGACAAATCCGACACTCCGTCCCCGGCATAGAACATGGTCGGGCGCTCGGAGTCAGGGAGTGCAGCGTACGGTCTGATTTCGAGGGACTTGTCGTGCCCGAAATGACTGTCCGGTGTCAGTCGAAAGCGTTCACCCATGTGCTGGACAGGGTTCAGAAGGAGGGAAAAGCAGACCTCTCATCATGGAACACAATTTGCCAGCCACCCTCCTCGTTGATGCTCTTCCCCTCCCGATTCGTCACATCATTACTCACGATCTGGATCTCCTCCGCCTCGGGCCCGACCAGATGCGTCAACAGGGCCCTGATGATCGGCGTCATGCCCGAGCTCAGGACCACGACGGGCACGTTGTTCTCTCGCGCCCATTCGAAGAAGGCCTTGAAGCCGACATCCAACTTGATATTCTCCAGCAACGTGGCGATGCACTTGTCGTAGGGCGTCTTGACCGAGTCCATCATGCCCTGGAAGGAATCGCGGAAGCTCATCTTGTCGTTCAGCACATCCTGATTTCCTTGCTTGCGCAGAACCTGGCCGTAGCCCAGGTTATCGGTGAGGAAGTCATTGGAGTCACTCTGAGTTATGGTGCCGTCAAAGTCCGTGAAGAAGATGTATTTGGGGGAGGTCTTCATCGCAGGAAGGGTGGGGGAGGAAGGCATCTTGGAAGCTGATTGGTGACGGTAGGCTCTTTCGAGGGCTGTTAGATGATGAAGTTCTCAATTCTTGTAAATTTCCTGGTCAACGAGTCGGAAAAATGACAGCCAGATACGTAGAAGGAATTCTATACCAAGCAGAGGAGAGGGATGGTGGGGTGAAGCAGGACCCCTTGGCCTTTGGTGGGGGGCTCGGCGAGTCGGCGGCGGAGCGACCCGAATCTCCGACCTGCACTTGTACATCGAAAAAGAAGCTTGCCGTCCACAGTCCCAGGTCCACGGTTCAACACACTCTTCCGCTCGACCACGACTCGAAAGGAGGGCCATGCAACCTCTGGCTCGCTTTGTGCCCCGGCTCTTCTTTGACTCGGTCGCGTCTACCTCAGCCAGGCAATCTCTGAGTATACGTAGTCGAGCCTCGGTGCGCCCTACCACCTGTCTTCAATGTTCGATACGGACTCATGCACGGCATTTCGCCGATTCTCCTAAACCTCCCACTTCTTCAGACCCGCCGGACTCGATAGCTTCGGACCCTTCATCGCTTCCAACAGCTCGAGACAATGCCTCCCCGACCCCCATCCCAGATGAGGAGCCGATCAACCTCCCGTCGGCAGAAGAAGGACGTCGTTTAGCAGTCACGAAGCGATTCTCGCACATTATGGACCACCTACAAGGCAACATCTTCATAGCCTCCCAGCGAATTAACGATCTAACGGGCTACTCCGGTATCGAAGCCCTGAAATCGCGGATCACAGCACTCGAGATCCAGGTTACCGAAGCCCAGGACGCGGTCCGCTCTGCCCGCCTCACATACAAGACGACTGTAGCCGACCGGGCATCGACGCAGAAAGAAGTCACTGGCCTGCTTGCGAGGAAGGATAGCTGGACGCCGCTGGACCTGGAGAGGTTCACGTCGCTGTATAGGATGGACCACACGAACGAGCAAGCCGTGCAGGAAGCTGCTACACGGCTGGCGAATGCGGAGAGGGAGGCTGAACACGCGGCTAGTAAGCTCAGCAGCAGTATCCTGAGCAGGTACCACGAGGAGCAGATTTGGAGCGACAAGATCCGGAGGATGAGTACGTGGGGAACCTGGGGACTAATGGGTGTCAACGTGTTGCTGTTCTTGGTTTTTCAGTTTGGGTTTGAGCCGTGGAGGAGGAAAAGGCTGGTGCATGGCTTTGAGGAGAAGGTGAGGGAGGCGCTAGAGAAGGAGAAATTTGCCATGCTGGAGAGGAAGGATGGCGAGGTTGCTGAGAGGGAGGAGATTCCTTTAGATGCTGTTGTGGGTGCTGGGATTCAGGAGCTGCACGAGGATGTCGAAGTTGAAGAGACGGCTTCAGAGCCTGCTGTGGATGCGGTCGTGGGGTGCATAGAAAGCGAGCAAGAGCCAGAGGAAGCAGCCTCTCTCGACGCAGCCGAGCGGCACGTCCCGACAGCGATCATGAAGCTCCGGATCCCGACGAACTGGCAAGAGAAACTCCAGGCCTCATACGAAATCACGAAATCCAGTTTCCAGGACCTTTTCAGTGACAGGATTGTTGAGCTGCGCAAGCAGGACATTACGCTGATTGCATTAGAAGGCGCTGCTACGGGCGCAGCGATCGTCACCATTATCGCCACTCTGCTCCTGCGACCTTCGTAGATGAGCTATGTATAAATTATGACTTCTTGGATCTGTACAACAATAATACCCGGTGCATTCAGAACCCGCAGCCAATTTTGTCATTTGCTTCAGTATGCTCCTGTTCTTTCGCCGTAACTTGGAATTGGAGCCATTGCAGGACGTTCCATCGATGTCCAGACCGGTGTGCCAGCCTTCAAGCGAAAGTCCGTCAAGTGAGCTCCCGTGGCTTGCTGGGCCCAAATCTCAACCGCGAGCCAGTTCTGGCCATGGTAGTTCAGGATACCTACGAAGCCTTAGTCTCTTCATCCCAAACCTCCCTCACTCCGGAGCCAGAACTTACCTTGCGGCACGGGAAAGTCGGTCTGTGGCCCAACGTTGTTAATATACTTCCCAAACTGCCACCCATTGACCCAAAGCTGGGCCCTATACTCGGCGGGCACGCCACCACTCCCCTCCACCGTCGTATTCCCAAAGCTGAAACTCAACGGCACATCATAGTTATTCGGCAGATCCAGCTTGAAGTCCGCCTGGTAGAACGCTACTCCTGCTCCTTTGGTTCCCATCTCAGGGCTTCCCAAAGCCCAGTTGCGGTTCGGCGGGAACGGCTGGTGGAAGCCCTGCCGCTCGGCGTAGAGGCCGCCTTCGTTGAGCGGGCCACGGGCCTTGTCGATGTATTTCTCGCCGCCGAGGTTGCCGGTTAGTTTCCAGCTGATGGAGGATTGGTCGTCGTGGCCGGAGAGCGTGTAGGCGAGGATCCCACGCGGCCACTTCATTTGCTCTTCGCCTACGATCCAGTTCTCCTGTAGCCCGTTGTTGTCCACGAGAATGGTGAAGACGTAGGTCTTTCCTGCAGTGAGGTTGGGAAGCGTGTATGTGCTGTTGTTCTCGAGGCTTTTGTCGTTACCGACCCAGGACCCGATGTATGTCGAGTTGAGCCATACGGAAGACCCGAAGGCACTTCCGCCCTGGGTGCGGAGGTAGAAGTCCTTTTCTTGCCCGTTGGCGATGAAGGAGCCGCGGTAGATCAGCACGCCAGAATGGTAGCCGTAGTCGCTTGCAAATAGCGAGGTGGGCGTTAGTAGAGCGAAAGGGTTGTTGGACGCGGTGTGGTCGGCTTTCGTCCATGCTGAGTCGTCGTAGGTGGGCTTGATCTCTGGGAGGTTGTCGAAGTATTTCCAGGACAGCGACGAGAGGTCGACGAGGCTGATCTTGGGTGCTATGTAGGCGAGGTTTGAGGACCAGTCGCCAGTGATGGGATCGACGGTGTATGAGAGCTTGGCGCTGTTGAAGTGGAGAGATTTGAGGTTTGCTGGGGCGCCGATTACCTTGATTGGGACTGTTGCGTTGAGGTCACCGTCGACTATTGACAATTCGGTGTCAGAATCGTCGCTTCAAGCATGATAGGAGAGTGCTACGAATGTCTGAGGAGACAAGATCAAGTATCGGTAGCTAGCTACACAGTTTCCAGGGGAAAGGAACGCTCTGAGAATACGTACTGTGGAGAGCCTTGTTGTTAATGTACACTTTCCGGACGAGGTATCCTGCTTCGACGATAACGGATGTGGTGTTGCCGATGTTGGAAGGGCTGAGATCTGTTAGTCACGTATTCAGGAATAAAGGCTACAGAACTGGTCGGGGAATCTGGATTGGACTCACTACGCTTCCCATTTATCTGTCCGGGCAAAGTCAGGAACCCAGTAGTTGTACGCCGAGTTTCTATCGAGGATATAGACGAAGAGGGAGCCAACTTGAACGACACGTCGAGTTGGCGACGTCTGCCAGTTCAGGATGGTTGTCCCGTTGAGACTCTTCATCGTCACATCGGAACCCTCCACCTTTTTCGCCACGCTCTCTGAAACAACAGCGAGCTCATGCTGCTCTCCCGGCCCGCCATACACAAGCAGCACAGTCTTCTTGTCGAACTTCTTCCAAGTGAAAATCTCAGCTGACGAGTACAGGAGCGTAGTACCCCCGAGATCGTAGTCGGTGACATGCCATTTCGAGTCCCTCCCGCTCAGTGTCAAACTGCCACCAAGTTGCGGTATGGACAGAGCCCCTTTGCTTGTCGTGACGGTCAACTTGTAGGTTTCTGATGCTAGGGTCTGGTAATCCGAGTGCCGCACGATATAGAAGTTTGTGCCAGAGTCGCTGTCGAAAAGAGGGGTGGTGTAAATACTGGCTGCGTTTGTATAGGTTGCATTGCCTGGAGTCCCAATCGTTGAAGTCAGGTATGCAGGAGAGACTCTCATGAAATTGGCTTCTAGTTTGAGCTCGCTATATTTTTCTCTGTGGATCTCGCGATTCTCGGCAATGTTGGCGCCGTACTGGATGATCCAGAGGTTAGCAAAATTCCGTATCTGACAGTCTCGGGGGTAGTTCTCGGAGCAAAATACTCATGAGACACTGAGAAAAAGGGTAGTGGCTTACATCGTACGAGGTATAGCCACCGGCATGCCCGAGGTTGCCCCAGTTCGTGCCACCGAATATCATGTAGAGGTTGAGGATAGCCACTCCAGAAGCAAAGTCGTTCTTGTAAAACACACGTTCGAACTCCATGTTGAGAAGACGAGAGCATTGCTCGAAGCCGAGCCCTCCCCAGGGATCAAAAGCTCCACCTTGGAACTCGATGATGGCGTAGGGCGTCGATGGACTCTGCTCCTCGTGTGATGAGTGGAGGTAGTTGGGGAGGTTGCCAGCAGGCCAAGTGCTTGGATTAGCACAGTCGAAGCCGAGCGGGTATGCGTCATGTCCGTAGATATCAACATTTCCTATCCGAGATCCATTCTTTGAGTAGTCAGGTGCGAAGAATCCGGCCGGCCACGCATCATTGTTGATGAATGGAACCACGATCCCGGCATCTCGTAGTTGTTTCTTGATATACGCGAAGTAAACGGGGTCAGGGAAACCTCCTGGAATATCTCCCACGGCTCCCGAGTATTCATTCTCCGGCTGGACGAGAATGACTGGACCATCGTTCGTAATCTGTGCCTTTGCGATCGCTGCTCCAATCTTGGACATGTACAGATCTGTGGCCGCGAGGAAGTCGGCGTCCTGGGTCCGGAGCACACCTTTGATGCGTGACAGCCAGCCTGGGAACCCACCACCGGTCGCTTCAGCGTTGATGTAGGGCCCTGGACGCGCGAGGAGATAGATGCCGGCTTGCTTTGCGGCTTCGAAGAAGGGCTCGAAGGCAAAGACTCCCTCAGCAGTATACACGCCTGGTTCTCCTTCCAGCAAGGCCCAGTGAACATAGAACGAGACGACGTTGAAGCCGAGCGCCTTCACCTTCTGGAAGACATCAAGCCAGAGATCTGGAACTGGGAGTCGGAAGGGATGGAATTCTCCGCTGAACACAAAGACTCGCTCTCCGTGGACCATAAGCGAGTGCTCGTCCCAGGTGACCTATAAAATGGCCAGCTGGCGTTACCTTCCCAGAGCTGTGATGAAAAACTGAAGATGCAGAAATGCATGAAGAAGAGCTTACAATGTCTTGGAGACCGTTACTCTCTCGTTCCATAATCATCTGGGTTCCCTGAATCGACCGGGCCACGGCTTGCGCCGCCAACGCGAAAGCGGTCACTGCACGACAAAGCTTCATGCTGGACGTCTCACGGTCAAGACCTGCTTGTAGACATTCCAGAATTGGAATGGAATGGAATATGGAGGACGAGGGGGAGGGGGAGGCGGAGGCTTCTCTCTTATATAGATAGTACTTTGTTGCTATACATGCTTATCCATCACAAATCAAGTCTCCTACTCGCCCCGTGCCATGCCATGCCATGCCATGCCATTTCATGCACGAGGACATGAAATATCTCAAGCAGGTGAAGTATCGTGCATCGTGCATTGTGCATCGTGCATCGTGCATCGTGCATCGTCTTTTCTGCGCAGGCCTCCAACCGGAAAATGATTGATCAGGTGACCAACCCCCTCACTCAGGTACATTGTGCGGGGGAGAGGGGGAGAAGGGGAGAAGTGGTAGAAGTGGATGGGCAGAAGTGCCTGACAATGGCGATCAAGCATGACGATGCACGCGGGGAAGTTGGACATGGAGGTTGTTCTTGCGCACCAATCATGGTAAGGAGCGAGAGCTGCAGTTGAGAGAAGGGAAGAGGAGAGAGAGAGAGGGAGAGAGAGAGAGAAGAGAAAGGCAGAGAGAAAATTCAGACAAATCATGGGGGGTTATACTTGAGACTAGTCGACTTTGGGAAGTTCTCCAAGGGACATCGCACCTCGCACCGAAATGCGCAAGAGCGACCCGCAGTGGTCGCGACCACGGCAAAGGGGAACAAAGGGGAAGGTGCGAGCGTGGTGACTGCGACGGAAGCCATCGGGAGTGCTAAGCGAGATACATTTCCAGTAGTAATAAAGATAATAAGCTCCACCTCCACCTCCCCCTCCACTCAAAGTCAGCCCCCCCCCCCCCCCCTTCCCCCCCAAAAGACACGCAAAAGCAAACACCTTCCATCCGTGGGAAACATGCCCCGAGGATATAACCATGTATCGGGAGAAGAAGAATTACCTCGTCATGTCATTGCAACTCAGAAAAGAGAGAAAAGATACGAAGAAGCCCCGCATATCCAATTATAAAGAGTGAGATAACCCGATCCGAAATCACATCTACCCCTTTCCCTTTCTTTCCCTCTCCAACCGGCCTCGCGGCCTATAATCATACAATACGCAGAAACCTACAGATAACACATGAACTTGCACCTCACGCCAGTCCTCCACCATACATACCAGCTGCCTCGCCGGCATAGCATATCTTCTCAAACATCCGCAAACCGACCTTTCGGGCGTCCCACTATGGTTTGGGTGATATCAACAGCAGCCGGCCGCTGGGCCTCCAAGGCCTGGGCCTGAATCTCATACTCGTTCGCGTTGTAGATTTTCAGGCCCAAGGCCACCCTTTTATCTTGCTGGAGACCTCTTTGCCTCCGGAGTTCGGCGTTGAAGTTCACGGCTTGCGTTCTTTGTGCAACGTTCCGGGATCTGGCGGTAGCACCCGCAGAGGCGGGAAGCAGCGCCGGAAGAGCCTGTGCGACACCAATATCGTCTAATGGAATGTCACCGGGCGTGACGGCCCAGACGGAATTGTTGTACATGTAGCCATCGACACTGGCGTAGCCTTTGGCCTGCACGATGTCCAGCGCCGCTCGCCCCTCGACCACGGTATGGGCGACGAGAGCCGCCCACACAGCCTGGCGGAGCTCTGCTCGTATAATTCGCAAGTCCTCGGTCACTTTGGCGTTGATGGCTGGGTTGGTAGAAACAGGTCTGTCGATGGGGGCTCCTTTCTTCCGTTCGAGAGCGGGCGCAGCTTTGTCCTCCGTTCCTGCGGGATCTGGCGGAGGAGCTGGTGCAATCGTATGGCCGCTATCCCCACCTAAACGTTTCATCGTACCGGCTATCGAATCAGAGATCCACTTAGCTCGTGAACTGTAGCCTTGTGCCACCAGATACTGCCAAGTGTTCTGCCCTGCTGCAGAGGCGCGGCTTTCGAGGTTTGCCTTGACCTTAGGGACTTCAGTCATCCACTCACTGACATTGGCAAGGTAGGCAGTTTCCAATTCGTCCCTGGTCAAGAGCCCACCCATGAAGGCTTGAATAGACTCCCGGGTGAAGTTCGGTGGAGGGTCCAATTCCGATTGCACTCTACGTAAGTTGGCAGCATCCATAGCTGCTTGCCGCTGTTCTGCAGTCAAGGCTGGTGCAGGAGGAGGTGGTGGAGGAGGTGGAAGTTGCTGTTGTTGCCGTTGTTGCTGTTGCTGCCGTTGTTGCTGTTGCTGCCGTTGTTGCTGTTGCTGTCGTTGTTGCTGTTGCTGCCGTTGTTGCAGTTGTTGCTGTTGCTGCCGTTGCTGCTGTTGCTGCCGTTGCTGTTGCACGTCGTCTTGTCTTCGTCTCTCTGTTGCTGCCGCTGCCGCTGCCGCAATGTTCTGCTGAATTTGGCCCTGTAGATCATCCAAGCGCTTCCTTTCGGCGTCGTCTCTCTTCTTCTGCTGTCTCCTCAGCTCAGCGTGCTCATGTCTTTTTTGCAGTTCCAGATCCTTCTGCATCTTCTCTCGTCCATCCTTGTCGGCTTTCCTCGCATCTGCTGCTGCCTTATCTGCTTGTTTCTGAGTGGCATCTGCGATCTTCCTCGCCTCTTCTTGTTTTCGTTTCAGTTCTTCAGAGAGCGTTTGAGCATTTCTCCATTCAGGATCAGGCTGGGTTTCGCGGCGTACGTTATCCCGATTGTTGGGCTTGTCCTTGGCCTTCCAAGCAGCGTATATATCTCTGACTTCATTTGCTTTCGGAACCGACAGAGTGCTGTTGATCTTCTTTAATTGATTAATGAGCCGGGTTGCTCGGGCTTCTTGTTCAGCACAGTATTTCTCAACGATATCGTCAATGTCAGCTTGATCATGTGCCTTAGCTGCCCTTATCCTGCGCTGGACATCTGCATCAAATTCGAGAATTTTGAGTCGTAGAGTCATGTCATCTTTCGCCTTCTGCTCCTTGGTTATCTCAGCCGCTGCTGCATCAAACTGCGCCCTTCGGAGAGCTGCTGCTTGCTGTTGAAGGCTTTGGAAAGTTCGCTTAGGGTATGGTGTATCAAGATCAGCCGCGGCCTTCCTTTTTGCTCCTAGTGCGACTTCTTCATTGTACTGAACAATATCTCGCTGATCTCTGGCGTCATTTGCCCTGTGAATGGCGACTTCTTGTTGATGGATCATTCTTCGCTCGTTGTCGATCCAGCTCGACCAGTGATTGTTCTGAAGAGTAATTTCAGGTGATGGATCTTGATCTTCTGTAGCCGAGAGTTCTGACATCCAGAAGTCGTCACCAGTAGGCACGACAAAGGGATTATTGGTTGCCTGTGCAATACTCTCGAGCAGAGGTATTGCCTTGGTTCGCAGCCACTTCACTTCTTCAATTGCGGACTCAAAACACTCAGGTTGCTTGATGTCTGTGAGCACAGGAATACCCTTTTCGTCTTTCTTCAATACGATAGCGGTCTCCTCAACTACACAAAAAATATCAGTATGTTGGCTTGATGATCCGGATGACAACTTACCTTTATATGGAGCTTCATGGGGTCGTTCAACAGCTGGTACAGCCTTCTTGTATGCGTCCCAGATCGGGCCCTCTTTATATGTCTCGCCTTCCAATTCTCCCTTCACCCAGTTTCGAATCTTGTAGTCCCAAACCTGCCCGGCAAGAAGTCCAATGTATTTCATGTCATCACCGTCCGCCGAGTGTCTTTGTCTGAATGTCTCCCACTTCGAATGAAGATTGTGGTCAACAGTAGCCGCACGACCGTTACTCCTGCCATTTGAGCCCCACCAAAAGGAAAATTGGGCACCTGGAGTCTCGATAACTGCAAAAGCAGGGAGGGGGCCAGCAATATGTCCTTTCGGAACCTGTATGCCGTTGATAATGAGAGTGCCGCCATGGAGATTGGTGACGAAGTACTTGTAGTATCCATAATCATCAGCTTTCAAATCCTCCTCCCATATATCCTCCTCGACAGGCAAGATTAGGTCGTCCTCCTTGGTTGGCTCACAACACTCCTTAGGCGGATATTTTCTGAGTGGGTTATCTCGGAGACGCTTTTGCTCGGGCGTGACCCGCCATGGATCATACTCGTCCAATGTATCAGAGCTCTCGGGGGCATTCAGCCATGGCAGTTCGAAAACTTGCTCTTGTCCGTCCAGTAGTGGAATGGTCGGCTCCGGTGCCTTGCAACGTCTTATGCGACGGATGTCTAATGGGAAGATGTCGGACTTGTTTCCTTGGTAATTGCTACGCCCATCACGAAGCTCATCGGCGTAAATCCCTTTGATGGCTTCGAGTCTCTCATCTTCCGTGTTATCATTTTCAATGGGCTTATTGGGCATGTTGAAGATAGTTCCAGTGACTCCGTCCCATGTTTTCTTCTTGCGGAAGTATTGGACTTCCCCTTGCGGAGTCCTCTGCTGGATGTATTTTGTGACGGACCTCAAAACCTGTCCAAGCATTAGCAAATTTCAGGTTTGGAAAAACCAATGGATTCTGCACACCGGATATGGGCTTCGTCCACAGTCAACACCTCCATCGGTTTCGAGAGCTGTATCGACAGAGTCATCAAAGAACTCGTCGATATCAATTTTCACTCTCTTTTCACCTGTCCAGCGTGGACGCCATACAGTGTTGTCGATAGCGTCTATCCACTCGTCGTCGTCGCCGTCGTCGGTTGGGATAGGGGGAGCGTATTCCGGGAGATCTTTCATAGGTTGGAAGCCCCCGCTCTCGTTATTTCCATAGATGACTCTATGCGGAAGAGGTATGCTGATTACTGGCTCTCTGTCGTCTTCATCCGAACTGGATGGATAGACATCGTCAACAAGGTCATCTGTCATCATTTGATCGCCATCAAAATCAATATTGAGATGGCCTTCTCGGTCCACTTCTTTCCACTCATATTGCTTCTCGAGCACATCTATTTCCTCATCTCTAAACGTGAGTAGAGAAACCCTATCATCCTTGTCCAAAATGATGGTCTTGTCCAAGAAGCTCGGCTCCATCACTGGAACCCATAGCTGCGGTCGCTGCACCTTGTCGTTGGGAGCCATTTCCTCGTTTTTCGTGGGTTGTTGTTTTCCGTCGACTCTGATTCTGATCGATTCATCGTACGTCAACAGCTTGAATTCGCCTACTGTTTTGTCGTACTGATCTCCAGTAATATCGGGGTTTGTGAACTGCATGACCTGGCGTGCCATGTACGTCCTCTCAACCTCTGTATGGGTTGACTCGAGCTCTGCTGTCTCATCTTTTCGTTGCAGAGCTTTGTTGCTTTTCCGGTCGCTCGTAACTCGAGCCCAACCACTGACTGGGGCGCCGTCCTTGCGCACAATCCGCTCCATCTCGACTATCTGCATGGGAACTGCCTGTGTACCATAGACTGGAGCTTCTTCCCCCTTTTTCAGGTCTCTGATCTCTCGACCTGGGTTCGGCCGTTTGAGCATCTCTTTCGCAATCTCAATCTTGCTTTTGCCGGTCTTCATAAATATCTTTCCATGAGTGGTAGGAGCAGGCCGATCCTTTGCCCATACGATATTGCCGAGCTTACGCCTCGCTCGAGGCCTGCTGCCAGGTCGACGTCGACGCAGAAATGCCTTTCGTCTTCTCTCATCTTGCGCATCCACCATTTCCTTCTTGATCCTCTCATACTCCGCCCTGATCCAGACCGGCGACTCACGCCCCTCGATATAGTGGTTATTCCAGAGGTCCCACGCCCTCTTCCAAGCCTTCCACAGTTCCCTGCCATGTTTCTGTCCTTTGGGACCCGTCCCGGAGCTACTACCGAGCAGGAACTCCTTCAAATCTCTGACTGTGTTTGGAGATATGTCTGGAGCTAATGGCGATACGGTGTTAGTGGCGGGTATCGGGATGATTTGCGGTCTGCCGAAAGCCCTCTGGGCGTCTTCTACGGCTTTCGCTTCAAGAAATGGGGTGAAATCATAACTGGAGGCCATCTTCGCGCTGGCGATGTCGCCAAAGCACAGAAAGAACTGGAAAACGACGTTTTGTTAACTTGCGACTCGGGCGAATGGGCACCCATACGAATGGGAGGAAGCGAGCGCACTTGGACTTTTTGGCGGTAGAAAAGGGGAGTCTTCAATTCAAACAAAGAGTCCTTGTCCACCGGCATGGCATTGTTTACCAAAGACATGCGCGAGGAATGAAGAGTCTAGATTAGGAATGTGCCCTTATTTCGCTTGTTCGAAGGCCCCGAAATCGTGGTCTCCCTCCATAACCCACCCTAACACCTAATTGTGCATGCAAATCTAGCTGCAATGGGAAATCAATAGCGGAAAAGATTCTCCAACATTCAGACTTAATATATCGTGAAAATTTGATGCAAATATTTGGAAGTCAGGCAATGCATAACATGCCGCAAGCTTTCACTGGAATGCGCCTCAAAACAATAATCACAATCGAGTCGCCCGGGACGTTTGCGGACGCTAGCACCGCTATTGTTGTCTTTCAGGAATGAGTCGCAATCGCTATCGACAGGGATCGTGGTGAGAAGGGCGTGTAATTACTTCCACTTCGCCAAAAAGTGTCAATACCTTAGCCACACATGGACTTTTGACACGACTGTGGTCGTTATAAACCAATACCAGAATACCTGTCCATCACATTAAAAACTAGCTGACTGTCGACTTCGCAGTCCATTCCACCTACACAGCCTAGTTCTGCTCTGACAGCGGAGTGGTCGGTCGTTCCCGCCATCGTTGTAATCATTTCTGCTGCGTAGTTGCAGCTATTGACGTTCGGGCTTTCTGTTTTCTGTATGTATATTGGGGGTCCTGGTTGGGTAGGCTGGTAAGGCAACTGCTTAGGCTCTTGAATTTGGGGATACACCTGATCCGATGACAAGAAATCATCATAATCGAACAGTTTCTGACTATGGCTCGACGGGTTCGAAGCCGGACTGAGATTGCGAGGTATCTGGTAACGCGAGCCGCCTGGAGTGGGATCATGTCCCAGACTATTTGTGCTCGTCCGGCTGGTCGTGCTTGCACTAGGTGTCATGAGCTGCTGAGGTGATAGAATCTTCCTACTCTGCTGAGTTCCGGACCGCCTCCCACTTGTACCCTGAGCAAAGGCTGGATCCCAGTGTGATTGCGTCGCCGTGACACTGCCACCAAGGCTATCTCGATCAAAGGGCGCAGCCATCGGCTCGGTCCCCTCTACACAGCATGGCCTGCGTGCGGAAAGCAGCTGCTCTAGAACCTGTACGGTGGCGCTCTGGCTTCCATACTGCCCACCCCCCATCCCTGTCCCCATACCCATCGCTGGCGTCGGCGCGGATTTCTGTAGATATGCCTCGATGCTGTCGTCTTGTACGCCTCGTTGCGCCAATAGGGCCCGCAGCTTCTTATTCTCGTCTGCCACTCTTCGCGCCGCGGTTTGGATCTCGGACGAGGCCTCGACGCCCTGTAATTCGCATTGTCGCAATCGCGCTTCGAGCTCCTGGAGATACTCCTTCCTTCTGGCCCGACTACGTCTCTGATTATCGCGGAGGCGTGCGAGATTTGCTTTCTCCTGTGAATGCGTTAACATGATGGTTTCCAGGCCGTCCCTATCTCCGCGATAGTAACGGATGCCGATATCGCGGCTGAGGTTTGCAGGTACGATGCAGGGAAGGAATGACCAACTGAAGATGTAGCCATTCTCCAACAGAACAAGTACGAAGAGTTGTGAGTCCAGCTATCCGTGCGTGGATGGTTTTCCCCAGGCAATTCAAAATGAGGGCAGTGGTGAGTGGGGGTGGAGGGAAAGGGAGAGAGGGGGTACTGCTAATTGACGGCGGATAGCTTGAGGAGTATGGATGGGATTAGGTTGGTACTTTCTTTCCGTTGCGACCTTATCATTGTTCAAGTTTCTTTCAAACGGCCGGGAATGGTTGCCATATATCAGGTATATACAACTATGCATGTCTGTGAAGGTCCGCCATACGAGGTTTTTGTGAGGTCGAATTAAGCTCGGTCGTAAAGCTTGACTTTAGACCCTGTATCAAATTCATATTCCATTCGTATTACCCAGCTACCCATGAACCATGCAATATATATATGATATTTATATGGCGACAACAAACCAGCCGTTCAAATAGGCATTCGAAAAATACTCTTGCGGCAGGCACCTTAGAAACGTGCCCTCTATCTTGTTCACTCCTTGGGCCTTTTGGCTCTTTTGCCTTTGGAACGATCGCATTTATTTCCATCCAGATGCTTTACTTCCTATGCTCAGGACCTTTCGCAGCGCAGAGAATGTCAGTTCATATCTCATGCGTTGATCTTTTTACGGAACTGGTGAAAGGCTTTGCAACGCTCTGTATCCGTATGGTTGGTTGGCTACGCCTGAATTTAGTAAATTTAGTAAATTCGACTCTACAGTTGGGATGATTTGCGACATGGGAACATAAGGTAGGTACCTACTTACTGGCCGCACGAGTACCAGATTACCTTAATGTCAGGCCCTCCTCCAAGAGAATCCGTAGCTGACTCACCAAAGCTCGGTAGGTAATGTTTCACTCTTGAAGTTTTCATGTGGATCCCTCAGGTGGTCTAAAAAATTGACCTGTACGTACTTTCCGTACTCTGTAGAAACCCCCAACCACCTGACTTTGGAAGCTGTTCCAACCTCCAAACAATATTTTCCGAGCCAGAGACAGCCTGATGTTGAGGTAACTACCAGATCAGATCTATCTACCCCAGACGAACACAGAATTTCCAGTCATGTCCAGGATCAGCTCGTTTTTCCGCCGGCCACCTCGCTCAGGCTCCGCGTTCCAAATCTTATCTGACCTGCACCTAGAAGTCGGTTAACAATACTCCTCCTCCACAATTCCACCGTCGGCCCCATATCTCATCCTTGCCGGGAATATTGGCCGTCTCATTGACTACGAGGCCTACCTAGCCTTTCTTGCAAAACAGACTGCACATTTTGAGAAAGTCTTCCTTGTTTTGGGAAATCATGAGTTCTATTGCCTCTCATTTTCTGTGGGTCTCGATCGCGCTCCAATGCTAGAAAGTGAGGCAGTCTTGAATGGAAAACTGGTCTTGCTGCACCAGAAACGTGTCGACGTCCCAGATTCCGAGACTACGGTTCTGGGGTGTACGCTCTGGTCCACAACACCGGAGGACGCCCGGGAAGTAGTTCTAATGAGAGTCCAGGATTTCGAAAAGATCACAAGATGGACTGTTGATGACCACAATGCTTCCCATGAAGCTGATCTTGCATGGTTGCGCCATCAGGCCTTGGAGATTCGGCAGCAGAATGTTTTCAGAGCAAAGAGTGAGCGGGCTCGGTGTATACTTGTTGTCACGCACCACGCACCTTCTCTACAAAAGGCATCGAGTCCGGGGAATACCGGCAACCCATGGAGTTCTGCGTTTGCGAGCTACAAGCTGGGGCGATGTGAAGGCGTGGGTATTTGGACATACTCATTTCACTACACAGTTTAAGAGGAATGGGGTCAAAGTATTAAGTGACCAGAGAGGTTATGTACTCCCTAGTAGTATCAAGGAAGAAAATACCAAGAAAAACGGTAAGACGAGATTTTATGTGAAGAGAATGACGAGAGTATGATGCTGTGTCTAGGCCATGTAATAATATTGAAAACAATGATCATCCCGTATTCCATCTACTTGTTTCAACAGTCTGTTTTCCACTATGATTTTGAGATAGACTGATAGACGGCTCTTAAGCAGACAACATAAAGGTAAGCATAAAGCATAATCCAACCTGGCCGCTCTACCTACCCCAGGACCGCACCTTACACGTGACCGTGTGACAGAACAAGCGGATCTCCTCCGTCCGTAGTTCAGTGACCCTTGATCAAGATCACCAACCTCCAGGTTCCCCGCCATTTCCAACAAACTCCAACCAACAGGAAACACAACGCACACACACCTTTTTTACAGTCGCCAAGCTGTTACCCACTCGCGTCCTCCCACGCGCCATCAGGCTTGCACCGCCCATCCTCAGAAGAACCATGTCGTCCTTCTCGAACCTCACTTACAACGAGACGGAGCAAGCAGAAATCAACCAATGGCTCACCACCTCTGACCGCCTCAAGTCCGCGAGCGCTGACCACAAATCCCTTCTCGACACCCTCAACACGCACCTCGCCTCTCGCACCACTCTGCTCGGCGCAAAGCCCTCCAAGGCAGATATCGCGCTCTACGAGTCCCTCGCTCCTCAGGTCTCGTCCTGGACGCCCGAGCAGCGCACCGGAGAGCATGGACACCCGAATATCGTACGCCACTTGGACTTTGTGCAGAACTCGCCTGTCTTCGCGCTGGCGAGCAAGGTCGAGCTGAAGGTTGACCTGGAGGAGGTCTTGTATGTGAAGCCGCCTGTTGACGCGAAGGCCGAGAAGGAGCGTTTGAAGAAGGAGAAGGCTGCTGCTGCTGCTGCTGCTGCCGCTACGGGAGTAGAGACGGTGCTGGCGGATAGAACGAATGATAAGAAGGGAAAGGGTGTTGTCGAGAAAGTTACGGATACGATTAAGGAGGTCAAGGATGGAGTTGTAGCAGCTGTCAGCGGGGCGAATGCTGCTGCTGCGCCGGCCGAGCAGCAGCAGAAGAAGGAGAAGAAGGCTAAGGCGCCCAAACCACCGAAAGCCCCTGCAGTTACGGCTCCACTGTCACCAGCTTTGATCGATCTTCGCGTTGGGCACATCTTGAAGGCTATCAAGCACCCAGAGGCAGACTCGCTGTATGTCTCTACGATTGCGATGGGAGATAAGGCTGGTACCGAAGATACTACTGAGTACGAAGGACAGGTTGTGCGAACAGTGTGCTCTGGCTTAAACGGTTTGGTGCCATTGGAAGAGATGCAAGGTCGCAAGGTCATCGTGGTGTGCAACTTAAAGCCCGTCAAGATGCGCGGCGTCAAGTCTTGCGCTATGGTTCTCGCTGCATCCCCAAGACTGAAGGAGGGAGAGGAGGACAACCACGCCGGGCCCGTCGAGCTCGTTACCCCGCCTGCGGACGCGCCTGCTGGTGAGCGAGTATACTTTGAGGGATGGCAAGGAGAGCCCGAGGGAGTGCTGAACCCGAAGAAGAAAGTGGTAAGTTCAGATCTACTGCTATTATATTCAACGTCGCTAACTTTAATCAAGTGGGAGACGATCCAACCAGGATTCTTGACAACCGCCGAGCTCGACGTGGGTTTCGATGCGGGGGCCGTCAAGGAGCTCAGCAAGGAAGGCGAGGAGCCGAAGACGGGTGTTGGAAAGCTGGTGACTGCCAGTGGGGGTGCTTGCAAGGTCAAGAGCTTGAGCGGTGGCATTGTCAGATAGGATGATTGGCGCTTTAGACACGAACACCAGATACCTAGATTTTGTGCGCGGAAATGGGCGGGACAAAAGTTTGCTTTGTTACTGATGAGGTATCATTGCTTGGAGAATACGATTCCTTGCGTTTCAAGAGTCTGAAAATTCCGGAAGACGCAAAACACAAGCCAAGGAAGGAAGCTACCTAGCTACCTACCTCCCCCTAGACGAACGTCTATTGTCATCAATACCCCTTCCTTCCTTTTCAAAAAAAAAAAACATTTGACTCCTGAGTCCTGGACTTCCGGACCCGAAACTAGGTACTCTCTCTCTACCTTACTCAGAACGGCGATTGACGCTCGAGTGCGATGTGCAATAGGTACCGGTAATAAGCAGGGATAGAGCTCAACGGTTACGCGAGCTACCCCACAAGCAAGGATGGAGCTGAGAGACGCGTCCCAAAAAAAAAAAAAATTCAAAAAAAAAAATTTGGGTAGAAGGAGAAGAGACAAAAGACAAAGACGGAGAGAGGAAAGCGCAATCCAAGCACCGACATGAAAACCAACGTAGCTCTCTCTTAGCCTTGTAGATTCAGAGGTTCAGCGCCAGAGTACGATCGATGTGCGGCAAAAGCCTCGTCAAGGCTACATCGAGTACCCACCCAACCCCCCCTTTTTCTACCACCATTATGCCTTTTTTTTCACGTTGCCCAAGATGTGCCTGGAATTAAACGCCCTGAGAGGTAGATGCAAATGGATATCGTGTAATTATGTTTCCGCCGTGACCATGACTATGCCATGTCGCCCGCTTGCCCGCCCGCCCGCCCGCCCGCCCGCCCGCTCGCTCGCTCGCTCGCTCAAAACGCTGAAAATGGTATCACTGATTATAAACAACCGCCGTCCCTTCAGATTCCGACATCCCTGGACCTCTTGAACACCAGCTTCGGCGGCGGTCCGAGGTCATCGTCGCCGTCATCATCCGCCTCCATGTCGTCTACCTCGAGAGTATCCCCCAAGGCTGCAATCTTCGTGTTGCTCGGCTTCTGCGTCTTCATGCCTGTCATCCCGTTTCCCTCATTCGGTCTTGGTTTCGGGACCTCGGCCCCCTCCTTCTTCAACTTCTCAACTTCGTTCTCGGCAGTAGTTTTGACATCTCCCAATCTCTGTTGGATGTTCTGGATCTCAGTGCTGCAGTCTCCTTCTCGTAGGAACTGGTGCGCGGCGTGCTCGCACTGGCTTTGACACCACTCAAGCCCTTTATCCAGCTCGTCGAAGATATCTGGAGCATCTCCTGCTCCCCTCCTATACCCCCCCATTAACCCGATACTCATCATGTGGTTGAGTTTCTCTGCCTTGGGCGTTCCCATCGAAGGACCCGTCTGCCGCGTCGACACACAGTTTAGCTTCGGCATTGCCATGTCAGGCCCATTATCCGCATCGGCGCCTACAGCAAGAGTCTCCCCTTGCTTCGTTGCTAATGCGCTCTTCGATGCTGCCAGCAGAATTTTTCCATTGCCGTTGCCATTACCATTCGTGGTCCCGTTCCCAAAATCGTCGCATCCCCCATCTTCATCGTCGTCGTCATCGTCGTCGTCGATTTCTAGTTCCGCTGCCCTCTGCATCTCTGCCATTTTTGCTGCCATTTTCCCCTTGCGCATGGAGTTCCTGCTCCCACTGACAAACTTGACTAAATCCTCGAAGGCGGTCTGCACTGCGCTGTCGTAGTACACAATGATCATAGATCGCGTTCTGTATCTGGGAGCTAGAGATTCCCCCGAGGCGACGGAGCCAGTCTTCCTCTTGCGCAGAGCGGCGGGACTCGTCCTCCCAAGTGCCTTCGGTGCTGACGTTATTCGCGTCAAGGCCTCTGGGGAGCGTCCAGGACCGGATGAATGTGGGCTCGTGGCACAGGCCCGGGCTGCCGCAGGCGACGCAGGCGAGCGCGGACGCGAGAATTCATTTTGTTTGGGTTCTGGCGAGCCGAGTGGATTCAGGAGAATGTCGTTGGGCTGGTCGTGGACTTCGGCGGAAACGCGGCTGTCGTGGTTGTCCTTGAGTCGGAGGGACTCGGTTGATCCTTTATTTTTCAGGGAACGGGTGGAGGGGCGCTCGTTCTCAGTCAGCCGAGCGAGCTCGATTTGACGGAGGGCTATGTGGCCATTGAGCTCGTCCAGGCGGGCATTCCAGACGGGGATGGAGGTGCAGAGTGTAGTGAGAGCCTCGAGAGTCGAAAAGTTTGTTGCCATGATTCGATCTGTGCGGATGTCTCGACAACAGTGGGTGGAGAGGGTTTTGTTTTATCAAGTAGCAAGCAGAGCGAGCACCAGCCAGAGCAGAGGAGCGAAGAAGTGCAACGTGGAGCCCGCGATGCAAATCGGCAGTAAGCAAGACAGGCTCGTGTGCCACAACAAAAAGAAAAGCGCAATGAACATCAATCGTTGTTATGGTTTTGAAATGCTTCGAAGACAAACGCAGCCAAGAGAGAAAGGCTCCAGGGTAGGGGTGGGCGGTGGAAGGGAAGGGAAGGCACGGGAATAATAGATAATAGATACAGTAGTAGATAGTAGATAGTAGATAGTAGATAATAGCACGAAAAGATATACAGCTGAGAAGTCAAAGTAAGTAGATAGCATTTGTACAGTACGGTATAACCGCCGGGTGGTACCGTAGGTCAACTCGCTGGGACCACCGCCCATTTTACTCGCACTATATGCCGTATGGCTATGCGGTCCTGTGTCCTCTCCCAAAGTTTCGCGAATAAACCAAATCCATAGACAGATATAGTTACGAAGTATCTACTATACCTACAACGTACATACCGGTACTCTACTACTACCAACAAATGCTGTGCGACAGTCCAGACCGGGTTCCGTGAGTACTACCTAGAGTACTATTGCTATGATTGATATGCGGGGGCGGTAAGACCCGAAGTTACGTAAAGGTAAGGATTCAAAGCTGAGGGCGGATTCGAATAGGTAGTGAGTGAGTGAGTGAGTAGGTAGGTACCTAGGTACTTTTTGTTATTTCCCTCCTCCTTCTCCTCCTCCTCCTCCTCCTCCTCCTCCTCCTCCGTCTGCTTCTCCTTCTCCATGAACCTTGGCTGCAAGTTGATTTTACCATTAACTCTTGATTTAGTCGTAGTTGTATCTAGACCTTTTCGACCTACCTTTCACTCCACTTACGACTACGGATTTCACTTCGTGCCAAAACTCCACTGGCCATGTGTCACTTCGACCCCCCATACCGGCCGGTATCTCCAAACTATCCAAGGGTCAATGGCTAGCTCGTGCCTTACGACCGCAAACAAGATCGGGATAATTCGATGTTACGAAGTACCTACCATTTCATCGGACAAGGTAGTATCTCCTTTGATTTAGTAATAGTGGTAGTCAAAGCTGGCATCTTAATCCTCCATAACAAGGACTTCACGTAGGAGAGTGAGAAAGGAACATTCAAGAGTGACTCAAGCCACGTGCCAAATACCGGTCGAATCTACAGTATCGGGATTGACAAGATGCTGCGCGCTCAATAACTTGGTAGGATCGTGGCTCTCACATATCCTACTTACATACTAGTAACGATGGGGATATCTGCAGGTAGCGAATCGAGCTCTCCTACCTACTACTTACCTTACCTAAGTACTACAACAAAACTACCGATAGAAGTACTTACAACTAAAAGCTAGGTACTTGATCCCGGTTCCGACTCGGGACCCGATAGGAGCCTCTTGCCGCACCTGCATGGGCCTTTCTCCTCTGCCGAAAAACTCTCTTGCTCCTTCAAATTGCCCAGCCCAATCAAACTCTACGAGAGAGCCAGGTCAGTTAGGAATTCTTTCGGCGCCTGACGAAGAAAGTACTACTAGTACTGCTACGTACACGTAGTACAACTGGCTGGCCACCGTGTCGGGTCCACGAATTCACCATCAGCAGCCGTGCATCATCGATCGATACAGTACAGCAACCACCGCGCCATGCTCGCATCGCGTGCACCTAGAGGTCGGCGACCTTGAGTATTCCCACCGTCTGCCACTGCCACCACCACCACATATCCTGCTTCTTAGCATGCAGCAGCCCAAAATTGCAGAATTTTACTGTACATACTACGTAGTAGTACTTCTTACCCAGCTCATACCTCCGTAGCCGGGGGTGACATTTAAGGTTTTCCTCGGGGGGGTTCTAGACCTCACGGTGAAAGCGGTCGAGCGCCTTGCGTGGCGTCAAGGTTTCGCGACGGGGAGCTCATCCGCCGTGGCAACTCGCCGAGATGAAGTCGCGCTAACCGGAATCTTCGAGAAGGAAAAAGTGGATTGGACGTGGGAGGTGAGATGGCATCCCAGCCTTCACACGTGGGAGCGGCGATACGATGCGATGCGATGCGATGCGATACGATCCCGATCCTGCATTCCGCGCGTGGAGGACGGAGGTGGACGGATGGAGAGGATGCTTCGGGCCATGGACGAAGATGAGAACAAATAGTAATACTAGTACGTACTAGGTAAGATTTGGGAGCGAGATCGAGGCATGATGGCATCAGATCCAGATCCTGTGAAGAAGGAAACGTAACAAAAGAGTTGAGGACAAATGAGAAGAAAGCCCATTATCCCTCGCAGGTCTGACGATAGAGGAATTGAAGCTATCTAGCTGAGTCCTGATCTTGAGACTTTCGCCTAGCCGATGGATACCTATCAACCAGGTCGAGCGATAACCGAGTCTTTGATAGGTTTTGCTCGCCTATGGCCAAAGCTCTTCCTTCTTCCACTCACCAAGAATCTCGGCTCCTTCTCCGGATTGAGCATTCGGCCCAACGAAAGTGTATCTCCAGCGACGAGAGCGCTCCGGGTCGCTTAAATCGCAGAGCTCAACGACTTCAGGCTGGAACGTACCAGTTAGCAAATCTTTGCTGGTGCATGACAGGCAGTATAAGACTGACTGCATGCACAATACTAGGTACCAAGTACGTAGTACCAAGCAGGCCCGAGAACCACACGTGAGAAAGGAGTTGGGGGTTAAGAGAGACTCGAGTAGGCTGCTCACCTTGATAATGACAACCCTAAAGTTCTTCCTTGCGACCTCGTCTTCCAAATCATCTACCTTCTGTCCCATTCCCAAACCCTCTCCAGGCGTCGAGCCCACCGGCGTGCCAGGCGCCGGATTCTTAAAGCTCCCTCTCATCCCAGGACTCAAGTTCCCAAAATGCGCCGTCTATTTACCATATTAGCTTACGAAATCGTGCCTTTTTTTTTCCTTTCTCCAAGAACTGTAAGAGAAATATCATCTGACTTCGAGCTCCAGATGACACCAAAGCGACAAAGAGCCCGACTTACCAGCTCCGTATTCCAGCTCCAGGCTTCCTTCCCCTCCTCACTCACCACCCTCATCCTCTCCCCAACAGCACTCTTCACCGTCCTCACGCCACTGCTCTCCTCGCCCCCGCCCTCAATATCCCTCGCCACGACAAACGCATCCCCCCGAATGCGCCACTGCGCCATAACCCCCTTCACCCAGAAGACGGCCTCGACAGGCCCCCCACCGCCGCTCCCCTGACTCTGCGCCACGTCCCCGTGACCGGCGCCGGTCGCGAAGATCTCCGGCACCTTCTCCATCCGGACGTCCGTCGTCAGCGTCAACAGGTCGCTCTCGTACACGCGCGCGTTCCGGGGCGCGACGTTGCGCCCGTTCTCCGGCAGCTCGCCCCACATGCCTCGGTAGATGCAGTACCGCGCGCGCGGGAGGTGCGAGACGGGCGCGCCCTGGGGCGCCGCGTGTAGCGAGGAGAGGACGAACTCGGGCGAGTCCATCTTGGAGATGTGCGTGTTGAAGAGGGGCCGCCAGGGGGCGGCGCCGGTGGAGGACGGGGTCGTTGCTGTGGTTGACATGGTGCAGGTGAGGCGTCGGAGCCGGGCGAGAGCGCGGGAAGCTATTTTGATGGGCGGAGAGGTCTTGTTTAGGTAAGGTGGATTGCTCTTCGTCGATCTGGCAAGATGTATCTTGGAACTGTGGTGATGGAGATTATTGACGGGAGCCTTGAGATGGTGGAATTTGAGGAGATGCCCTAGATTACTACTAACTAGTGTGGGGGACGCGAGCATGTCAATGACGGTTAGACTATGAGACGCTTTCTCGACCTTGCTCTTTCACTACGCCCCTGAGCCCACGTCTTCAGGAACAGGACTTAATGTGTCGACCTTGACAGTCTGATTCAATCATTAGAATTGGCTTCTATTCACTTCCTTTTCTCTTTCGGGCTCACAAGCTTCTGAGAAGCCGAGTTCTGATGTTTTGATTGGAGCGGATCAACATTGGAACTTCCGGTGCCTTAAAGCAGAATTAGAAAAAGTTAAGTTAACCATGTTGAACATTTACACTTCAACCACGGCGACAGGATCTGCAGATACGTATGTCGCTGCTATCAAAGCAAAGCAACAGGAGCGATCTTCCTACACATGGGTGTTTCATCCGCACCAGCTTCCTTTCGAGCCAACGCCTAGTCCGCACAATGCCCACGCCCATTACAATGTAAATATGATTGACTAGGTAAATCGCCGGAAAAAAAAAAAAAAACAAAAAAAAACCCTACAACATGCTCCCACCGGGTTGTCATCCAGAGGCGAACGTGCTCTTATTCCTCAGCCTCTCACCGTATTTCCACAAAAGAAATGGTGCCGGCCAGCCCAGCGCTATAGCGATGAAGGCCAGCAAGCTGTTTCCCCACCCGTAGTCCAACTTCCTGTACATGTAAGGAGCAAACAGTGGGAACCCGAATCCCGCCAGAGATCTCAGAACAGTAGCTGCTCCTACAGCGCTGGCAGCGTATCGTGTGTAGGAATCGACAATATATGATTGAATACACTGGAACCCGATAATCGTACCCGCAGCAAATATTGCCGCACCGATGTTCGGAACGATCCAGTGAGTTTTGGCTTGTGCACTCCACCCGTACAAGAACAGCCCGACCGGAGCGAGGATGGCTCCGGGTATCATCAATGGCACGCGAAATTCGGGCTTACGGACGCCGTTATTGCGCTTCTTGAGGGCTAGGTAGATGCGATCTTGAAGAGGCGCTGCAACTTGAGTTCCCAAGAAGAAGCCAACGCCAAGCGAGATATAGTTTAGACCACCGATGCCCACTGATTGGCCGTACTTATTCTCCCATAGTCCAGGGAAAGTGGAAAGGACCAGGTACATGATGCCGTAGAGATACGCCATATACAGTGCAAGTAATTGGACGATTATCTGAGTACCCAAGAGTATGAAAGGTCGAGAAAGGGAAGTACGCAGAGCCTTGGCGACCGTACGGTCTGGTTGGTCGTATTCGGTATGTAAAGCCTCGTTCCCAGTCTCCTTGATCGCCTGCTTCTTCTTGCGGTCCAGAAGAACGGGTGCGTATGTTTCCTGAAGGAACCAGAGGCCCAAAAATTGAATCAGCCCGTCCGTGATTGTAGTTGCGTAAAACACCCATCTCCACGTCGTATTCTGCGTGACGAATCCTCCTGCTATGGGTCCGATGGCTGGCCCGAGAAGCGGAGCAAGACTGTAGATACTGAGGGCTTTCCCACGCTCCTCGGGTGTAAACAAGTCGCTGAGGACACCACCACCGATTGCCTGTAATGTTCATTAGCAAAATTTGCTCGTGTACTTGCCGTGTGTCTGGATATTTGCTCAAGACTAAGTCATCAATGGAAGCTCACTAAAGGTGCGGACCCCCCTAACCCAGAGAGAAAGCGAAATGCAATCAATTGCTGCTTAGTCTGAGCGAGACCACATCCAAGGTTGAAGAATAGATAGAAGAGATTTGCAGATTGAAGGATAATGATCCGTCCATACAACTCCGACAAGGGTCCCAATAACAGCGGGCCAACAGCATAAGCTAGTACAAATATAGACAGCGTCAAACTTTTCTCGATATCATTGGTAATATTGAATTCGGCGGCAATGGCGTTGACAGCCGGAGCTATCATAGAACTTGAGACGGGGGAAATAAACGTAAACGCAGATACTGGGTTACAGTTAAGCGAGGAAGTATATCGAGGGCAGAACTCGGCACGTACCAATTAATGTAGCAGACCATTTCCGACCCACAGACCAATTCTTGGGGTTATTCGGATCGTTTCTCTCCCATCCCACCAAGTTAGGATCTCTCGCACTCCTACTACTTTTCGTTGTCTGCGAATTCTCCAGTTTCGGACCAGCCTCAACATCTCTCTTGTCTTCGATTCCGTCCCGGATTTCTGGTAAAATCTCGGCATCTTGTCCATCTTTTCCCTCTCGCTCCTCTCTCTCGGGGAAGTCTGATTCGTCGGTGCTAGTATCATCCTCCAATGTCTTTTCTCGTTGCTCCTCTTGATAGTCGTGTCCATAGTACTGGCTGTCGAGGTGTGTACCACCAGAGAGCACTCGATGGATGATGGATCCTGCTAACGATGCGCCAGACCCTTGAGACGCTGCTCCTGAGGTGTCCCTCCTCGACTTTGTCACCCACAGATCTGAATCTGCCATTATTGTATCGATAATTATAAGTTTCACAAAAGCGCAAGCTGCATCGCAAAGCAGAACAGGATCGCGTTTCCAATTTCAAGAGGCACAATCGTCTTCGAACAATGACGTGGTAAATTTTCCAAACTGAATGATGAAAGAGAGGATGCCCGATTTGAAGGAATAAGCGGTACTTCTGCCGCCTTCGTATCAACAGAGAAAATGAAATGAAGAACAAATAAATGAGCCCGAGGAAAATAACAATCCATCAACATGAAATGGTGGGAGGTTAAGGAGATAAGGGTACTCTCGGGAGGAGTTAAGTACGTTGTTGCGAGGTCGACTCGCCATGATGTCTATCAAGCCAATGGAAAGGCTTGCTTAGGACGATCAATCGGCACCAGAGCAGCATAGACTGATTATTCCTACCTGTGGACGACACCATGGTTTCAGTGTGCTAGATCGAGATGGGAACGGGTTGACTCGAGCTGTGGTTGAGTCGTTGAGTCGAGGTCGGCAGGCGACTCGGTAAGCGAGGCCCGGCGTTAAGGATGCCATGTTGCTATGTCCGCTGCTTGGACCTTCGCCTCTTCAAGTTGAAGATTTCTGCTTCGTACGCTTTGATCTCCACGAGATACTCTACCAAGAGAGGAGATCTCTGGCTTGCCCCAGACTAATGGTTAGCATCTCTCTAGGCCATGCTTTCGATGCCTGAGAGAAGAGCCAGCCAGCCGACTTGCAGCCAATCATCCCCGAGCTGCTATATGTAGGTACTTAGCGCTCACTATACGGTAACGTAGAGCTGCACGTCGATTGCAGGACCGACAGCCTTCGTTCGAGGGGCGCAGGACTTACACATCTTTTCTTCTTCCCAGGGCGGATCGCGAGCATTTCTCAGATCCTCCGCAATTACTCTGGTGTATGTATGAATGTATGTACCTTGTATGTTTGTATAAGGTATGTATGTCTGGATGGGAGGTATACTTACCTACAGTTCTTCACCACAACCCGGACCTCAGCGACAGTCGTGAATTCGATTCAGAGCTCGTGCGATAAACATTCATTCAGACGACGCCTAGATCCGACAAGTTCCTATCACACTGATGGCCGATATTGAAGAATTCGAAGATGGAGTTCAGATGCTGATGCACGGTTCTCATGGTGGGGGAGCAAGCAACGAGCTTGCGGATATCGGTTTCGCGCAAGAGGGCGGGGCAACAACGAAGAAAAAGTCGAGAAGCACCAGAGATGCTGCCGCCATCAAGAGACGATGCGTCAGTACGGCGTGTATTGCGTGTAGGAGGAGAAAATCCAAATGCGATGGCAATACCCCCAGTTGTGCGGCCTGTTCGAGTGTTTACGGCACTGGTGAGTTGCGATTCCATTGATACATCCCATTGATCATGGCAACCGCCCACTCTGATGCGAGATAGAATGCGTCTACGATCTCAACAGCGATCATCGAAGGAAGGGTGTGTATAGGGAGAAGATAGACACTCTCAAGACGCGGAACTCGACTTTGCAGACGTTGGTCCAGGCCATATTGAATGCGGCGGAGGATGATGTGCCAGCCCTGATACGGCAGATCCGATCTTGCGAGAACTTAGACGATGTGGCCGACAACATCCTTAGAAAAGAGCAGGGACTCGACGACGAGGAGCAGGAAAACGATGACAACGCGACATATACGGCGACAACTTTGCCGACCTTTGAGACGGAGCTCTCAGGCAGGATGGGGGAGCTGAGGCTCGAGAATGGTTCAGTTCGGTTTCTAGGAGGGACCTCAAATCTCATATATCTCGATCCAACTGAGGACGACGAAGGCATCGCTGGTGTGGAAATGGTACAACAGCAGATGGATCCCTTGACTAGCTGGTCAACCGTTACAACAGATACCGAGGTCATTGTGCATCTGATCAATATGTATTTTACCTGGCACTACCCGTACTTCACGACGTTATCGAAAAGCTTGTTCTACCGGGACTTTCTTTTGGGGAAACCACAAGGCACCTCCAAAAGAACGGTCTACTGCTCTAGTCTTCTGGTCAATGCAATGCTTGCTCTTGGATGCCACTTCACGAATTCGCCAAGGGGCTGTGCCGACCCCAACAATCCGGCGACGAAAGGAGACGCATTCTTTGCCGAAGCCAAGAGGTTGATCGTTGAAAACGACGAGTACGAGAAGCCAAAATTGACCACTATCCAAGCCTTGTGCCTGATGTCCGTTCGAGAGGCGGGATGTGGTCGAGAAGCAAAAGGCTGGGTTTACTCTGGGATGAGCTTTCGAATGGCACAGGATATGGGCTTGAATCTTGATTCTGGCGGAATGACCAACAACCGAGAGACCATGGATGATAAAGAAATCGATGCGCGGAGAATCACTTTCTGGGGCTGCTTTTTGTTCGATAAGTGCTGGTCTAACTACCTCGGGAGACTCCCGCAATTACCAGTGTCGAATATTACGGCTCCAAAATACGATGTATTTCCAGACGAAGATTCTGATATTTGGTCGCCCTACACTGACAACGGAATTGGTCAACTGCATTCTCAGGCTTCGCGAACAAGGGCAGTGGCGCTTCAGATATCCAAGCTTTGTGAAATCAGCAGTGATTTGTTGATTTTCTTCTATCATCCACAGACTTTAGAGAAATCGGTTGGACGATCTCAAGAGCTGAAGAAGCTGGGTGAGTTGCAGACGAGGCTGGAAGCTTGGCGTAAAGAATTGCCCAAGGAGATGGAGCCGAAGGAAGGACAACTGCCGAATGTGTTGCTCATGCAGTAGGTCTCTTCCTTGAGGACTATTCCTTGTACTGACTGTTCAACAGCATGTTTTTCCATCTTCTATATATCCACTTGTTCCGTCCTTTTCTCAAGTACAATCCATCAACCTCGCCGCTTCCATCATATGTCTCACCTCGCAAGCTCTGTACCCATGCGGCAGGCTCGGTCTCAAAGCTCATGCGTCTTTACAAACGCACTTACGGTCTTCGTCAAATTTGCAACATTGCAGTCTACATCGTCCATTCAGCCTGTACTATCCACCTGCTTAATCTCCCAGAAAAGACCGCAAAAAGAGATATAATCCACGGAGTCAAGCATCTCGAAGATATTGCCGAAGACTGGCTCTGTGCTCGCCGAACACTCTCCATCCTGTCAGTGCTAGCTCGCAAATGGAAAATTGATCTTCCCGAAGAAGCAGCCATAGTCTTAGCACGCACCGATCACAAATTTGGGTTCTTCAGCACAGCCGACGTACCATCTCCGAAGCACGAATTAGTGGTCTCTACCCCACCATCAAACACGACTTCGCCCCGTATCCAACAGCCTCCACCACAGCAACTAAGTCATTCGCCCCCACAAACGCTGCTTCAGCAGAGTATATACTCATACCGCCCAGACCCTAGGAGTAACATAGCCACTTCTCTCATGCCTGTGCCAAACTCAAACAACCAACACCATTGTTATATAAGCCAGACCCCCGACGGCGTTATCAGTGGTATCGGGTCTATGACCATGCCAGCCGAGCCTCTAACACCTGCTGTCCCCTACCCCCTCCATCACACATACAAAAATTCCGCTTCATCCATCTCGCGCCACATAGTGACAACCAACAACGAACTTGCACGCAGCAACTCCGCCGCCACATCCGAAGCTTCGGGTTCCATGACTCGGCAAGTTTCTCCCAGCACCCTGTTTGGTGGTGTGGAGGCTCTTGTCGTAAGCCAAGACTGGTGGCTCCGAGACCAGGCCAACCTGGCTACTGGTTTCGATAACTGGATGTCAGTAGGTAGCGGCAGCGACATCACCGGGACGAATACTGGAAACTTGAGCGCGAGTGCCGAAATCGATCAGATGACGAGCACGGGCTACTACATGCCTCCTACGAACAACAATATCAAGAGCAATAATGGGTATGGAAATGAGGATTGGGGTTATAACTGATCTCTCGGGTCTCTATTCGGTCTGGTTTAGGGTCTGGCTTGGTTGGGTCGGTGAAACAGCAAATTTTTTCTTGGGGATCGAGTGGGGTGAGCTGGTTGGTGATACTCGGCATGGCTTGTTTTTGCACTGCGGTTGGATTGGGAATGGGCCGAATAGAACAGGAGGCTGGATATATAAGCGATGGAGTTGGTAATAACCAATCTGGAGCTGAGGTGAATCTACAATCATATTATTTTCATAACATGTTGCGATCATGAGACATTTTATCATAGCTTCGCAACACCATCTAAAGGATGCGAACAAATACTTCTCAATGCTTGGTTTTATGCTTCAGTGTCTGAAGAACGAATCGCGTCAGTGTTGTCAAATGGAGCACGTGATTAGTAGGTTTCATATTGTTACACGCAAGGCCGAACGATTAAACAGCAGCGCTTCTCGCACGACTAAATTGACTAGCATGTCGCCATTCGAACTCTACAGTCTCCAGGAGAGATAGTCTGGATGAGTACACAAGGATAATGGCTTGATGACTGAGGGACGGCCAACGGGCCTCGAGAAACTTTACGACTATGAACCGTCTGTACAAAGCAGCACTCAATTTTGTCCCGGTATCTCTTGCTTCAGCGGCAAAGACAGGACCTCAGATCCGATATGAGAGTAGACGTAATAAAAACCTCTGAAAATTTGCTACCTTTTACAAAAGTGGTGGTCGCCAACCTGTCCACCTGGGCGATATCCTCAACGAGCGCTGCGAAGTCATCCACAAGCTCGGCAGCGGTGGTTACGCAAATGTGTGTCTTTGCTGCTACCACACGAGTGAACTGTCTCGGTTCGCCGGCTGTGAAGATTGTCATGGCCGAGGGGTCTACGCCAGACGGCCCAGGGCTGCGTGTAGAAGTAAACACGCTGAAAACGCTCGGTCTCGACCAAGGTCCTTTAGCTGAGCATTTCTGCCTACCTACGGACGAGTTCGAGATCCGCAGCGGCAGGAAACTGTTCGACACACTCGATGACGACCAGGACGAACATCTATGCAAAGATGCCGATGATACTTGGCAAGCTACCCGAACCATGGCGGACGAAGACATGGGAGGCTCGCAAGCTTTTCCTGCGCAGACGATGCTGATGCCGACGGACGTAGTGGTCGAGATTCGCAGAGAGTTAAGTTACCGCAACATTGTCCCGGCGATGGAGAGGCTCGGTTCGAGACCTGTGTGGTGCAAGCCCCGGAGCCGAGGTCGATCAGTGATGCACCTTTGCCAGGATTGTTTCATGAGAATAGCTACTGTATGGCCCCGGGAGCGTCCAACGTGACATAACACCGGAAAAAATTGATGTTTTCTCAGATCTTGTGACGCAGAATTTTCGGATACGGCCCCGAGGAAAGAGACCGACTGCTCGTCAGGCGGTCGGTCAACCATGCACGGTTTAAAAATGTGAAATCGAAAGAGTCTGAAAAAAAAAACCATCCTGCATGATGGAACAACCCCGGCTCTGCGTACTGCGACCCTGGGTACCTATCTACGTATTGATGCGAAGTGCGTAGGAACAAGACTGCATTCATTTGTGAGATTCGAGCTTCGTCGAACGCGAAACAAATGACTTGGCAGTCCACCCTTGCCCGGAACTTTCAACAGTCGAAAACTACGCTGTTTTTGCTGCTGCAATCAGGCCCTTGAATTTGTTGTTTAATGTATAGTATGAGACGGGGCGCACTAACTTTCGTAGAATTCACACTGAGAATCGCCCGGGGCTCTTTTCTGGTTCCGCATCTTCTTCTTGCAGTTTTTTTTTGGCTCGTTTTTTCTTGACACGTCCTGGTACATTACGTTTTACTATCGGAGAGGGAGAGACGATGTGCAGGAAGGCATCGATAGAATGAACTAAAAAAGTGCGAATATTTAAAACCTGAGAGAAAAATCATCCTCGCTTACTCCAAATCGCGACAGTCGTCGACTTCCAAGAAGTAATGTAAAAGGGAACCGAAGATTATTTATTCATCTATCTAGTTTTCTATCTTTATATCTGAGAGATATGTATTTTCTGCAGTAGTGATTCAATTGTTTAAGGCTCTACGAGGGAACGCATTTCGCTAAAGCTTTCCTGTAGTCGGTAAAGAAATATCGAGGTTTGGACTTCGATCAGGTACGTTTCTTTCTTGCTTGTACTATCCATCCCGCTCGTAGGGGAAGGGAATACTCAATCGTTATCGACGCTATCTCAGATAACCCTTTTTTCGAGCTGCATTCGAGGGTATTAGAGGATGAGATTAGGTCGTTCTAAAGAAAGATTATTATTATGGAGGTTGGAAGATCGATTTGATGGACTGCATATGAACCCTCCGCTTTGTACGTCGCCGTATCCCTTGGGAGGTCCTAGGGTGATGAGCTTGCTACCCTATAACCCGCTAGATGTTAATAACAAAAAGAACAACAACAACAACAACGCCTCTTCGCTATCGACCCGAATTTTTTTGCAATCGCTGTTTTTTATTCCATCTCGATAGTTCCTGGAGGCTTGCTGGTTGTATCGTAAAAGACACGGCATACGCCATCGACCTCATTGGTAATGCGGCTCGAGACGCGCTCGAGGAAGTCCCAGTCGAAGCGGAAGATGTTCGCAGTCATGAAATCGGTGGTGCAGACGGCGCGCAGAGCGATGACTTGCTGGTGCACTCGCTTGTCTCCCATGACTCCAACGGCTCGGACAGGCAACAGAGCTGCGTAGGCTTGAGAGATTTGATCGTAGAGACCTGCTTTCTTTATCTCCGAGATGAAGATGTGATCAGCTTTTTGAGCGATTGCCACTTGATCGCGGGTGACCTCGCCCAAGACACGGATAGCGATTCCAGGGCCGGGAAACGGGTGACGCATGACAAGATCGTGAGGAATTCCAAGCTCACGTCCCAGTTGGCGGACTTCGTCTTTGAAAAGTTCGCGGAGAGGCTCGATGAGGGTGAGTCCTTGGCCATTCATCATGCGTTCTGGGAGACCACCGACATTGTGGTGAGTCTTGATGGTTTGAGAAGGTCCTTTGAAGGAGATGGATTCGATCACATCGGGGTAGAGAGTTCCTTGCAGGAAAAATTTGATGGGTCCTGCTTTTGGGGAGTTCTTGGCAGCCTCTTCTATCTTGATAGCCTCGGCCTCGAAGATGTCAATGAACTTTCCACCAATAAACTTTCGCTTCTTCTCTGGATCGTCGTGGATTCCCTTGAGACCGTCGAGGAATTCGTTCGAGGCATCGACCAGTGTGAGATTGATTTCCAGGTGCTCCTTGAGAGTCTTGACGACGTCCGCGCATTCGTTCAGTCGCATGCAGCCATTATCAACTAAGACAGCGTGGAAGCGGTCTCCGATGGCCTTCTGCATGAGCTTAGCGCACACGGTGGAATCGACCCCCCCGCTGACTGCTCCGATAACTTGTCCCTTCTCCCCAACCAAAGCTCTGATTCTAGCAATCTCTTTGTCAACGAAGGTAGCCATTGTCCAGCTCTGCTTGGCACCACAGATCCCAACCGCGAAGTTCTCCAACAATTTAACTCCTCGTGGTGTATGTGTAACCTCGGGATGGAATTGGATGCCATAGATGGGCTTCGTTTGATGTGCTATTCCGGCGTATGGTGAGTTTTGCGAGGTCGCAATGATGTGGAATTGAGGTGGGAGGGCTCCAAGCTTGTCGCCGTGCGACATCCAGACTTTGACATCATCCTCCAGATCAATGAACAGCTTATCGACATGTCCGCTCTCTCTCTTTGCCTGAATATCTGCATGGCCAAACTCACGCTCGGTCGATGCGACTACATTCTTTCCGTGGTGCCATGCAATCTCTTGCAAACCATAACATATACCAAGAATCGGGACTCCAAGCTCAAATATCGCAGGGTCGACGTGGGGGGCATCTTTATCGTAGACTGAGTATGGTCCCCCAGAGAGAATAATACCCTTAGGCTTCCAGGTAAGTTCGGAAAGCTTTTGGGTGCATGGGAGCATCTCAGAGTAGACATTGAGCTCGCGGAGGCGTCTCGAGATCAAGTGAGTATATTGACTGCCAAAATCTGCTCTTCATTAGTTCGTTTCAGTATGTAAAAGGGCAAAGAGAAAGTGAAGCGTTGAATTTTAGAAAAATGTGTCTAGAGGGGGGGTCACTGACCCAAGGTGAGGATAGTATCAAACAAGTTGTGAGGCGCCTCAGTGGCATCTGCGTTGGTAGCCATTTTCGCAAAGTTGCTGTCTGGACTTTCAATTCTCAATTAGCAAAGTGGTGGTGGTGAAAATGTTAGAAGGCAGGCAGAGAGGAAGGCAATGAACAGGTGCTGGAACCTATGGATATATTCCCCCACCATGATTTTTTTTTTGGCGGCGGCGCTAAGATAAAGTACGATAAGGGTTTTACTGAGTCTATTTATAGTATGCCTGACAAGTGCTGTACCTATGGCGCCCTTACTACGTCATAGCGCCTTTTCCTACACTTCAGATGAATAATAATCACAAACTAGGTAACCTGCGGATATCGAACCATGCCCATGAAGGAATAAAACATGTAACAAATTGCAAAAAGAACGATCAATTATGAAGTCCCTATTACTTTGCGAATAGAGAGATTCTGTAGCAGAGCTAACTCACTATTTAGGATCAGCGCCATAGCCCAGAGGTTAGTGAGGTGGACGGTATAATAAGTTATTAACGATCACTGATCTGCCGACTTGGGTATTAATCGCAAAGTATAGAAAGAAAGTTGACTTAGATGTTTAAAATCTGCTGTTAATGTTTTCATTTCTTTTTCTCTTTGCGAAAAAGTCATAAGTTTTCTGTTCGATACAAGAGATCGAACGGTATATTTATCTCCAAGTGAAAGGCAAGAAAGCAGAGCGGAAAAATACACGTGTACTTGATGAGATTATTCCTCGCACTCCTTCTCTATATGCTCACCAGCATTTCCACTGATGCATCATACAACTGCCATCATGACCCAGTCATCAGGCTAATCGTAACCCATAAACGGTATCCAATCGGGCGGCATATCAATCCCCTCCGGCAAGTTGCCCCAAAACATGCCGTCCAGATCCCACACGCCGAATTGGTCTGTACCGACCATGCCGTCCTCGCTGAGCATTTCCACTTGGTGGTGCACGCTGTTTGTATCCATCATGTGCCCATGCATTTCACTCGCACCGTTCAGAATAGACGTGGGATTTCCACCACCACGCCCACGACCCGCATCCCCTTGACCGGCAGCACTTCCGGCGCACCCTTCCCCCGGAGTCCCGAGCCCATTACCGGCCCCTATGCCCGCCTCCAACATCATACTCACGACCTCTCGACTCCGCCTCCCCGCGAGGCTCCACTCTCCCAGCCCCTCCAACGCCTCCAGCACAATCTCAATCTGCGCCCGGCAGTCCGCGACCAGAGTCGCGTCCCCCTTCTCCCAGAACATCATCAGGAGCGGGATCATAGCCGCCTGATACAGGAACCACGCGCCGTTCCAGCCCAGCATCTGGTTTGGCGTCCACTCGCGCGCAATATCGGAGATGGTCTGCTGAGCCACCGACCTGCACGTGGCGATTGCGTCGAGCTCGTCCGGCGTTGCGGGCTGTTGGGAGCTGGATGCAGAGCGATTGGCGAGGTTGAGCAGGACGGGTCTGAAGAGCACTATGCGGAGATTTTGGTAGCGCCACTTCATGACGCTACGGGCGGTGTAGATGGCATCGGGGCAGGGCTCTGTGGTGGAGTGCAGGAGCCAGGGAAGTTGGGCGTGCCAGTCGACGAGCTGGCGGTCGAGAGAAGCGCGGTCTGAGGGGCGCATGAGTGGGGATTGAGCGAGTAGGTCTTGGATTTGCGTGGCAAGTTTGCAGAATTTGATACTCTCGATAAGGGGGATGATGCCGGTGTGTTGGCCGATTATATTCTGTCTTGAATCAGTGGCTGTTATATATCTATCTGTGTGATGGAAGTATCAGAGCTGAAATTACCAGATCATGGGTTCCTTCTGGTGCGCGGATGGTGATTCCTGCTCCCCATCGGCCCATCGAAGGTCGGCCTAGAGTTGTGGACGCCCAGGTATCGAGACAGAACAAACTCCACCACGTTCTCCTCCTCTGCTCAATCGTCTCAGCGTCAACGGGTCCCTGCTCTGGCACGCTCTCCTTATGAAGACCCATGGCACACGCAATCCGAAGAGCTGCTCCGGTGATGGCGTTTGCCATATTCGGCCTGTTAATATAGTGAAGATAAAGACCCCCCATCAATGCCAAAGCCTGGAGAGTCTCAATATGACCGCTAGCGAAAGAGTCGATGCTCAGATGCTCCTTGGCCCGGCTGAAGAAAGTGACATGGTTGTGATCGTCGGATTTATTCGCAACGATGCTGCCCATCGCGAACACCATATTCAGGAGTGCTAACCAAGGCGCGTCGTTCCGTCTACCGCTCAAGTAATCTGCTCTGAAAGACGGCTCATAAAGCATAGGGACGAAAATCTGGACTCGCTTGAAGTAGGCATCAATCAGAGTCTGTCCGTCGGAGGACCACGCAATCGCTAGGAGCGATCGCCCGCTACCTCCATATCTCGGCGTAGGGTAGTTGCTCGCACTCGGCTGTGACTTATCCCCTAGGAAAGACCGCAACGCCGGTGCAACCTTTAGCATCACCAAGAACGCCGCTTTGATAGACGTTGCACCAAGATACGAAGACTGCCGGTCCACTAACAAAGACAGCGCATTGACATCGTCTGCCTCCGCTGGGATTGGATCGCGATTCCTTCTCTCCTCGTCCCACTCGCAGTCTTGACTGGGAACTTGTTCAAGGTTCGCGAGACTTCGGTCATCTTCAAATTTATTGTCGAGCGGTGAATGAGATTCCTGGGAGATAGGCGAGCTATTCGAAATGGAGACCGACATCGAGTCCGGTGACGACCACTGGGACAGCGTACCCTGGGACCCCGAGAGATCGAGCACGGAAATCAACTGATGCCTCGAAAGAGGCAGCAGCGACTGCGCATCTCGCGTAGGATACAATCGTTTTAAGATCGAACGACATTCTTCCAGAGATTGGGAGAGAGCATCGAGAGTTCTGTCCTCGTTTATTAGCGTTTATTACTCCGCTACACCCCAGATTTGAGAATTGTATACTTTCTAGACGGGATCACCCTCTGACGATGTTTATCATAGTAGCATGCCTTTGGAGACCTGCATCCAAGACATTGCCCACAGGGCTGGCGGCCATCACAGCGGATCTTGCGTCTTTTGCATTCGGCGCAGGCGTGGGGAGTGGTGATTCTTTTGGAGGCGCCTTTGCTAGCGAGTTTTGGCTCCTCTAGAGAGTGCTCAGAGATCGGCCGCGGTGGCGCCAAGCCCTGAACTGCAGCAGGAATAGAGACTGTCAGTTCCTGCTGTTCATGTTATGACTCAAGCGGCTTGTTTGCCGCTGGTACTGTACTTACAAGTGTGGAACATCTCGGATGAGCCTAGTGAAGGCATGGAGAGAGATCTCCTCGGAGTGGAAGATCTCACTACCGGCTTGTTTCAATGCTCAAGATTTCAGTGGGACAGCTTGGATAAAAGCACTATAGGCTAGCTATACGTCGTGGCCCACGAAAAAGTCCAGGCACAACAAGCAGAGCAGCTGAGACGCGGTGCAGTGCAGTGCGAGGCAAGATGAGCAGGGGGAGCTCGTCGTAGTGGATAAGCCGCAAAGGTAAAATCAAGTGAAGTATCTCTGCGTGGATACGATCTAATTCGAGAGCTGGTACTGATGCAGAACAGCGAGCACAGCCTGACAGTAGTTAGGACCTTGCGGAAGTTTGGAACTGCTTGCGAGCTCTGGGTTGCTTGGGTAGCTTGGGTGGCATAGAATAGCAATTGGATCGTGTTGATAGCGGAGAATGGCCAAGTTTGGGCTTTGCGCTGCTGAGAAGAGAGATAGAGCTGGGTTTTCCAGTCGTTAGGAATCTCTCCCAACGACGTGAGTGAAGAGCTGTCAGCTGGACGACTCTTTGCTTCCTTGAACTGACAGGCTTCTAGACCCGTGTTGGGGAATGAGTAAAGATGCTGTGCAGGAACGAGAAAATCGGCCTCGAAAATGATCCAACGCAGAATTTATGGAGAAAATTCATGAATCTGGAAAGTGCTGCATGCAGATTGCTTTAATACTTTTCTCAAAGGGACACTGGTACGTCTGCTCTGAGCCCTGCTCTTATGCCCGCTGCTGAAGGTGTGGAGAAGAGGGTTGACCAGGACACTCGATCACCAGGCAGGAACAGGGCTGCAAATTGCGTGTGGTAGAAGATTCCCTTGTACATTATACAGAACCAGGAAATACTGATCGGTGCATGGCGCCGAAGAACCCGTTGGGTGGGCGAGCCATCTCGGAGTGAAATTCCGGCAAAGAGTGTCCAGCTGTGATAAAATAACGGCAAGGAAAACCGAGAGGAGTAGTCTTGGGTGTGACTTGAAGGACATGCTGCAGCTGCATTCCCCTCGGTACAAGGATTATGTCAATATTGTCAGCAATCGCGGGAACAAGATCTGTCGGGGGGTGTGTCCGATTTTCGATCTTCCCTTTTCATCCTCCCGTTTTTCGTCTGGTCAATGGCAGCCCGGCTCTAACCTGTTTCCTACCAGTAATATGCCACTCACTACCTTACAGCTGCATTGAAAGCGCGTCGTCTTCTGCATTTCGTTTAGTCGCTTGTACACATACATATACAACCCGGCAATATGGTGTAGCGAGTTCTCGACTCATCTTCGACCAGTGGGTCAGATAGCATCTGTATAAGCCGTAAGGTAGCATTTGGTGCTTCATGTACACTAAATGCCGGCATAGAAAGCACGCATCGAAACTGCAGCATGATGACCGTCAGGACGCCCTTCTGCGTATGACTTCGCACATCTTGCGGTTCTTAGAAATGGAGTTTTCTGCGTCACATTTAGCATTGAAGATCTTCATACTCATTAGATAGAAGCAATGGTAGCACGATTCTCCCAATCGGTCCATACGAGCTTCGATCTTGACGTGTATAGAGGCACGCAGGGACGGGATACATCGCGTGGTAGGCCTGTCATTGGCAGTCGCAGGGCAGGTGCAGGATAGCTTAGCAATGATAAAACGGGAAACGCAGAAAGTTCAGGTACAATCGTCCCAAGCTACTACTTCCTCCACTTACCGGTCGATGAAGCCAGTTCGGGGTCGTCAAGCCCCTCATTTGATTACCTTTCAGGCACCTTGTTCCGAACAATGGCAATTTACCCAGCGAATCGGTGTTAAAGTGCCATAGAGAGCCCTGCTCTTCAATACCTGCCGTCGCATATGAACCTCGATCTTCAAATCAACAGTGGTAATAATGGTTTCCCCTCTTGAGGTACTTCTGGGTTCAAATTCTCTGTGAGAAAGCGCGAGGCGAGGCGTCTTGCTATCATCAAGAGTAAGCGTGAGTTGTTCAAGGCTGCCTTTCAGTTCCAGAGGCATTCTGCGTCGACCGAAAAAACTTGTGCATGAGCAGGAAAGCCAAGACACTTCTCATAGGGTATTGATCGGGAAATTCTGTGGCTAACAATGCAAGCTGGGCTGCATTAAGACGTCCTGGAGTCGGTGGGGGGGGGTTGATGAAGCTGATGTTGCTCCTCTCTATTCAAGCGCTCTGACCTCTCATGCTAAGCAAGGCCTTCGGGCCATGTAGAGATTTGACAATTGCCAAGGAGATCTGTGATATCGTAATCATGGTGAAGTACCGGTAGGCTCCCGTAACGAAGCTACAAATGGCTTGTGTGGAATTCGTCTCGAGAGAAAACCGCAGGGTTCATCTTCTTGCAGGCGAGTGAGAGCTTGGCCATGCAGATGTGTATGACGACGACATAAAGGCCGGCGAGGTTTCCATAAGCGAATCCCCACACGATATGGGGATGGATCTCATGATGCGAGAGTCAGATCCAGATCCAGATGCAGCTCGGTCGGTCGGTCGGTCGGGCGGGCGGTCCCATGTACTTAGTACGGTACTTAAGCTGCTGAAAAAAGAGGGTCTCGTTTCTCCTCGTCCAGTGTGGCATCGCGGGAGCACTAAGTTGCATCCACAATCTCCTGGAAGATATATTGTTGTACCGGTACATGTTGTTGTGCATATGTATCTGGCTGATTCCTCAGCTAAGATGAAGTCAAAAAGTCTAGTATCAAGTTTGTGCACTAAAAACACAATCCACCAGCTCACGTGATCACTGATGACTTGGGAGATTAGCGCGTCGCGGGGTAGCAATGAACGCGAACCTGAATCCTGAGTTTTGTCCACTTTTCTTCGCCTCACGTCCATTCCAAGCTTCCACTGACGTCTCAACTCAACTCCTCTCTACTCTTTGTTGCTTACTCGTACCGAGCCACCGAATTCAGATAGATCTTACCAAGGTCTGCTGCCATCATGGAATTCGGCTTGCGATGCAACGTGTTGAAGTGTCGCAAAGAGGTCGGCGACCATGCTATGGTTACAACATGCAGGTAAGCCAATTCAATATGGCGACCACCTCGATCACTCTCAGTGTATGACATGTATATGTAGCCATGTCTTCTGCATTGACTGCGCCAATCGCAGTGGGCTTGCCAGTGTACGAGATGGCCAACGTCCTATCTGTCCAGCCTGTGACGTTCAACTCTCGAACCCTGACGATGCCGTTGTTGCGAACCTCAACCCCACGGAAGACTACAAGACCAGTGTCCTTAGTGGACTGAGTCCAAACGTGATCATGGAATGTGCTGGTAGAGCTCTAAACTTCTGGGCATACCAAACCACACAAGAGATGTATGTTTCTTCTCTCGTGGTCGAAATTTGTCGCTGAGTGTCAGTGTGTATCAAGAATACCTGGCCAAGAACTTAACAGACAAGTACACCACTCTCAACACTCAGGTTGACAAGATCGTGCACGATGCAAACGGCGAGATTTCAAACTTGCGAAACAGGATATCGAGTATGATTTTCAAAGGCTAGTTGTCGACACTGTGCTGATATCGCTGGGCAGGCTTACAGGTTGTTCAAGACACCCTACGACGAAAGAACGAAGAGGTAATGCAAGCTTTGCGCGAGAAGAATCGGAAACATCTGCAAACACAAGAGCTCTACGACAAGCTGAAGCGTAGAGCTATGCTTGGCCACGTTCAAGATGCCGCCCACGATGCAGTTGATCATACCATTCTAGCGTCAGCTGCTGCCAACCATTTCGTTGACAAAGCGGACAACCATAATACTCGCCCGCCCCCACCCCCACCACTATTCTCAGGCCAGCAGAGTAACGGTATGCAAAGATCTGGTTCTGTTGGGGGGCCCGGCGCGATGAATGCGGTACCCCACCACACTCGGGCTGGAAGAGATACTGGATGGGCTGGCTTCAGTAGCCAAGGAAACAGTACACGTAAGAGGTTTGAACTTATTTCAATTATAATAGTTCTCTGATCATTGCCCTAACCAGAGAACCGACCAATGCAAACGCCTTCATCCCACCGGCAGCAAATGGCATCTTTTCCTATAGGACGACCAAACAATGGTGTGTCCGGAAACTCACAGCCACGGCTCTCCCCTCGACAACCACTAGGTAACTTGAACGGCAACACATCCGGCTTCACTGGCTATGGAATGAGCGCTGGTCTCAAAGTCAGTAATCCAACGGGAGGTCTAGCAGGCGTGATGGGCCGGCCTGTGATAGGGTCTAGAGGTTTGATCATTTTCTTTTTTTTGTCTTTGTCTTGTATTGACATGTTATAGTTGCACATAGAACCGGCTCCGCATTTTCTAACCACCAGAACTCCGCGTACGGACCGTCTTCTACAAACATGTTCTCCAATGGGGGCAATTTGTATTGAGCTGGGACAAATTGTCCTGGACTTTTGCTACACACATTGCTCCTGATTACTAATTATGGACAACTAACATATTATGTATATTGCGCTTTTGCTAGGAGGTCTTTGTTACTTCGGCTTTGAAAGAATGGCATTGTTGAGGACAAAGCACCTTTATCCATTTTTGTTTGTCAACTTCGAGTCTCCTTTGGAAAGAACAACAACAACTTCGTGAACAGAACAACTCCTTGACAGCTTATAACTCGCACGAGACAGACAGACCCGTGTCCGAGCCTTCCAAATTGATTTGATATCGATGCCACGCTGCATTTTTCTGTAGCCTGGACCCGGCGTTTCCTCGATCCCCGACTTATATAAGTGATTCAGTGGAATCGCATTGTCTCACTTCCCTCTGCGCAGAACCAGTTGACATAGACACAGGCTGCTTTTGTTGTAGCCCCAACTGGATCTCCTTCCAAATCGATTACATCGACGCCACGCTACATTTTTTGTAGCCTGGACCAGGCATTTCCTCGATTTCCGACTCATATAGGCGATACAGTGCAAGTGCACCGTCTCACTGACTTCTCCAAAATGCAGTCGTTTAACAACATCGACCGTACCCAGCCAGGATCACTCCGACGAGTGAACAAGATGCAGTCCATCGGCAACACAAGACGCGAACACTCGACGACCTCGGAAGCTGCGCTAGCTCCACCACCCATCAAACCTCGCTTAGGATACAATTTTGCCGTTCAGCCTGCTCCCATCTCCTCCGTCGCATCGCAGGCAACCATGTCTCCTCATAACTCACTCCAGGCTAGTCATTCGATACTCATGCAACCATCGCAACCCACCACTCGATGCGGAAAAGCAAGTAATCGCTGCAGATGCGTGGTCGATGGCTACATCATCTGCCCTGAAATTCCTCCGAGTCGCATCGACAAGATCACGTTGAGAAAGGCACCTGTCAAGAGGGTCTCCTACACCCGCTCTCGAAGATGCTTGTTCAGAGCAAAGCTTCACGTCTTCAAGGTCTTCAAGGCAATCAAGCCAATCATGCCTATCAATAGCACTTATCGGAGCCATACCGCCATCTCCAGTCCATCGAACGCGCTTCACAACGGCCAGGCAATGTATAGGGGCATAGCCGCTGAGGCACAAGGCCCAGTCCCCTCGTGCAACATGGAGATCATTGTGGCCGCCCCCGAGGCAAAGGAGATCAAACCTCATCCAGATCCTCTCAGAAGTCATCCTGTGGTGTTTACCCGCGCTGTCGGCAACTCAAGAGCCCAGAATGTCGCCGGCCCCCTCAGATACCACAACGAGCGCGATGAAGAGCGCCTCGATGAATGCCGTTGGCAAAACACAGCACTGGCTGCCGAGAACAAGCGTGCATTAATCCTCGCGAAACACTGGCAGGAAGCCTACCAAAAGAGAGTCAACGATGGAAAATCGAAAGAGCCTCTGGCAAGAAATCAGTTCAGCAAGAACCAGATCCGGAGCTTGGAGAACCGGATCAGGCTCTTGGAAGATGAAAAGGTCGTGGCAGAGACCAAAGCTACAACAGCCATAGCCATGTCTGAGCACTGGAAGCTGCTCTCCGATCAGCAGAGTCGGCTGGACGAAGCAGCCGTTGCGAAACTGGAAGAGATGGAACTGATGGACGTGACGTCAGCCCAGGACAAGCCAGAATCAACTCCAGACGTGAAGCTTAGCTTGGTCATCCCAGAACCTGTACCTAGCCTGGCACCCGTGCTCGCCGAGCCCAAAAGACAGAATATCGTGTCGCCAAAATCCAGAGAAGATGACCACGTCTTGCAACTGTCAGCCACCGCACCGCGCGAGCTGATCAAATCGATCGCTGCTGCATATCAAGAAGAATACAAGCTCCCAACAGAATCAGCCGAAATTTCCGCTGAGAACTCTCTCCGAAAGGTGGCTGAGGCTGAGTCACGGAATCAAGTGCCTGGGCAGGACGAGGACAAGGCATCCTTGGCTTCGGACCGTAGCTCCCCCCCCATTTCCTCTCCAATATTACCTTTCCCCAAAACCAGACAGCGAGTTCGGAACCAAGTCTCATGGCTCTCGGACTCGGACTCCTCGCCCACCTCCCCTCGCTCACACCCCAGCCATGAGACGCCCTACAAGGCATACCGCGCCCCCATAATTATCTCCACCTCCTCTCGCTCTCACCCCAGCCATGAGACTCCCTACAAGGCATACCGCGCCCCCATAACCATCTCCACCTCCCCTCGCTCTCTCCCCAGCCATGAGACGTCCTACAAGGCATACCGCGTCCCTATACCCAATCCCGCCCTCTCAAAGCGCTTCTCCATCTCCTCCTCAGACATGGCATCACCGATCTCGCCTTCTTCAACAATTACAGTATGTGCATCTTCAGGCCCCCACCGCAGTCCTAGACACACTGACGCCGTGTTCAGCTTCGCAGCGCGCAAAATCGATATTGAGAGAGTGTCTGCTGTGCAGCGCGTTCCCATCGAGTCTGAGAAGGTGAGCAAAGTTGGAGTCGATTGCATTGGTAACATGGGCGCGACAGATGCGGAGTCGGATCTGTGGATCAAGTTCAACACGTGGGAGTGGTGCAGTGTGCCGAGCTTAGAGCTGGAGGTGAAGTTGTGAGAATGAGAGATCGGGGCAACTGCAAAATGAGACGTCTGTGATGAACTTGATTTCTGGCTTGGTTTGTTTTGTTTTGGTTTGCGTCCAGCGATTTAGCAATTTAGCGTGCTTTCAATTTGGCGATACCCATTTGTTAGCGCATCAGTACTGCGAGGAGGATTTTTGGCTAGTTAGCATGTAACATAATCTCCCTGCTTGACATAGACATTAAAAAAATTATTACATATATATATATATTTATTGGGATAAGATACGTCCCTGTTAGAACCACAGTTCCCTCTTATTAAAATTCTGTGATATACATGTAACCGACCACTCAACATTCCACCTTTCCTACTGACCAAACGAAACCTCGCCCAACGCCAAAAGAAAATCACGAAAGGCAGATGAGATGTGGAGTATGAATCAATGTGTTTTCGGAATCCGCGGTGCTCATGTGACTGCCAGTAAGCTTAAGCCGCTTTAGAAATCTCCTCACACGAGCCCGGCTCGAAGTTAGACGACATCTGTACCAGACGAGCCCGAAAGCTATTGCTACACGTTTCAGGACTCTCTCTTACTTAGCCCTCTCTCACACAATATGCGAAACCCAAATCCAAATCCAAGCAAGCCTTCCCCCCCCCTCCTCGCACGAAATGCTCTCGGAAGCAACCCATATCCGACCACCTCCAGATTTGCTATTTCGCATCATTCCCATCATTGCCTTCCTCCATCTATCTCATCGTCGGCTTCTCACTGGTAGATACTCGGTAAAGGTGCAGAGGGAGAGGAAACCATCACGAGGATGTTTATTTCGTTAGGTAGGTCTTGATAGCCGCAGCTAGTCAAGGGTAAAGGATCAAAAGCGCACGAAAGGCTTTGTGGAAAGTAGAGCCGGTTTTCTTCCCTTTATTTCTCTCGCTTACTCGAGAAGAAGAAGAGGTAGAAGAGGGAGACGAAGGTGTGGATGAGCACTTGCTAGCTAGGCGAAACTACTGTACGTATTATTAGCTCGTCACACCGAGATGTTGGAGGGTTGAGATGATTTTTGGTGCTGTGAGCTTTGAGCTTATACTACTACTACTACTACTACTTAATATAGGTTTAAGGGCTGTTGCGATCGGAGTGATTTGATGACGGACGCGTGCTTGGTATGTAAGGTATGTATTCGCTAGCTGTCGGTGGCCTCTCATTAACCGAGAATGAATGAGCTTCGGGAGTAGAGAAGCAGAAAGAAAGAGTCCTCGTCTTCGCCAGCTCGATTCACGGGCGAAATGTTCGGTTGTGATTTTCAGACGGCTTTAAGCTTGGATACATTTTTTTAATTTATTTTTCCAAACTCAAAAATTTACAGATGCACGTACGTATGTATACATACAAGTAAAAGTCTCGACGCGCGACTAGTTCCCGGATAGCAGCCTCACCACTACGTGGTTGGATTCTCCTTGAAGATGCTGATTCCGTGCGGGATGAGCACGCGGTCCGGGAATGCCAGGATCATCCGGAAAGCAGGGAAGGCCCACCAGGGCGTCGTCAAGAACAGCAGGAAGAAGACGACCCAGATGTAGCCCAGTCCCCTCGTCCACAGCCTCGGCGGCGCGCCGAACTTCGCTCCAGTGACCGAGCGGTAGATGTACTGGACGGCGTCCTCGAACATGATACCGGCGGCCTGTAGGCAGAAGAACTGCAAGGCTCTGGAGTCCTCCAGCGGGATGCCGACGGCGACATCGCCGATCCGGAGCAGGAAGCCGGCGGCAAAGAACGTCACGAATATCTTGGCGTACGTGCTCGGCGGCGTGCCTTTCTTGAAGATGAAGAGCTCGTCGCAGATGTAGTTGGCCGGCTCGGCAATGATCTTGCGGGGTATCTGCGTCCAGAATTTCCTTTTTAGAGAGGAGCAAGACGTCAGCGGGGGCCCTGGTATTTTCTTTGTGGATGGTTTTCTTTCCTTACCCCCAGAATCCTCGGAGAGTGTAGGCTTCGGAGATTGGCCCCATGATCGGACGGCACGACTCCACTGGAACCGAGTTCAGTGCAACAAGAACCATGTTGATGGCTGATGCGCCACCCATGATTGCGCAGCGCAGCAGGACCCAGAAGCCCGCAGATGCCGCAGTCCTCACGATGACCTCTTGCACCGTGACCTCGCCACGGCGCTTCCAGAGTTGAAGCTTGTCCGCAGAGAATATCTCGGCAGCATCGGAAGGAGGAGGCCGGCTTTCAATGAGGTCTATGATCAGGTAACAAGCGGCTAAAATGATCGCTGAGCGGACAAAGAACGCTGGTTTCTTTGGACACCATTAGCTCTCTCAGCTTTGAGTTTCAAAGATCTGCTACTCTCTCAACATTCTAGCTCTGTGGGATATCTTACGGTTGGCACGTAGCTCGGGTCCTCGGGTACGAAATGCGGTACATTTTTCACCTCGAACGGGGTATTGACATCTCTAAACGACATTATGCTCTTGAATCCCCATGCTAAGCGGTCCAGGACCGTTGCTTCCATCTCCCCGGTTCCCTTTCCACGTGCTTCGCTCTGGGGAGATTCCGCCTTGGCCTTCTTGGCGAGCCGTGCAGACGGCCCTTTGGCTTCGAAGCTCCAGGAGCTCAAAAATGCCATCGAGAGGTAATTGAGGCAGCAGCAGCACAGGGTCATGCTCGAGATTGCGGCGAACGGCTGCGGGATCGTGTACGAGGCGATGGTACCATAGCACAAGGTAAAGGTAACGAGGATCGGAATCACCACATGGCGGCGGGACGAGCCGGGGGCTGTGAAACCTAGAGCGGCGGACGCAATGAGGATCTGTCCGAGAGAGAAGATGACGAGGTCAACGGGATTGGAGACGATGGCCATGGTGTGGGGCGAGGCGGTCGTGACGCGGTTGTTGAGCAAGAGACAAAGAAGGTGGTTGAAAGCTGACACAATATGTACGCGGTAACTTACAAGTGCCCAGCTTGCCAAACTTTAAGCGACCGCGTTGTTGACTTAGCTTAGAACGTAATTTGGAAGGTCATACATACATACTCCGTACTCCCTCGTGCGGCCAGCATATCTGTCCCTACTACCTATACGTCGATCTTTCTAAACTGAGGACATAGATTGCAACGCTCTAAATAGGCTCAAATCTGATTCTACATTTAGGAGGATTTTCGACATGGGACAGACATGCTGGCCGCACGAGTAAGTAGTACTTATCCCTATCCTTGTCGCAGAATTTAGGGAGATTGGAGTGCTTGAGTGAAAAGACCATGGATCATGCAGGCTGATATAAGTACGGAATATACCTCAGAAATTAGTGGTGGTGTGAGACTGTAGTTCGTTCCAGCGGTTCGATTGTTGCTAGATACAGTACCGAGCACTGAAGCAAAGGAAATTATGGAAGTGAAGTACCGCGAAACCTCTTCATAGAGATCCTGGACTGGAGAATGCCTCGTTGAAATCCTCATTCGAAAGAAACGATTTGATACTATTCATAAATATAAATTGACTATTTAAGATATTCTTGAGAAGCTTGATTCCGATGGGGTTCTGTCTGGTACCTTATTTATCCTTACTTCGCGTCCTCACACGTGATAAGATTACAAGAAAAATGATTTTAATTAAACTGACGACTTTGATTCGTTCGCAAGAAGTCTTATAAAAAAAAAAGCCGATTGATGAGAGATGAGAGAAGTGACCAAAAACTGTTGAAAGGAAAACCACGTGAAATTCGGTCACTTGACCTGAAGCGACGTTGATTGGGTGCATCAATCAGAGCTTAGGCCATTCGGGAATATCAAGACTTGACTTATAGCTTCCTGATACTGGAAAAAGGAGAACTTTTTTTTTTTCTACGAATGTCAACACTGGCCCACTTCCTTTTTTTTCCCTTCTGGGGTGCAGGTTGCAGATTGTTTGGCGACGATTTTCCTAGTATCGTATACACGCTTTTCTACAAAACACCATCCAGCGCCCCTTCTCTGTTTTTTCTGCCTCGCCATATGTATGTATTGGACTTGAAATGATGCATGCGGCCCGCCAGCGGGATATAAAGAGAAGAGAAGGGAAGGGAGAAAAAAACCTGTTCGGAGCAAGCAATTAAGCAAGCTAGGGCGCCCGACTGCCTGCTGATAATTAAGTAGACGCGAAAGGAAAGGAAGAAGTTTCAACCGTGCATGTGCCGTCATCGAGGTCATCAAGTTATGCCATCCATACCATACCTTCGTCTCTCTCGGCTTTTCACTTATTCAGTGTTAGTTAAAGCCACCCCCCAATCGTCCCCTCATCGGCTTTCAACCACCAAAGCCCAGCCAGCAAACAGCTTGCTGATAGGCGCGGCGCTCCTCATCTCTGTTTGCGTACCGAGGGAGGCCTAGTCGCAGCCTCTCTTCTGGTGATGACGAGGTTGACCAGCGCTGCGTCGTGGGCGAGAGGGGAAGGCCGCTAGGCTGAGTTTGGTCACTGTGGTTTTCGGGACTTCCCGTGTGGTGGCTTTGCGCGGCGGGGTTGTTCGATGGTGAGATGTGGGAAGGAGTGGTATCGGGAATCGATTCCTCTTCAAACCCTTCGAACCCTTCGAGCTGTTCGAGCGCGAGTTCCGTCTCGTACCGTGGCGGCGTGGAGTGGTCGTAGGCGGGGAGATCGTAGGGTCCGTGATGGAGAGTGGCTCGGGTGGGGGATGCGGATTGATCAGCCTGGGCGGGAGTGTTTTCGGGTTGGCGTCTGTTGTATGCATCGGCGGATGGGAAGCTGTGTTTTCGATGAGGAGGTGTGTTGCGACCGCCTATTGCTGTAGTAGCGGCATGTATTGTCTCGCTGCTTCAGATGGGGGATCAGCACTGTGACATGCGTGACATGAGCTCGTGGTTTGTATGGAATACCTGTATGCAGAGCCATTTTGAGCTCTCATGGATGAAGTTCTGGAGTCTTGAGACATCGCGGTGGTAGTGGAAATGATAAGGTAGATCGAAGTTGGAACTGAGGCAAAGAGTCGTGGTATCCTGCTTCTGTCCAGTAAAGACGAGGTGGATAAACAGGTTCGCCTAAACGAACATAGAGAAGGACATTCGCGAAAGGAGTGTGAAATTTTCATATGAGGAGTGATTAAGGAATGTTGAGAAAGCCAACGAAGACTGGCTTGTATAGAACGGCCATTTCCCTTGTTATATAGGTCTGATGGGCTGTGTAGCCACGCCCAGCGAAGCACATCTTAAAACACCTAGAAAGCTGCTTTGAAAGAAGCAGCAAACATTACCAGTTTAATTTCAGGGCAAGGCTCCATATTAAGAAAGTGTTGTTGTGATCGCGACAGCTAAAGAAGATGCGCAGCTCTGCGGGCTTGGAGCGGCACTTACACAGGCACCTACCTACATCAAGATGCCCCCGCAAATCCCACCAAATAGACTCCTGTTGGGAATGGATCTCATTCCAATGGATGAATAAAAAGATAATCAAGTAGCGCAAGGAAACGCGATGAGTGGCTAACGGACGTTAATGGGGTCTACATGCATAGTGGTCCCCAATGCAGTAGATAACTTATCAGCTAAGACTATCCGGGAGTCCATTGCACAGAAGTAATTCTCCTTTTCAAGGTTTCCTCGCAGGCAGGTGTCTGCTCCGACAAGGGTTAGGGTTAGCAGCTGCTGGACACGGCATTCCCAATTTCTCGCTTCATTGAAATATCCTCCCCGTGTGGACCGAAGTCAGAACAACTTTGGCAGTGTCTCGGATCTGAGACATGCGACTAGTGATCCCGGCCTTATTGTGACGGACGAATAGTAAGTTGATCTAGAAGAACGGGACAGCCACGGGGGGTGGTTGTACGAGGCCGATGTTACCGATAAGGTACCGACCGTTGTTGACATGGTGGTGCTCTTATTCTCTTTACACTCTGTTAGAAGGGAGAAGCGGTGGAAATATGTGCATGGCGAGGCGGTCTGATATTCACCTTCTCTGATTCCGAAAGGAGGCGAAAGAATACCCAGCTGAGAAAAAAAGAAAAGGCTAGGAATGCTAGGAATAGAGCAGAAGACGTTGCAATAACATAGTGGAGACCTCGCTTCGCACAGACCGAAGTCACTTGGTGAGTTCCAGTTCTCATCCATCACATTTCAAAACTCTCCTCCTCACCCTCATCGATACAATATGAAGCTATTCCCATCTCAGCCCTCAACCTCGAGCTCGCCACTACCATTTGGTCCAAGGGGCATCGGTAAGGCTATGTACGCCAACAACAATACCTGTATCTGGATGCACAATAAATACAAATCATGACGAGGTGGACAATCCTGCCATCTCACGCCGAGACACAAACACAGGCACAGGCACAGGCACAGGCACAGGCACAGGCACAGGCACAGGCATGTCCATATCTTTTTTGCCGGCGTCGTAAAGCAGTGGCACCGTGCACGCCATTTGCGCATGTATATGCAAAAAAAACTCATCGGCGACCACGATAGCTTCCTGCCCCGGGGCCATGGGAGCCCATTGTAGCGTCGACATGACGTAATCCGGGAATCGTCAGCCTACCTCGGTCCTGATTCACGAGACCTGCGACTTACAAGGCTGGCTGAAGTCGTGGCAATGTTAGAGAACTATGTTCCAACAGATTCAGAAGCAACAGATTCGCCCCTGAGCAGCCTCCTGTGAGGCGACACGGGCGAAAATCGCAACGCACTCGATGTAAGTCAAGCCCCCAAGTCTCAAGACTCAGGAGCGATTTATCACGAGAGCATCCAGGAGCATTCAAAAGCAACAGTCAGATGATTGTATGTCGTGTCTGGGGCACAAGGAGCCATAATTGCTGCCGCAAGCCTTTTAACCCCCCCCCTCCCCCAAAAGACCGCTTCTGAAGTTTCTTGGTGGATGCCTAAAACTCCGAACGAACAGTAAAATAATATGCACTGGGCATGTTGTTTCAAGTATATCAAGTCTCTGTACTCCACTCCGGAGTGCGAGCCCGGCCTCTCTAGATTCGGTCGGCTCCTCCAGCTCGGGATCCTGACGAGCATGCGCTGTTAGCGCCACTGATATCATGGTGTCCCTACCGTGTCTTTCATCTCCCATGATGCCTGAGATATAATGGCCAAGTTTTGACGGTTCCCGGTTAAAACATATCTCATTCAAGTCGTTTGATTGCCTCTTGTTTGCTTGTTACGTATCCTGCAGGTCTGGATTATGCGTGCTCGCTCTGCACGTACTACGGTATTGTCGCTCTATTGCTTTCCCTGATCGCTTTGAGAGCAAACCATGCGACCTTGTTGTCTGTTGTACTGTCCCACACTTGCCAGGCTTACAAGAAATTGAAGTTATCTAAGTTGATTCGCCGTATGGCTCTCCCATGCGAGCCCTCATGGAAGCCATGTAGCTTTCTTCCGCCCGCTGCACGGGGCTCTTGTTTTTGTCTCACGTTACTATCTCTGTGTATCCTTGAACCCTTGCAGCGAACAAGTGACGCTTTTATCCCGCGAAACGTATGGACTACAAACTCCGAGCGATGAGCTAGTGTAGCTACCGAAAGGTATTAGTAGAAGCTTCTACGGCCCCATGGCAAATTTAATCGTGCAAAGTTTTCGCCGGCTGGATGTATCAAACAACCGTGCAACACTTGACAGAAATAGTCCAAGATTAGTTAGTAGCCCAAGATTTAGCTCAAGTTATCGATCTCCATACGAAAGTTCGCTTAATGGATATGTTTGCATGTCTACAGGTTTTCGGAGTAGAAGAGCACACGCTGTCGTGGGCTTCCCGGCGAGGTAATAGCCAACTGGGCCGGACGATTAGTTGTAGGTCAAAGTTCTTCCAGAAGCTTTCAGTTTTACATTCCGATGATGCAAACTCCCTGCTCGATATTTCCGGTGGGACGTTACGACCCACTACTCGTGGTATTCTCAAGGAAGCTGTGTGGCTCGAGAAACGTAACGCGAAGGCCCCTTCTGGTTGACCAAGGCTACGGTACATTTTGCATACGTTCTATGAAAGCACTGCATGTTACCTTTTTTTTTTTTTTTTTTTTTCCCCAAAGCTACATAAGAATCTGAGGTTCTGCAGCTCTAGACCATAACTCGATTGATCGACACGGGTTCCTACGCCTGAATCAAGGGATGAACGTTGCGATCAAAGCATTATGCCGTGAAATGCCTCTGCTTCTCCACAGTTCGATCTTTGTTCTGGCTGGTGGTAATACGTAGGGCCTTCCCGGAGTCCCTCATCACGAGATCCTTACACTTCCGAGAGCCAGTCAGAATTAAGTGGTAACAATTTGAACGAGTCTATTATCGAAAAATCAGGCGGTGTTTCTCAAGTGACGATACGCTGTTATGAGTCAAGGCCCTGCAATCCACGATTATATTGCCATGCCACTCTCCTCGGCTGTTTCCAACGAGTTCTGCAGCCGAAATGAGGGAGCACTCAAGCGATCAGCCACCTATCTAGTAGCTTTCCAACGCCTCACAAACGCAATTCGCTTTTTCATCTAACGCAGCGGAAATTTTAAGGCTGACGAGCTCGCAACCACCTCGGCTCTCTTGTATTACGCTCTCCTCTGGCACCTGCTAAAACGCACGACTCGCGGAAGAGACTTACGCAAGTGTCTCCGCATAGCTCGCAAAGCGCAACCTACTTTGAAGCTCATTACTGGTGATACTTTGAGGGCAAACTTTCAAGTGACTCCGTTTCTGCAGGCGCTTGTCGCGAGCGTCATTGATGGAGGATGCAGACACTGATAGAAGTAAAGATAAACGAAAACGCTTCGCATGCTTTTTGGTGTTATCTTCCTGATGTCGAGGATCTAAAGCAGTGACGTCCGAGAACAGGCATGTGGGCATCTTAATATACCTACTTCATATATATGACGTAGAACTCAGTGCTTGCTAGTTGGATTTACTGGTTACCTCGTTCTTATCCAGCGAGAGCCAATCGAAGTGACAAGGGGAAATTTTACAATTCTGCGACATGCTGCGTTTTTAATGGAGTCGAACAAAGAATCCAGATCGATAGAGCTTTTTGAACGTACACAACAGAAAATGCTGAAGGAAATTCCCAAATCAGTGGGATTAACATGGCTTTGCTCTCATAATTGGAGTCATCTCACAGTTTCAACAGATGATAGGTTGGATATGCCATCATGTCAAACTTCAAACTAATTGGCCATGGACGGGAATATTCTACGCAGAAGTCCAGATGCAGGGATTGTGGCATATTTTCGCAATACTTTCCACCTTGGGAAAATTATGAACAGTAACGGCTCGCCTTTTCTCTCGTGTTGCACAAATCTTGATGCTTTAGGAAGGTGTCAGAGGTATATACCGTCGAATGTTGTCGCCGATGTCACTGCTCGGTAAGCACTAGGGTATAAGAGTCCTTATTCCTTATTACACCCTATTACATTCCCCAAAATTTGTACAGATAACGAAGTTTACAATACACTATACACACACGCGTTGATATAGTAGATAAGGCTGTCAGAAGTAATGAAGCTCATGGGCTGAGAAATGCCTCAGTCCTGCTCGATTACGGCGAAGCTTTGACATCTGCAGCACGCCCATTCGAGACAATCCCCAAGGGACACAAGAACAAGATACACCAACAAGACTAGCACATATTACGAAATCAATACCATTAAGCTCTAATGCGGAGATGGGCCTGAGAGCAACAAGCGGCCATGAATAATGACCTGGCAGCTGAAGCCAAGCAAGCAAGCAGCTGGATCCAGATTTGCGATTTGCCCTCCAATTCACAGATGGCCCCCATGCAATCCTCTCGGTTACTTGCGTCTGTCTCTTCTAACCTATCGCCGCTAGGCCCTCGATTCCTTTGTGTTTTCTTCACCAACCAACATTCTGGACGCAGAATGATTCTCGTCCTGCACGTTTTCATGAACCCTGCCGATCCCTTCCTCGATCCCAAGCCTCCTGCTGGAATCCCTTTCTTTACCGGGGTCCGGGACAGAAAACGCTCTAAAGATCGGCCGGGGCTCTCCCGTGGGATGCCGGGGAGGTATCGTAACATCCCCTACGGAGTAGGCCCGTTTCCTGTCATATTGGCAGCTCCCCCGCTGACCTATGTGAGATGGATGCAGCAGTTCAGTTCAGGATGAGTGCACTTCGCTATTCTACCGCTTGCGAATCCCTGTCCCTGCTGTGGCACTGTTGGTCTATCGTGGGTAATTACAGTACGTAAGTATAAGGGTAGGCAGAGAGTATGGTGGGTGGAAGAATGGGTCGAGCCGAAATTCCTGGTCCGGGCTTGGCCCTGTACCTACCTACTCTACCTATTACCTGTACGACACCAGCTGGTGGACCGTGGTTGATCTCAGCAGCTCTGTGGGCCATCCAGATTCTTATTGGTTCTCTCCAACAGAATTCTTTTTCAACGCAAATTTTGATCTTCTTGATCCCTCTATCCTACTTGGCTACAATATCCTGCTAAATGGATAGATACCCTGGTATCAATTTATCAACCACTCCCGTGCCATTGCCACTCACCCGCAGTATCACTCTTTTTGGAACCTCGATATATCAGCATGACCATTTACTATCAAAATTCCTTGATAGTATCATACCGGGTCGTAATTCTGGACGAGAAAATATTCGCAAGCTACAAGCTCTCCCTTTCTGCAGTAAAGTTCTGCCAAGGCCGTCGAAAAGGGGGAGGTAGTCGTATGCTATACTACATCTAAATCTAAATCTCCTTTCGAAATCTAGACTCATGCTCTCCCTCCTTATCAAATATTCAGCCATCCTCAACATCATCATCTCAATTTTATCCGTCCTACTCCCTACCGTGGCGCGTAGCGTGCGTGTTTTACCTTTCTTTCCCCTCCTTTGAAGACGAGAAGAAATAAGTAACGCGTCGTCCTTCGCAAGAAGTCTGATGGATAAAATGGTGCTTGCTTTGCTTTACTTGCTTGCTATCACGGGCGTTTCGTTCGTTCGGTTGCCTCCTCCTTAAGTTCCACGTTGATATATATTTCAGAAAGTTTAAGGGGGGAGATGATTGGAGAGCCTTGGTGGTTTTCGTCTGCTTGCTTGCTTGCTGCTTGATTCGATCGCTCATCTGTATCGGTTTTGGCCTGCTTCGTCTGCTTTACTGTTATTAGGTGCGCTCCAAATTTTTCTATAGGGAGGGGAGGCGACGGCGTCCTGACTCAGTAAGTACTGGGTGATCGAGTCTAGTTTTGCTTTTCTGGCTGTTAAGCCGGATGAGTTCAGTAGTGGTGGGAGGATATATATCATGGCTCTATATATGGATATGGGATATCGATGAAGCCAACAGAAGTCAATTGGATGAAAGCCTTTCTACATTCTTGGATCAATAGCAGGCAGACAAAATGGATTACAATTTTTCGTTCATTCCAAAAGCTGATGATGTTCACATGCTATTTGTCAATTGATTGAGCAAGCAGCAACCACAAGGATCTCGGATCTCTCCCGCGACGGTCCGAGTCGTAGAATTTCTGCGGGGTACCGGTCAGCGCTACGGTACGATCAGTCCAACCGCTGTTTCGGGTTGTACCCGCGCTTCCTCACGTCGCTACGGTCTGTTTTGATCAATTTCGTCCTCATGGTCCAATCACTCGAAGAACCACTCTCACTTTCACATGAAAGGGGTTTCTGTCGTCAGCTTCATATTCTACTCCCCCCTCTCTATTCTCATCATCTGATATCTACTTTCTTTTTAAAAAAAATTCTCCTTCTTATATTTACTTTTCTCAACCTAAGCGAACCTCTCTCTCTCTCTCTCATGATTCCTCAACCCTGAGAATTCTTCAAGATCCTTCCTGCGATATTTAGCTTCGAAATTTTTCTGCGATATTCAGCTTCGGAAGGTATATATATACCGTAGACCATGGCATCATCAAACACGCTCCGCATCATCCTCTGTGGAAAATCGACCCAGCTCGCATTAACAGTCAAAGCTGGTCTCCTCCCCGAATACGAAGGTACATCAATTTTTCATCCATCCATCCACTCCCTCTCCTCCCCTCCCCAAAGCCTCCCCCCCCTCTTGAGCTCCATATCTCAGAATTCATTCCCGGGAACAAAAACCCTACTAACGCTACGGCTCCCCCCGTCTCCCCAGTCATCCACATCATCCTCTCCCCCGAGGCCGGCGCATCCGAGATCCCTCCCCTCCTCGCCGGCCACGGGTTACCGCGACCTGCACGTGATCATGATCCCCAACAGGAGCCCTCGAATCTCGGGTCGGCGCCAGCTCCGATCAGTGCGGTGGTGCTGGGCGGCGGCTACGGCGACGACGAGAGCGTGAGGAGGCTGCGGGCGGCGTGCGCGGGTGAGAGGGGCGTTCCGTGGCTGCGCCCGGACGTGAGCGTGCCGACGCCGCCGCCGGGGCTGAAATACGGGGCGCATGTCGTTGGGAGGGTGAAGGCTTGTTTGAGGGAGTTGGAGGAGGAGGGGAGGGCGGTGGGGGATGGGGTATATTTTTACTGAGGGTCTTGGGATCGTAGGGTGGGAGGGGGAAGGCTGGGCTGGCTGGGCTGTGTTGGGGGGACTTGGATAGGCTGGCTTTGATGTAGGATTGGCGTTTTGTTTTGAGTGTGCTTTTGTGAGCGCTGGTGTAGGGACCGTATGGCAGATTGTTTCAGAAAGTGTGGTCTTAAAAAGGTATGGAAGGTCGGGTAGCGAATCTGAACTGCTTAGGATATAAAATAATACACCAAGGGATTGGTTATGCGCCAAGTTGAAGAATCCTCAAGTTCTTTAAAAAGAAGCTTATAAGAATACTGGTATACAATCAGGTTGTAAGGTGAAAATAGAGATTGACAAAAGCTGGCTGTATGGAACCAAATCATATTATGCTCTTCGTACTTTTCTACGGACTAACTTTGAGAAACGGAGATATGATATGATAACCTCCCAGCTCCAACTACTCTAATCTCAAAGCCCTGGATAGGATGAGATTGCTGGTCTGGAGGATAGCAGCCAGGTCGGAGAATAGGCCTAGGAGGAGGTACGAGTCTTTGGGCGTTACATTGACTGTGACCATACGCCACCTAGCCGAGGAGGGGACCGATGCCTTTGCGAGACATGAACGCTTCCAGTTCCTGTCAACGGTAAATACTACTTGGTACTGCTCTTCGGAGCCTTTCATGGCGGAGGATAGGCTTGCAGTACTCGTGCAATGGCCCAGGAATACCTGATATCCTAGAGATTGGTAGTCCCGGTCTGGACCTTCGTGTTTTAGACAAGTTGATCTACTCTATTTAGATGGGACTTTCTAAGACGAAAGACCGGGATTGGCAGCAAATCCATTCCCGCGCTAGCTCTTTTTACGCAGTCAAGTGTGTATATATGCCAAGGTTTTTCGCAACAAACCAAAACACGACCCTATTATCTCGCGAAAATATAAGGGGGGCGAAAGCAAAAAAGTTGAATGACTATCTTCACAAGAAATCGGCCTACTTCCGTAGACAAGAAGCGCACGAGGAATTATTCTCTTAATCATTAACGACTTTCCCCTTCTTCATTTTCGTTCTCGTTTTCGCTCTCTAAGCTTTGAGATAAATCCGGCCGGCCTCTGCTTAGCGCTAAAAGAGAGAAGAGGAGGGAGAAAAAATACTTACATCATAGGTTGAAATTCCACTTTGGCGTCCGTCAACCGGCGGATTGTCGTGGTGGCTCGCATCAATGGCCTACTCGGAAGAGGAAGTCAGTCGAGCGGGCCACCCTTCTCCGCCGGTAGATGAAAAACCTATTAAATTAGGTTTGTAGACTGGCCGCCCGTGGTATTACGGTATTGCGGGCGGCCAGTTGAGTTTTGCAATTTTTATATAATATTGATAGACTAACTATACTTTACCAAAGGGGGTTTCTTTTTTCTTTTCGAGAGGAGCAAATAAGTAACTATAAAAAGTTAATCTGCCTTAGATGTATGATATAAAAGTAAGTAGGTGATGTCATAGAGGTGAATCAGTAAGGTCATAGAAGTGAAAAATTAACCGACTTATATTATATATTGGAATTCCATTCTGTCTTCCGTCAACCGGCGGAATGTCGCGGTGGCTCGCATCAATGGCCTACTCGGAAGAGGAAGTCAGTCGAGCGGGCCACCCTTCTCCGCCGGTAGATGAAAAACCTATTAGATTAGGTTTGCAGACTGGCCGCCCGTGGTATTACGGTATTGCGGGCGGCCAGTTGAGTTTTGCAATTTTTTTTACATTTATTAACTATCTTTTTTTCTTCTTCTTTTTTTTCCCTCTCAATAAGACCAAGTGATTATAAGTAGTCAATTTACCTTAATTGTATTGTGTAAATAGGTGATGTCATAGAGGTGAATTGATGGGAAGCTATAGGCAGGCAGACAACCATAATAATATATTTGGTAAGGCTCGCTTACTATTGACTAGGCTAAGAAGAGTCCGCCGAATATACAAACATCATCGACGCGAGCCGCTTCCAGTTTTGCTATTCCAATCTGCTATTCCAGAACTGCTATTCCAGAAAGCACGAGTTGCAACATGCTGATTTTCAAAGTGCGCAGTTCAGTTCCTTCCCACCTTGCGATTGCCCGGGCCTAGTATTACTGTGATCGTTTGTTTGTTTGTTTGTTTGCCTGTTGCGCGTATCTTTGCGGCTGGCATTGACTGCGCTTAAAAACCAATTGACACTCGGCAGCTAAGACAGACCGGTATCTCCCTCATCTCATTCATTTCGCTCACTCGGTCGAGAGATAATCGTGGCTGACATTCTTTTCCCCCTCTCTCTCCACTTTCGATACATACGAACTATAATCTTGATACTATATCCGTAAAAGGCTCGCAATACGGAGGGGAGGTTAAAAAGTAAGGGCGTGAGGTTAAGAAAGGATGGGTGTTGTTGTTGTTGTTGTTGTATTTATTTACGTCGGGCGGGTAGCAGGCGAAGCCTGCCACCCTGGGCCCTCCCATGGGGTACGGCGCCGTGCTAAGCTAAGGAGTTACATACAAGAAGGCCCTAGAGAGCAATTCAAAGTGCTGTAGCGAGAGCTACTGTCGTCTGCGCCCTTCCCTTACAGATAGGATGGATCACAGTGAAAGAAAATCTCTCGTCCAGGGAAAACCACAAAAAGAGAGTCAGGCAGGTGCAGACTGCTATAGCCAGCTTGTAGCGTGGCTGTGCGAGTCGAAAGGATGGCTGAGGAGGTGGAAAAGGTTGATTCACGGAGGTGCCGGGGATAAACTATGGCAGACCACCTTCAGCGACAAGAGTTCCCACAGCATCAATCGCGTCCCAAAATTTATTTAAGGAATGCGCTAAATTTAAGATAACAATATTGAATATTGCTGATCTTTTGACGAGTTCAAAAGGGAAGTTCACTAAATATTAGGTGTATTGTAATAGTAGATTTAAAGATGGGAGAGCCACTCTCGATTTTTTTCTGCCGATCATTCTGCCGACGGCGGTCCGCCATAATTTACTTACCCCCAGCACACCTCCGTAGAGAAAACAGAAGAAAGAAGAAAGAAAAAAAGAAAGAAAAACAAAAGAGGGAAACGGAAAGCGGAAAAACAGATAACCGATAACGGGATAACCGATAACGGATAACGGGAAACGGGAAACGGGGAACGGGAAACGGAAACGGAAACGGAAAAAGGAAAACGGAAAAAAAAAAAAAAGGAAAAGGAAAAAAAAGGAAAAGGAAAAAAAGAAGAAGAAGAAAAAAAGATGTGAGTGAGTATAGGGCATGGGAGGATTGGATCCTGGGGTCTGGTAAAGAATGCAAGAATGCTATGAATTGAGAAGAGAACTCATTTTGTGCCTGGGAGGAAATTCTTGCGCGAGGAGAAAAGTGAGGATGGCCATTTCATGTACGAGAAGAAATATGCCAGCTCAAGTCTAGCCCGTGGTGCGACCTCGCCTCGTATGTTAGTTCTTCCAAAGCCGGTGTATAGGGAATAGGGGAGGATAATTCGATTTCGGAATTTCCTACAGTCACTAGACCCTCGTCTGATTTAGGTCAAATGTGTGGAAACGGGACAGGGTAAGATTGTCGATGAGAAGGGGCATGGAAAACGTCGTTACACGTGTCGCATTGGACCGCAATACGCATTATATTCAGTTTTAGCGACAGTGGTGTCCTGAATTCGTACAGCCTTCGACATTATATGATTGTCCTCCGGTCGCCCATTTTCCAGCTCAATCCGGGTTTCCCACCGACATTGTCCTGACTCGCCCCGAGTCATCATAGTACATGGCCGAGTCCATATCTTGTTGTGGTAGATCCTATATTTCGTGAACTACCCATAGGCTTCGAGCATAGCCCTAGATATCCGATCACAACGGTCGTACGAGAGTCCTATGTGAGGTTTGTCGGCATGATAAAAATTCGAACGCGCAGGTAGCCGTGGCGTGGGGCGCAAATACACATAATATATGTTGTAAGGTAAGTTATGGTGGAGCCGATCCGGGTTCAAGATATGAACATCGAGCGAGCGCATTTCGTGTCTTAAATCGTGAATCGTCATGGAGAGCTCGCTCTCGTCTCCGGCCGCAACCCGAAGCGGAACAGCGGGCGTGAAGTTTTCATAGATAACCGGAGCCAGCAAGCAGGAGGCCAATAGCCGGCCGAGATGCCATGCCAGCTCCGGGCATCAATCGAAGACACCGTGCAGTGATTGCTCTACTTAGACGTTGGATCGTCCAGGAACTATTCTCTCTGTCCCAATCTTAAGTAACGCAACGAATCCAATCTATCGATCCTGACTGTCAGAAATGCACCTGTCGACATTTGGAGGCATAGCCACATAGCGAGGAATAATTTGTTTGCGGAATCAAAGAGTCCTGGGGAAGGAATGCGAACAGGTATACGGAGAACGTACGAGGAAAATCAACCCTGCAAGACCCAGCAAGATAAGAATGACGGTTTGCATCGTGAATTATATGGTTATCGGATCCGTGACTGTCCAAGGGTTCGGTTGGTGAGGCTTATGGGATTCGGGAGCGTCGAGGAAGTGTGTTGCGACTCGTGGGTGTTCGTGAGTAGAGACAGAGTATGTGTGTGTGGTGGATGTAGGTAGAGGGATTATCGATATGGAGGGGGAGATATGAAAAGATAAAGCTGAAAAGCTGATAGATGGACATTCTGCCCGGGCAACATTTGGCGTCATTCTCCTCTTGGCTACGGAAGCGCGGGAAATTAGCCAGCGCGGAACAAGATGATCTGCTTGTTTAAGCCCTTGAGAGCTCCCACTTGCGTACATGCTATGCTCGTCGAAACTTTCATAAGCGCAGCATAGCCACTGGCCACCGGGCAATGTGTCGGGCAGTGAGTACGAAGTATGAGAATTGGGGGGCTGGGAAGTGATAGAAAGCAATAAGAGAATAAAACTGCATCGCCATTAAAAGCAACAGGGGGAAGGGGGGGGGCTGGTGCTCTGGGAAAGACTACGGTACCGGTAGAAGGACAAGAAGGACAAGAAGAAGAAGAATGCGATATTGCAGGGAAAACTTGAACTCGAGAACTTTATTTCCAGGGGTAAAAGCGGGACTTTCGGAACATCGGCCAATCGTATCACCGAGTTACCAATGGATAATCCCTAGGTCAGCATATATTACGAAGTACGAGTACGATCCCACCAACCGTACGGCGCATACCGGTACTTGCTTGTACTTGGCCATCGTTGAGAATGCTGAAGTCCATGAAGTGCAAGAAAATCCGGGGCCCGGGTGCGTCCCCAGCCGTGAGCCGTACTCAACGACCACAACTTCAACCTCACAAGCCTCACAAGCCTCACGAGTCGACCTCTGAGGTCAAGACGGGATATGTTCCTTCGCCAATTCAGGGGTGGTGGCAATTATGCAGCCGTAACTGCGAACATCCCGACTTTTCTTCTTTTCTTCTCCTCAGCATCTGACCAGGGCGCAACAGAAGATCTTGCCGTGGAGGCACCCATAGTGCGATGCCCAGCGAAACCGGTACATTCTTGACAAGCGAGAGGGTCAAAATAGCGGTGACAAGAATCAGCGACGAGAGTCTAGGGCTGAGCCTAGTGGCGATGTGTTAGATACTTGTCTCCCGGGTTGAGAAAGAGAACACCTTCCAAGTCGACAGAAGCACTCACCATATTCAAACACGAGTCGATGGCACGGCGCATACGCGTTATAGAATGCGAAGGAGTCCGCACCGGTGTTCTTGGTGATGTTTCCGATGGTCGGTCACTACTCGCGCAGGCCAGAAACTTGTAGCCGCCATGCCGTTTTCAACCTCGTGACAGCCGTCGAACTTGTGAGCAGGAAAAGCAAAGAGGACCGGGAACTACTCACGAAAGAGAAAAGAAGCAGTGAGAAGCGAAGACAAGGAAGTGGGAACGTTAAGGCAAAAGGGGCAGGAGAGCCGGCACCACTGCAGCGTTGATGATGGCTGTAAGAAACATATACCGAATAGATCCGGGCATGGGAAAGCCGCTGCACGCTTTCTGGCCAAGGACAGGCCGTGGATAGCGAGTGATGCTGTGAGGTATGTTCTTATCAAGTCGAAATGAATCGTCTGGACTATTTGGCCTCAAAGTTCCCTTTCTCAGATCCTCTTTGTTGCAACTCAACTGGTGAGTAGATATTCACGTGACTGTATGAGTAGCTACCTCACCTGTTTAGGCAACTACGACCCGGTATATGCGTCACATCACAATGATCTCACCTCGCTCTCCTCCCAAACTACTTTTTCATTGTGAATCCTTAAACTGCAAGTACAGCAACCGACCTGAACATATGCGAATCGCGTCACCTATCCACGATGATGAGCACGGTTGCTGAGCGTGTCGAGTTGGCCGAAGATCTCGTCGGGAGCTTCATTCCTCTTGTCCTCATACGCGAGCCTCGAGCTTGGGATGGCGTGAGGCGCAGCGAGCTCATCCAGTACTCCCCCGGCGCCAACGGGCCATCAACCACACCGGGTAATATTCCCTCTGAAGTACTAGCGCCAGTGGCCGCGGACGACGGGTTCCTCACCCCGGGTCTCCTTCGACCCACGATCCGGGTGATAGAATCCGATACCTTGGACGCCGTGCAAGCTATCCGCAAGATGAACCCACAAGCCCGAGTTGCAGCTCTCAACATGGCGTCGGATCGGGTGCCTGGCGGACGGCTTCTGCACGGCGGCTTCGCTCAGGAAGAGGCTCTCTGTCTGCGCAGCACGCTCCACGCCTCACTCAGGTGCCAGTTCTATCGGATTCCCACACTGGCTGGCATATACTCCCCCGATGTTCTGGTCTTCGGCGGCTCTCTGTTTATCCAAATGCCCACGACAGAATGGTTTTACACGGACGTCATTTCAGTCGCAGCGCTGTTGCAGCCAGACCTCATTATAGACCGGCGCGGGATCTGGGTCTACGCTTGGCAGAAGGACCTTGAGACCATGACGGACAAGATCAGGCTGATCTTCCAGATTGCGAATCAGAAGGGTATCACGCATCTGGTTCTCGGGGCGCTGGGATGTGGTCAGTTTTGCAATCCGCCGGAGCAGGTTGCGATGATCTTCAGGAGGGTGATATTGGGTGGATGTGGGAGTTTCGGGGTCACGGGACTCGAGGAGATTACTTTTGCGATCGTCGGAAATGGGCCTCACGACGAGAACTTGAAGAACTTCGAAATTGTGTTCGCCGATGTAATGGCGCCGGGGCCTGAAGGCAGCTGCGATAAGGTGGTAGGCTAAGGAGGCAATCAAATCGCATATTTACCCCTTTTTTTTTTTTTTTTTTTTTTTTTTTTGCTCTAATCCATTTCAAATCTATCACTTCGGGATTTGGGCATTGATTTAAATTACTTTTTTGTAAGTACAAGCAGGTTCGCTGCTATTTTGAACCCTGGCCCAAGATTCTCTCCCATCCTGACTAGCATCTGGGCTATTTCCAAAACGCCAAACTCGCTTCAGCAGGCCCCCACTTCTCTTTTTTCCTTTCCTCTCCTCTCTCGCTTAGTGGCTATTAACAACAAGCCTTTCTCGCAACTCGAACAACTATTCCACATATATCAAACCATTGAAAACAATCCATCTCCCGATGGCCTCAGAGATATGCAACAACCTTGCGCTACGTCCCTAGAAAAAAAAAACGAAAAGAAAAAAAGAGAACGAAAACCCTCTGCAAGGGGAAAGCTCTCGCTCCCGCCAACTTTTCTTTTTTTAATTTCCGTTAAGAAGATAGACTCGTGGCATGCTGCTACACACACACACACACACACACACACACATATATATATATATATATATATGTGCCCGAATTCGAGTCTCTCGCACACGACACACATAAGACCAGCAACGGAATCGTATATCTATCTATCTATCTATCTATCTACCCCTCCCTCTATGAAGACTTTGAAAAGATACTGCCAGCGTAGTGATCGAGGAGCTTCAACGGGGTACCTAGCTCAGCCAGCCAGCCGCCGCTTCTCCGCTTCCAGTCCGGTATTATCCTTCCAGACGCACGGTTACTTCCTCCTAACTATGTGACTCGATGCTCGTCGAAGCCCAGGGTGTGCACGGCAGTCGGTCTACCGGGCACTGGTTGAGGCCCGGAACATGCGAGAATATCACGGGGGTCTGTCTATGCATGGTCTGTTTTTCGTTTCTGTGGTTTGACTGAGTGCTAGTGTATTCATTCGAACGCCTGCAGGAACGCAAAAAGGGAAAAATGCTGGGGTTGTTTTCCACTCTGCTGCCATTTACTCTGCGGGGGGACTAAAGGCCTGGCTAGTTGTAGGTGCGCATCGTTTGTGGAGTCTGTATGGACGGGGCTAGCGTTGGGTGTTAGTCTGCGGGCTTGTGGGCCTTCGCAGTGTGGCAGGCGGGCTGGCATGGGGGGATACTCTTTTTTATTTTGGTTGAAAGCTGGAAACTTCCAAGCTGTATTGATCTATTATGCGAGGAAGGACTTGTTCGCTGATCGCTGATCGCTTTAGGGCTGGAAGTATGTGGACCCCTCTCCCGAATAAAATTCCGCGTGTTGTCAAGATCAGGCCATCGACGATAGGCTGGCAGGAGTATCAAGGCGATGAGACTTTCAAGCTTGTCCAATCTCAGGAGAAGAGACCAGTTCTCCAGAATCTTCTCCGACGGATCTCTCAAGCCGGATAAACGACGAGGATACACGTGCAATGCAATAGAGTCCCTTTAAAACCATCAGTAATGTCCTCATTGGGTATTGTGAGTCGACTCACAGCACCGACAAAGAATGGCATCGCCATCCAGAACGGCGGCAGCAGAAGCGAGGCAGCGAAAATCTGCTGTATCGCCGGATCACCAACCGCGTGGCCGAGACTCTCGAGGACGACTATGCCGGCGAACATGGTGGCTTTGGAGTCGTCGGAGACCCAGCTAGAGACAAGTGCGAGGGCGGAGACGCGACTGCCGAAGCCGGCTGCGAAGACGAGGACTCCTGTTACGGTCAGTATGGGTTGCAAGTTCGGGTTTTGGTGTAAGGCGTACCAAATGGTAGCAACGCGCTGGTTTGAGCCAATCCAATGGCAAGGCAGCCGATGCACATCAAGGCGACACTGGTCCGGACCAGAAAGAGATCGATGACGTGCGGCTGGACCTTAAATCGATGGCGGATATGTGCAGTGAGTTGCGGGACGAGGAACGAGAACAGAAAAATATTGACAACGGCAGTCTCAGTGTAGAATGTAGCTCCGGTGGAGATCCTTAGTCCGAAGCGAACGGAAGCGTATTGGATCAATATGTTCAGCATGGCGTAGCGAAATATGCCCACAAGGAAGACGGGGATGGTAAGCTGGATGTTGCGGTTCGAGAGGGCAGAGAAGAGGCCTTTAACTGACGATTGCCCCATTAAGCTCTCTAAGGGGTAGGCGGGTGCTTCTTGTCTGGAGTTCTGGGAGTGGGCACGAGGGTCGGGCATCAGTGCTAGCAGAGCGAGACAAGCCACGATGGATCCCATTGCGAGACCACAAGGTATCCAAGGGGATATATCCAGGGTGACGGAGGCAATGGATGAAGAGATGAGCTCTGCGACGTAGAAAGCGGAGAATATGTAGTAGAATGCATGGCTCCTTAGGTATAGGTTAGCAAAGCCAGGTTGCAGAGTTAGTTTCACTTACCTTCCCTCTGATGGGATCGATTCAGTCACCATTGCCCACATGAACGCAGATGCTGAGTTCAGACCTCCACCGAATAACAGGATAGCCGAGGAGAGCCAGACGAGTCGAAGAGGGAAGGTTTTTGGAAAAGCGCCTACTATGTATTAGCCGAAGTCGCATTTTTCGCAGAGGCGAGGCAAAGAAACCGCGCTTGGACATACAAACAACGAATATCTCCACTAATGATCCAACGACTCCCAGGAGGGCCATCGCCATAATCTGCCTTCTCCCATGGTGGTCGCCTAATCTCCCAACTGGGATCGCCACAAGTAGAACTACACTTGTCAGTCCTAGATTCAGCCAAATACGTATGCATATGCCCAAAAGCATACCTGGAATCGTATCAAAAGTAGACTTCCATCCTCTAATCGTAGCAAGAGGCCTTTGAACTTCCTTTATCTTGCACAACGCTTCTTCGACCCCTCCGATCGGGAATCCATAGTGGGAAAGACACAAGGAATTCTCGAAAAGTCGGATCAAAGGGGCCACTAGGATGATTTCCGCAAATGCGAGCAGGAAGTGTATAGCCATGAAATAGAATACGAGTCTGGATAATGGTTTGGCTGGTTGGATGCCGGTCTCTTGGCGGCCATCTCTGAGGAGCGGCTCCGATGAGATATCGGTGTCGGCAATGAGCAAAGGCTCGCCCTCTGGATTTCCATCATCTTCACTGGAAGACATGGCAATTTCGTTTGTGTTGGACATTGGACTCAGGCATATGGAGTTTACGAATTGATTATTGTAAGTTGTATTACACAATGCGTTGTCGCTCATCAGATCACAAGACGGTTGGGGATTTCTATTTTCGGCTCACCGCCTGGCAAAATAGCCACGGGATCGCGTCGGCGCGTCCTCGATTAGATACGGACGACATATCTCTAACGGTCATCAACCTTAACCATCTCCATACTACTCTACCATGATGATCTGGGCTCTCCCGCTATTTATATATGGTCTACTGGTATTCCGCCTTGCTTCGATGGAAAGCTAGCACTGTGTCCACAGCTATGATTGCGGTCGCAGATTTTATTGTTGCTCTGTACTGAATGCCTGAGACATCTTCTTAATCACTAGCTAAGTGTTACTTCGGGAAACAAGAGCCTCTTTCTGGGCCCTAGTACTGACCTCGAGCAGTGTATCATAGCACTCCTCTCTGAAAACACAGAGTCATCCTTCTCAATCCTCAACCTCGCAATCTCCGGGATCGCGCCAGCTTCCATCCCCTCCTCCTCTATATTCGTCACCTAGGTCGCCACAGACGCACACATGAGACTATTCTACCGTTCCTCCCTGCGCGGGTACTTGACCAGCCGAGATATAGCCCGTCGTCTTCGTATGCAGCGTCGACAACGCAGGGCCACAAGAAACAGAACAAGAGCACGGGAGTTGTCGAATGTGAAGCTTGCCTCGCCGGGTCTTGAGTGTGGATCTTTCTCTAGCTTATCTTGGATAAGGTTCACGAGCTTAGTGTACTCAGGTTAGAAGATATCGAAGTAGGTTTCTTCGCATTCCTCGGTCTGTGAGAAGAGGAAGCGAGACGGGATCCAGCGCGCTATAAGGACGTTGGCCCAGAGATATGCGTTTCAGCTGTGACCTTTAATAGCCAAAGAGAGGCTTGAAAGCGCGGTGCCAGTCGTTCATTTTAATTCTGTATTTCCCGCGGTCAGCCGTAAGTTGGTTATTAGTTTCGTCACATCACATTGCTTTTGTGATGAAAGTCAAAGATAGAGACGCTCCATTGATGCTGTGAGTGCCGGGAAATTAATAATGTGCGGTTAAGTGCCCTTAACAAAGATTCCGTAGAGCAGAGCCGGGAGTGAGAATTCAAGGACCTGGTGTGCCGACCTGAGACTCCTGTAAGACGGCTCAGGCCCAGTCACTGTACCCACCAAAAAATAATGTCCAAACGAGCCTTCATTTCTTCAATGGAAGGAAATTGTAAGCGAATCGTAAGGAACGACCGTATGCTTCTTGCTTTTATGTACCTAGCTCCCTGGCCGTTTGAACGGCACTGCCTGGAAATCCAGAAGGTTAAATGACCCAAGCATGTCCTCGCTGAGGAGAGAGTCTTCCTTGGATAGAATCCTCAGTGTCGACAATTCATAGTATGGCACATCGCCGCCGAAATCTTGCCTAAATGTTACATCCACCTCAGATCGCCCTTCAGCAATGTTAATTTCCTAATTACACAGATAGCACTTAAGACAGATCGTCAGCAGCGACAATATGAGGCTGTTGTAGAGCCGTATCTCCTTTTGTTGTTTTGGGATCCGCTTCATGAGTGAGAGGGCTCTTTGTACTGTTTGCAAAGCGAAGCAGTAGTGCGCCCTGCCATTATTGCTCTGGTCTGAGATGGTCCAGCGACGCGATCATCGCTTCTGCGATGTTGCTAGGTACTTTTGCAAAGCCCTAATTGCTATCGCGGCATGCCAGGTCCAACTCTCGTGGTTTCATGCTGGCAGGAAGAGACGGTTCCAGAGCTCAGAGTCAAAATATCCTGTTCAACTGGGGTGCTGTTCTGGCCTCCAAGAATTGAAATCGCAATGCTCCTCATGGCTGGAGCTGCTTGACGTTATATGGTGGAATAAGACACCACAACTGTCCTTCGCACTCCCATGAGTTGTTCTGAACGCCAGCCAAGACGGGAGAGCTTTCCTTCTTGTCTGCTGAGCTGCCTTCGTTCTCCCCAGAATTTTATGTCCACATGGCCATTTTTCTGCTTCGCACCTTTGGCAGATCAGTTTCTTCTCGTCGTATTTCACACGCTAAGCCCCATCCAAATCAGATCTTGAGCAGAACAGCTAATACGACTGGGCTTTTTATCTGCCTAGCATCTGTTGGCATGGCCACGAGCAATATCATAATCACTTACACATGACGCAACGGGACCTTTTTTGGGCTTCGCCGCCCTCTGGTCTTGCCAGTGGCCCAGGCTCGTTTTCCCTATTTGCTATCCCTTTGAAGAAATATCTGTTGATTAATTCCCGTACGGATAATCTCAATGCTAATTCTCACGTAGTAACTCCGGTTCACCATAATAGCGGTTGTAACGTTCTGGGAGCAAGATCGGACTTGTAGATTGATTCACGAAGTGGGTAGTTGATCCGTGCTTCAACCTAATCGACCCCTTCTGAATGAACCTATTCTTTCTTTTCACCTTCGGGACTTGGAACTTGGCTACTTTCTACGAACCTTAATTATGGTCTGGACTGTTGACAAGTGCACTACGCGGAGACTGCTTGCGCTAGTGGTGACTCCTTCACTGCGGCGACGTTCAAAGTCATCACTATAACTCCGACCACCTCTTCACCTTTGATCACATTCCCACTCTCAGTCTCCAATTGACCGAGACTAATTGACTTTTAATACTTAGTTCTTCCACCCTGTCTAACAACATCAACTCCATCAAGATGGAATCCGCATATGGTCGAAACCTGCCAGTACTCGGTACAGTCTTCGTGGCCTTGGTGTCGCTGCTTGCGATCTACATTGCCAAAATCATCAAATATCGATATGACTATCGAAAACTTGTAAGTTCGATGTGGTGTCTACTCATTCTTCCCAGCTTCTAACAATTGTGTCCAGCATGGAGCTCTCAAATCACCCCCGTTCAGCATGTGGTTTGGCACGATCCTCGGGATCGCTGGCATATACCAAAGCAGTCCTATAGATACACACCCGATGTGTACGATGACATTGCTCTCACGCAAGTTCAACCTGGGAGCTCTGTATTTCCTTGACAATTGGCCTGCGGCTAAGATGCGGCAATTGGTGATCAACGACCCGGTAAGGGACCTGGCATATATATACAGTAGCTGTAACGAAAACACGCTGACCCTCCGCAGGATGTAGCAGCACAAGCAGTGCAACAGAAGGGAGATCTCGCCAAGTACCACGAGTACCCTGACTTGATCGGCCACATCGTCGGTCGCACAAGTATGCTCATCACTACGGGGGAGGAGTGGAAGAAGACTCGAGCTCTGTTCAACCCTGGGTTTGCCGTTGGTCACCTCATGACCCTCGTCCCAGGGATTGTGGACGATACACTGGTCTATGTCAAGATGCTGGGTAAGCTTGCGGACTCGGGAGAAGTCAAACCGATCGAGGACCTCCTCGCTCGTTTGACATACGATATCATGGGCCACGTTGTTCTAGACCACGACCTCAACGCGCAGACGACCGAGAACGAGATGGTCAATGGCTTCAACGGCTCGGTCACTTGGACCCCGAGTCCTATGACTACCAATCCGCTCAAGTATCTGTACAAGCCGGTCTATAAGGCCATGCAATGGTACTACACTCGTCTGACTGACGCCTATATCCAAAAGATCATACAACAACGTCTCGAGTCGCGGGATTTGGAAGACGGAGGCCCGGTTAAAAAGTTAGCCAAGAGACCAGGTATCGATCTAGCGATCGATGAGTACTTGGGTCAAGGTAGAAAGATCGGGGTCGCGGATGCGCACTTCATGCAGATTGCCATCGACCAAATGAAGACGTTCCTATTCGCGGGATCCGATACTTCCAGCAGCACCATGTGCTTCATCTACCACATGCTGAATCTGCACCCTGAGGCCCTGGAGAAGGTTCGCAAGGAGCACGACGATGTCTTTGGGCCCTCTGCAGGGTCTGCCGAGGCCATCAAGAGAAAACCAGCGCTGCTGAACGAGCTCCCCTTCACGCTCGCTGTCATCAAAGGTCCCTCCACCCCCCCCTTCCCACCTTACACTTCCCCCCAAGGTCGACTGGCTAACGCCTCACAGAAGCCCTCCGCCTCTTTCCTCCCGCAAGCACCGCGCGCGAAGGCAGTCCCTCCGTCTCCCTCACCTACAATGGCACGACCTACCCCACGGCCAACAGCATGGTCTGGATCAACACGCACACGATGCAGCGCCGCGCCGACCTGTACCCGGACCCGGACTCCTTCATCCCCGAGCGCTTCCTGCCCGCCCCCGACAACTGGCCCGCGCAGAAGGAGATTGTGAGGGACTCGTGGCGGCCGTTCGAGAAGGGCCCGCGAGCCTGTATCGGACAGGAGCTTGCCCTGGTGGAGACGAAGGTCAACATGGTGTTGACGTGCCGGGAGTTTGACGTGGAGGCTGCGTATGCGGTCTGGGATCGGAAGATGGGCAGGGAGAAGCCTGGAGAGACCTTGGGTGGGAAAAGGGGCTTGTTTGGTGAGTTCCTCGCCTTTCCTGTCCTCTCCTATTGGTGGAAGGTGGATCCAGTATGTGCTAACTGATCTGGTTGGTGCAGGATCTCGCGCGTACCAGCAAATGAAAGCCACGGCCAAGCCAGCGGATGGAATGCCTGCTCGAGTCAGGAAGCGACAGGTGGTGTGAGGGGAAGAGGACCAAAAAGCGATGGCGTGAGCCATGGCGGATTGGCGGAATGGCGGGTTGGAGCCTTTTCAAGTCTAGCCAGGAAACTAGATTTCTTTCCAGAAGTCATTTGGACTACATCTAGCATTGCAAACTCGAATCCCTTTTTGAAAAAGGTAGTACGTGTGCTGTCCATCCCGCCCTCCCTCCCTCGTCTGGCCAAGCTCAGCTTTCTCCCGTACATATCAAACAATCATGCCACTTCTCGCTTGTTTTGTTTGCTTTACTGTCCTCGGTCCAAGTCGAGGAAAAAAACATATATACTCACAGTAGGGCTCTCGCACCGACTATTTCACCAAAGGAGGGATAAATGTTTCGCCTACTCCTTGCTCGATTCGGATATTGCAGTTTTTTCTCATCGAAAGGACTTTGCGGAGACGGCTTCTCTCGCGAACTCGGGGTGAATCCCTGAGGAAAGGAGAAATAGGGCAGAGTCCTGGCGGAGTCGGACTCTGTGTACAACCCTTCTCCGTTCCGTCCCCGCCGCCACTAGGGAGAAAAAGATAATTCAACATGAGGTCGCTTGCTACCATACAGCGGACAGGATGTAGGTAGAGCAACCCGGAGAAAGAGAAAAGTCGAGGACAGGCCGAACATCCGCCGCCAGCCCACCCCAGGCCAGTCGCCCGAATTCTCAGTCCCCGAATCCAAGACACGCAGGTGTCTGGGCGTGGTGGTTCAATGCTGTTTGGGAGCGCGTTGTTCACTCCCTTGTATCCCTTGGCTTCGATCCGTTAACTCGGGCGTCATGGTCTCCGCGGGCTCCACACTCCCGTTCGCGTCCAGAGGGTCGGCTCTGAGGTCTGGGGAGCTGTCTGGGCCAGCTCTCACGAGTTTGCTTTCGCGTCGTCTGCATAGATGTGCTCGTGGATATGACGACCGCTCACCCTGTCCAGACTTCCTTGCCTCGTACCGTGTGGTGTCTCGGCTGGTCGGCGGGGCCCGTACCACTCGCTTCTCGCGATGGCGGGAGGGTGCTAGGAGAGTATAGCCGCTATCTCTCTGGCCTCTTGGGGTCGCCATCTCGGTCCTTGCTAATTTTAACCCTTTTGATTTTGCGGCTGTCGGATTGGTGGTGCTTTGCGGCACGCTTTGCGATGCTGTGAGCGGTCTTGCTGTGCGGACCTTTGTCGCGCCGGGGAGGTATCATCTTGTTGACAATCTTGGAAGCGGAGCTTGTCTGGTCAGGTGTTGAGGCTCGGAGCGACTTGCTTCGAGATGCGATTGACGCAGGTTGTTGCGTACAGTAGTGAAGCCAGAGAGATCGTATCCTGGAGAAATTGCAGCAGAGATCGGAAGGGGTTCTCGTATAGCTTGTCGATAGACGAGATGCTTGGTGGGAAGTGAAGCGCTTTTCGTTTCCCCTATATTCTGATTTGTTTACTTCGCTCTCGAGTAGGAAGGTGGGTCCGCCACTAGCTCTGCCGTGTTCACCAAGACGTCGCTGCCAGAGAAATCCTGAATTTTCTGGCAATTCCGATGTACTCGTCACTTTAAGACTTCTAGGAAGTACGGCTCGCACAGGAACGTTGGGACGTTCCAATGGTACGCTTTTCCCACGAACAGGCCGGTGGGCAACTGTCCGGCCTGAGAGAGGTTTGCCAGTAGGAAATTCCACGTCAACCAAGGCAGGCTCATCGCCCCACGGTTTCTTTCTTCCCACATTGGTCCTATCTTCAGAGCTTCGAAGGTGGACTTCGAGGCAACGCTGGCAAGTACCACGGTGGGACAAATATATACAAGTGTATCGAAGGGCCAAGAGACAGTTTGACTCTAGATTCGGAAGTATTCTGACGCCTACGAGCATCAGCGGGGGGGACACGCCATTTTGTATGAGATCATATACGTCCAGTAGATTCAACGAAGTTGTTCTTCAATCTTTACTACTTCTTGGAAACTATAGGTCGGGGCTACGTACTGTTGTTATACTGTTGGCAATTCGGCTCAGGCAGAGAAAGCACCCGCGTTTACCCCGCCGTCACATCTTCTTAAGCACCTCCAAACATCCCCTCACCACTCACACCGATAGACCCGACGCGCAAGCAACCCCAGAGCCGAACCCCCGCGCTCTTCCTACTTCCAACTTCCAACTTCCAAGCTCCAAAATCTTTCCTCTCCTCTTCTCTTCGTTCGAGTTTTCGGTCTTCGCGCTTTGCGACTACTTGAACATCCATCTCGAGGCAGGTGGATAGATCCTACACATGGCTCTTCTTCAAAGCTAGATGGATGGATTGGGTGAATCGATGGAATGGGATGGGATGGGATGGGATGGAATGGATCCGCAATGACGCAGCCGGGCAGAGGGTGATGGGGAGGAGTGAAGCGAGGAAGTGAGGGAAAGCGGAAGGGGGAAAAGGGCTTTCTGGCGGGTGGGTATCGTACTCGTTGTCTGTTGGTTTGCAAGCCGGCGCGGTCTCGACTTGACCTTACTTACCTCCTTGCTCTCTCTGTCTTGCTCTTGCCAGGTATCGACGCGAGTTTGAAGTGGGTGAGCAAGCGTGAGATCCAATTGTGGTTTCAGTGCAGTGGGCGGATGATATCGATCTTTCTCTTTTCCCTTCTTTCGCACTCTCGTCGTTGTTTACATAGTAGTTGTCGGAGGCAGCCAGTCTTAGTCTGGCTTCATGGATGGATGGTAGAGTATGGATGGTAGAGAATCGCAGAACGAGCCGTTCGGCCTTCTCCGCTTTTCCAGGACACTTGTTTACCTTTCTGCCGCGTCTCACATCACAAGATCCGGAACCCATCTCGCGCTCTAGAGATCAAGAGTGATGTGATCATGGATAGTAGCCTCCCCTCGCGCATGACATGCAAGAAATCCCATTGGACCCTCCCCCCCCTTCCACCCCCCGCAAAGCGCAACAAAAGAGGTGCATAAAAAAAGAAAAAACGTAGGACCTCAAACGTGTATGGAAAGATCCTGAAGGTTTCGCTCTGCATTCTCCTCCCTCGGATACCATACCATACCGCGGCGGCCAGGCCCTTACTTCATCTCTCCCCCCCCCCCCCCCCCCCCTTACCAGCAGTCAGCCGCATGGCAAGCTCCCTCGAAACAATAACCTACCCCAGATTCCCCCACACCCGTTAATAATGCCTTCCCCGACCTTCCGGGCTTCCTCCTGCTCTTGGCGAGCAACAGAAGCAGGATTTGCAAGTCGCATCTGCGTTT